ACAAATCTCTCCGTCTGCCAGCCATGTCAGTTTCGAGGGAAAGAATTGTGCTCGCTTTCTGCATGACCGCATTAGCATTCGCGTTATCGTAGACCCTCTGAAACGTGTCTGACATGAGAGCTATGAACAGATTCAGACACACAATGGCAGAAACCGCCAAATAGGTTCCGCATAAAATTTGCGCCATGGTTCGGTCTATGACCAACAAGGAATCCCAGGGATAGTTCCCGACGACTGTTATTTCCCACACGGAATACATGAGGTTATTAAATGTTCTCCAGCCTTCTGAATCCTGACCCGCTTTTCGCATCTTTTCTGCGTTCTCGTCTCCCCCAAAATTGATCCAGAACGCGCAGATGAAGGGAATGTAGAACATTATGTAGAGAAAGCCAAATATTAGAGTATCTTTGATCAGATGACCTATCATGACGATGAACGGACCCAAGGCTTCGAAGGCACGGAACACTTTCATCAAACGTAACCAAATTAATATCAAAGCAATTGACATGACCTAGCAAGAATTGAAATGTTAGAACAAGTTTAGGTTTCCTCCTGTAGTAACACTGGATCAATAAGAGATGATCTTTGCTGGACCACTAGGAAGAACAGTTTAGAACTGATAGAGCTATCCAGTATAAATAAAGTTAATTTAGTTTAGGTTTCCTCCTGTAGTAACACTTGATCAATAAGAGATGATCCTTACTGGACCTCTAGGAAGAACAGTTTAGAACTGATAGAGCTATCCAGTATAAATAAAGTTAGTTTAGTTAAGGTTTCCTCCTGTAGTAACACTTGATCAATAAGAGATGATCCTTACTGGACCTCTAGGAAGAACAGTTTAGAACTGATAGAGTTATCCAGTATAAATAAAGTTAATTTAGTTTAGGTTTCCTCCTGTAGTAACACTTGATCAATAAGAGATGATCCTTACTGGACCTCTAGGAAGAACAGTTTAGAACTGATAGAGCTATCCAGTATAAATAAAGTTAATTTAGTTTAGGTTTCCTCCTGTAGTAACACTGGATCAATAAGAGATGATCTTTGCTGGACCACTAGGAAGAACAGTTTAGAACTGATAGAGTTATCCAGTATAAATAAAGTTAATTTAGTTTAGGTTTCCTCCTGTAGTAACACTTGATCAATAAGAGATGATCTTTGCTGGACCACTAGGAAGAACAGTTTAGAACTGATAGAGTTATCCAGTATAAATAAAGTTAATTTAGTTTAGGTTTCCTCCTGTAGTAACACTTGATCAATAAGAGATGATCCTTACTGGACCTCTAGGAAGAACAGTTTAGAACTGATAGAGCTATCCAGTATAAATAAAGTTAGTTTAGTTAAGGTTTCTTCCTGTAATGTACAATAAATTTATGAAAGTTTAAAAATCACCATATTCTAAAATACGGAAGTCTTTACCTTCGGATGAAGCTCGTTGGCAGTATTATTGTCAATTGCCACAGACAAAACACGTGTCAAAATGACGCAAATTATTCCGAGATAGGTGACCCAATCAAAGTAGTTCCAATAACTCTGAAAATACGATATTCCTTGCGATGAAATGCTCTCAATCTCCATCTCAATATATTTGCATTCCTCCGGCCAGCGAGGGTGACAATACTTTAAGTCACGATTAAGTTCCCCGATTCTCCAAGTCTTCCATTTTTCATGTTGTCTTCTGGAATTACGTACCTATATTCACAATAGAATAAGATCTTGAAAACCGTAGGTGTCCCAGGGGGTGTGAGAGAGGTTGGTTGAGGGAGTTTGGTGGGGGAGGTTGGAGCAGCTCCCCCCTTCAATTTTGTCAAAATTCTTAAAAAAATTGGTTGGTTTTTTGTACCTCAGCAATTTCCTGGCAAATGAACAAGGCTGTTATACTGACAGCTAAGGACTCCAACACAATCCTCCACCAGTATTTGCTTGGAGGGTCATAATAACTATAAGTTGTCGCTGCGGTTCGAGGGAGAGTTATGCCAAGAACAGTCCAAAGCAGGCAATACAGAAGTTGCACAAACACTTGGATAATTGATCCTGTTTTGCCGAAACATTCCCATTTCACTTGAATAAGTCGTTTAAACACTGGATGCATTATGAGATCCATCTGTTTGAATCTGACTGCCTCTTCCAAAGGGGTTTTTGCTAAAATGTTTTCTTTTTCACCTGGTTTACCAGGTTCAAGTTGGTTGAGGTAATAGTACTGCTTGCGGTTGGCTCGATCCATGCTGTGAAACTGCTCCAAAGCTTCCTTAGCAACCGGTGGCATTTTTGCAACCATTAGCGACATTGCTGTTACCCCATTTTCATCACAGACACCAGCAGGAACGTCAAGGGATATAAGCAGTTTGGCTGTTTCTGAACGATCTATGAAAGTTGTGAGATGATATTACTCACAGCACTTTGATTGACCAGATAATAATAACTTAAATTAACAACTGGTTCAGACCAAACATCAACCAAGCGTCCAGACCAACAATTTACCCAGTCAACAGATGCAAGAAATTAGCTGAAATAAATGACTAACAGATTGCCACAGTAAAGTAAAAAGCAAATTCCGAACAAACAAGACATCTTGAGAATCAAAATATAATTCAAACAAGACACAGATTGAGACTGTAAATTTTCGACTTTATTACAAAGTCATCTTCAGACAGAATGAAGATGACTTTGTAATAAAGTCGAAAATTTACAGTCTCAATCTGTGTCTTGTTTGAATTATATTTTGATTCTCAAGATGTCTTGTTTGTTCGGAATTTGCTTTTTACTTTACTTTCTTAAATTGTCGGCTGGTCATGGTTTTTGATTGCCACAGATACACCACCTTGTTGGTTCTCAGAGTTTGCATGTTGTCTTAAAACATGGCTCCTATATGAAGTACCTACCTAGTTCAGCAGCCACGTGCAACGGAGTTCTTTGTTTATAATCTCTGCAATTTACATCAGCACCAAGATTAATCAGCTCTTGCAATGCACTATCAGCATCATTCTTTGCAGCATAATGTATCGGTGTTTGACATTCTCCATATGTGCAAGCACTCAGGGATGCTAGGTCAGGATAAGATGCAAGAAGTTTTTATAATAATCTATTCCATGATCAGATGAAATTGTAAACAATAATAACTCCAAGACAACCAGCTTTGTACTTAACCTGAGTACATGCAAGGAATTCAACCTAAAGATGCCAAATGACAAATGCTAACCACATGCCCTTTTTTTATTTATATCTTGCACACAAAGCTGGTGGTCTTGAAAACGTATGGAATTGAGTAGATATGATAAAAAGGCTTTATTGACAGACAATTAATTGAAAGGTCAGAGCCTTGTATCTCATATGCATGCATGAACTCAGTAATGCTAACAAGGTGTTTATGTGTTTCAGATGTCCTAAGTGAACTTTTATAAATTCTTATCATATCAGTTTGTCTACGTTATATTATACAATACAATACTAGGATGTCAATATCAGACGTCACAGCAGACAGATATGGCAAGTTAGTGTGATATCCAAATTAACATACCCTAACTTTGCTAGTTTAATAAAGCCTAGTTTAATAAAGCACTGTAGCAGATAAACCTTGGTCTAGACAAAGATTTGCCTGATAAAGATTTCTTATTTTCTTTTAAAAACAACACTCAGTGTAGATGTTTTAAACAAATATATACAAGTTTCTGTGGAAGTTTCCAAGCAGTACATACTACAGATGCTTATATAATTAGCCTAATTATGATTTATCTGAACATGCAAGAATACATCTGGGACTGTGCAAAATCTGGGTCCAAAAGGTCAAAATATTTCTTACTCTATAACAAGTTCTAAATGTTTTGTATTAAATTAAGAAATCATTAATTACTCCTCCTTGAACTTACCTCCATTGTCTACCAAGAACTTTATCATTTCCGCATAATCTACGGCTGCTGCAACGTGCATAGCCGTCCGCCCGTACTTGTCTGCTTTGTTGATGTCGGCACCCTTCTCCAACAGAAAAAGGGCAACATCACAATGCCACGCCCTACTAGCTTCATGAAAAATCGTCTGGCCATAACGGTCACATACATTCACATCCGCACCACTCTGCAGAAGTGAATCTACAAAGTCAAAATCGACTACAGTGGTTGGAGCTTCTGGATCAGCTTTGGCTAGTTTAGCAAAGTAAATAAGTAATGCTCTATTGCCTGCGGTTTGACCAGTCTGTCGACTTGTACCAGAAATCTCGGCATCATTGCCCACCTCCGAACTATTCACCCCTTCTTCAATGTCACTGTCGAGAAAAGGTAATGGTACTTTTAAGTTTTCATAAATTCTAACCCGCTTGTCAGAGCGTCGACGTTTCCCAGCATTAATACGGTTTTCTCGTTTCGTGCACACGTAATGCTTCCAGATTGACAACGCGTTATTCTGTCGGTGAAGAACATCCCATGCTGCGACCAGCGAGCTTCGGTCTGTGTTCACTGATGGTTTAACAAGTTTCGCTGGCTTAACTACAGTCAATTCAACGCTTTCTCTGTCGTTTTCATTATTATTTGGCTTTCTCCGTGTTGGATAGACCCTTCCTTCATTTTCGATGACTTTCTAACTCTTTTTAGCGTCAAAGATCAAAGATTGTTGGCAAAGCGACCGTAAACACAGTAATCAAATCATCTATAGTAGGCTCCGTTCAGGGCTTTGACCCTTTGCCCTAAAGTTTTCTTCTCCGAACAAGACAAGCTACTGTTTCTTGTCAAATGTCAATCGTATAAACAAAATATTTCAGAACTTTTCCTCACTTCGCGCCATAAATCATAAAATACAACACTTTCTTTTTCAACTTGTTACCTAGTGACACTATGACAGACAACTGGAAATGATAACTTCGCGAACCAACGCCCCCCCTTTGGACAATATAAACGTAGTAATTCTAAGGGGGGGACTTCCCCTTTCTCTAACTATCTTACCTCATAAACCACCACCGTCGTTTGCATAGAGGAATGAACAATGAACAGTAGCATAAAACACTGACCCGTATACTGGATGAATAACATAATATATTTCAAACTTTATATCTAATATATTTAGAGTTATCTACAGTTGTTTAGCAGTGCTGACACCTACGCTTGAACCAGATACATTCCAGTCAACTCTCCACTCATCTGGCCCTAAGTGAGTTCTTGACGTTACCCAACCATGCAGCTTTAAACTGTTCAAGAATGTTGGAAAGATTTTAAGTGTGAAGTTATGCGCATAGGCCACAACATCCCATGACGCAGTTGTTGCCATCTCTCTAACTGATAAAAAAAGTTCAATGACCAAAAGTTCAAAACTAGTGAAAAGAGCCAAAGATCCATGCAATAATAATGTATTCATTGTATGTAACAAGACAATATATATACCAAAAATGCAAAACTTACTAGAATAAATTTGTTGCCATAAGTTACACAAATTATTAAGTGCTATTGCACTCATTTCATCATGAGTAGCAATCTAAAAAAATATAATAGATAGAGAGAGAGTCTATAGAATGAACTACCGTTCACAAAAATTTCTTGAAGAGCATCCGACGTTACCTTCGTCATAAGCACTGGGCTTCTGATAACAAGATCCATGATTGCAATTTGAAAATAGCATTGTAGTAAGTTCTCTGAAGTAATATCTCTATGAAGAGCAACATTCAGATGACCTTGCAAATAAAACATAAATTGTTCAATTTTTTCTCTAAGAGAAACTGAATGAACTAAAGTATACCATGGTCATTGCAAATACCTGATTTAAAATTATTTGAGATATATAATTTCATAATGTATTGGGTTTCCTTTGAGTTTGGAAAAGCTGCATAAAAATCCCTCCCACTAAAAAAAATAAAAACACAAATTTAAACATCTCTCAATATATTCAGGCAATTTAGCAATAAACTATATAATGTTATTTCTACCTTGAGATGACATCGCTAAAAGGACATCCTAAGTTAACATCTAAACAGTTTTGACATTCTAAAATTTAAAAAAATGGTAGGTTAAACACTTAAACTTAATCTGTTATAAAGACATGATGTGGAAAGGCATTGATTCCTACATACTTGTCAATATAGGTTCTATTTCTGATATCTCTTGTGGACTAAGTATGTGACCATGAGTGATGAAGTTCTCAACCAACAGGTGCAAACGAGTTGAATTAATTGTTTCCATGATAACAGCTGAAACTGCTCGAAAATTGCAGTATAAATGTAGTGATGTGAAGACCGCAAACAGCAACCATATTATCCTAAGAGAAATAAATGAGGCTCAGGATAACTAAGTGATCGAGGGTCATGAATAACTACTGCAAATGTTGAAGAAATGAAATACCTACTGGTCGCGGCCTGTGACTAATGGAACAAGAACAAGGTTAACCAGAAATGCAAGTAAATTGACCATTGTCTCCTGTGATAAGACATATAAAAACATTATTCTCTGGTAGCATGAATCCTTTTCATTCAATTTAAATGTTGACAGTTGTGTAAAACACATGAACTTATAGGTTACAAAATGGTAGTTAAAAGCTGAATTAAACCTGACTCCCATCCTTAGCTGATACATCAGCCATGTTGTCTCTTCTGGCCTGATGCTGTGTCAATGCTGCTCTGGTTGCTCCACCACACACACCAACCAATGACTTGAAAAGCACAAAAGATACATCATTTTCACACTGCTCCAAACATCATAGATCTGGTGCTTCCAACAAGACAAAGAAACAGTATTCACATTGAGGTTAATCAAATAAGACCATTAGGTTTTCCTACCCTGCATAGACTTGATAGACATGCAAAGATGAGGAAATATTCTCGAAATCTTGGAGCCAAGAGCTCAATACAATATGTTAGATCATTGATAACATCAGCTGCTAATCTAGAAATTTAAACACTGTTATAATTGCAAAACTCTTGAATTGTACAATTAAACCAAACTGTATCATAATCACACCTCCATTTCTTTGCATGACAGTCAAGTTCAGTCCTGGAGAAGGAAACAAACTCTACTAAAAACCAAAGTCGATTTATATTTGACAAAGACATATAACAAAAACTAAGTCAGACCCTTTGAGCCATGTGAAAATTATTCTTCCAACCATTCCAGCTCCATCTAAAGATATAGAAAACATTGATATGGCAGGATGGGTTTGGATATTTTTAGAGGTTATCATTCTGTCTTCAAGAAATCAAATTTTAAGTGGTAGGTATATACCTTTTAAAAGCCAAGTAAAGGTTGCAGCAAGGATTGATGCTTTCTCGTCACCAACACCGTATGCTTTTAACATGGCTTGAGCTGCAAGAGCAGACACTATCGAAGAGCAGAATGCCTGGGAAGGTGCAAGTATATGTTACCTTAAGGTGGCTGCTTTGTGTAAGAACTGCAAAATAAAGTCAACTTTAACAAAGCCTTTATGTTAGCAAAAAAGTAGTACACTGCACCTGACATGTGTCCCACATTTGATATTCCAGATAGTCTCTGCTGACACTGTGTGGGTACCCTTGGGGCAAAAATGCATCCTAAAAAATGAACATGAAATAATAGTAATTTTTATACATGGTGGGCTCCAAATAAATGCATGAGTATGCATCAACTAGTCACTACTCTATTATAAAGTACTCTTACCAGTTCATAACGACAAGCTTTTGATGTAACAGGGGGGGAGCAAGTGTGGTACCAGTACACTCATAAGATGTTGTGATAATCGTGTATCCTACCTTTATAAACTTATTAATTGATGCGAGACCTGTGCTTTTGTACAAAGGCTCCTTCTTCACCTGTTGTGTTTCTAAACAAAGCAAATAATGAGATCTAAGTGACTCCTCGCCATAACTTTCTTCCGCAATTAATTCGGCCGCCATTATGAAAACGCAACACTGATCTTCGATTCGAACGTCTGGACTGTGGTTCAGGAAGGAATTTTTGCATCTCAAATGATGTCAACCTTTCCTGTTTTCTATTGATAAAAGTACTTACATGTCGTTTTCAACATTTTCAAATCTTTTTTCAATTTAATTTTATTTTCTTATCACAATGGTAAAGAAAATAAATTTACAATTCTTGTATACATCCAGATAGCCTTTATAGCCGAGATCAGAGAATATTCCCAGTCGCCCAGGAGACTGACCGCGTACAGAAAGTTTAAAAAAGAGCGGGAAAAGTAACTTCAAGTATTTTTAAAGTTGGAAAAGTGAAAAAAAATTGAACAAAAATGCACTAGAAGAAGCTAAATTGAAGTAAAAGCATAATAAAGACTACAACGAATTATTAAAGTTATCCGCAAAGATGTTTTCAAACGTTTCAGGTGGGAAAATTTTGCCGCAAAACGATATCAAAATTAGCCTTTTTTATTATCCGAATACTGATGAGTTTAAAGGGACGATATTAGTATAAACATATTTAAAAAGTCCTTATGTAATTCTTATTTTTTTAATCAAACAGGAAGACAGGGAGTGTCAATTTTTAACCGAAGAAGACGTCCACGACAGGCCGTTTACGCGTCGCCGCAAAAACACAGCCCTCCAAAACCCTCACAAATCGATATTCCGGACGAAAAGCTCGCTGAAATAGCCCAAGACTTTGAAAACAGTCCCAAACTCTATAATAAGTTCTCTTCGAGCAGCGAATCATCTGCTTTTCACCAAAGACAAAGTACAAGGCCTCAGCCAAATAGACAGTTCTCAGTCGTCCCAATGAAACACCCAAATAACCAACATTATGGCAACCACAATGTCCTTACGAAGAAACCGAAAATTGAGCAAGATTATTGCTTTGCAGAAAGCAACGAAACGTTTTTTGCCCAAGAGCAAGACAAGAGAACAGCAGGAACCACTTCATTCACGGCCAATTCTTTCTCAAGCAACAAGCCTCAAAATTCCACAAGGAAGAATTTTTCATTTACAGAGAGGTATGTCGTTTTTTTCCATTGCTGCTTAATCTGCTGTTTTATCCCTGAACTATTAAATTCATTTTTGAACCTTTTAGAAACATGATGCATAAGCCTCAGCAATCAGTATTCAGGGCAACGAAATGTGAATACTCCGAAGCAGTTCCAGCTATGAGTGTGGACAATAGTTTCAGCTAACGTTTACTTCACCGACGTAATGGCACAGATCAGCTAAAGGATAAAAACAAGGGTTTTTTTGTGACACAGTGGTGAAAAAGAATAAGAAATCAGAAATGGAGCCCAGCGTAAGGTTTAAGAATACAAGTTTCACTATTCTAGTGTCAAGTTTTTTAGCATTACTTTTTCCTTTTTAGAATGATACCATATCGATGGTGAGACAGGCTTTTCACTCCAAACAGTTGATAAGTCCATGAAATTTCTTACAACCAATAAAGGGAGCAAGAAAATGAGTGAATTCAGAGACCAATTCCTCTTGTTTTTGAGGTATTTGGTAAGTACAAGATATAGAATAAACTACTCTTTACCACCAAACAGATTCAAGTTTAGAAAGATTATTATCTCTGATTCTTGTTCTTCAAGCAACATTGGATTCCGTACCAACATCGAACAAACGGCAGCGAAACTCTTCAATATCAAAGACCCAACAGGATCTCAAGGTATTTTAATACAATATTTCATGCAGACTTAACAATTATGAGTTTGACAAGCATTTAACAATGATTACATGTCTATTTTACAGGTGTATTTACTGGGAAATGGTAAGAACTGAATAATGCAGGTTGATGCAAAATAAGGACAAGGTTGACATGTAATGGATAACTATTTCTTTATAGGATCAAAAGCTACCAAGAATGGCAAGAGGGCAAATGTACAGGTATATGTATACTGGAAGATATCTCTTTCCATGATAAACTAAGTAAATGCATATGAATCATACCGGCATAGATCATTTTATTTATATACTTCATTTGCTACAGGTTGGTTGGTGCATTGGAAAGAAAGACCGGTCATTTTCAGTGCTTCACAATCCGCCCAGCACAAGCAAGCGAACAACATCTTGTGACACAACAAGTTAAGATATGTGATGATGCCATGACTAAACTGGTCTCAATGATTTCTGAATCCTAATTTGTTCACCGTAATATTGGCAATTGTACTAAATGACTTTAACAATACATATCCTAAAACGTTTATTTGGAAGTTATAATGATTATGAATGAAAGATTTTCACAAACAAAATTGGAAAATTAAATATTTGAGTGAATTGGAATAAATTATTCAAAACTGTATTGTAAACAAATAAGAAACATTAATCTGACTATTCCAGTCTTTATAACACAGATTCATACGAACCAAACTGCATAGTTTTACAATATTTGAAAACAATACTACTTACATAACATACAGGAAATACTGCTTAGCATAGTCATACAATTTCATTCTTCTCCATCTCATTGTAAAGGTTATTTAAGATGGATACCAGAACTTGAAGTTTCTTTTCTTTTAATATTGGGGGATACTGACAGCCATATCAACTGTTTTAACACATGAAATGTTTCTCATGAGTATTACAACTGCTGTGAACGATCTCTTGGAATATGATCAACCCCTCTTGCTTTTAGTTCTCTTATAATATGCATTGGTAGTTTTCCTGTTACAGATACAGCATAGCATCCTGGTACCATGTTATCTAAAGAACAACAGGAAAGAATAATAATAACCACCTGTTATACCATTAGTTTTAATAGCTTGACGTGAAGTCCAAAAAATTCTGATCTATACTACCTATTCGCTGCCATCTTGCAACCCAGCTGTCATCACCGCTTATCAATGATATTATTCTACAAAAAAGTAAAATTCATTCATATCAACAAATAATCAAAGAAAGACTAGAAAGTAAAGTACTTATTTGAGTTAATTCTTACCCATCAAAATTAGAACTTGTACAGTTGCTTATGTTATCTTTATTGCCCTTCAAACGTAGAAATTTCTCGCAGTTGTCGCAGCCATCATATTCAAACTGGTCCGACGTCTTGGAGAAAAACGAAGGATCAAATATGGCATTGAAACATGAAATGATGAATGATTTTATATACACGTATTATTAATACAATCGCAGGCATAGCAAATTTAAACGATAAGAGTAAAGAAAAGCTTGAATCTCCCAGAACACTAGGAGAGACGGGAGAGATTAACAATAAAGAAAAAAAACCTAACCTTGATCAGAGAACACAACAAACATGCTCTTAAACCACGAAGTTCTCTTGGCACTGTTTCCATCGCCATTTTGAATATTAATTATTGAAAACTCGCAGGGAAAGCCCTACCTCCTCCGCAGGCCCTTTTCGGGCAAATATGGCGGGCGGTGATAGCCAGGAGATTTATCCAGACTTTTGATCGACAGTTCTTGGGACTAAAGGCACTAACGAGAATGCAGAGTTGACTGTCTGAATGTCTTTTTTGCTGTTTTACTGCTGTAAGGTTGATGAAAACGCTGATCTAATAAAATAAATGTTTGATGTTTATGAATAATATCTGGTATTGTTTCATTCAGAGACTCATGCCATGCAGAGACTGGGGAGAGTATTCAGGGGTAATAAAGGTGGTTTTTAGTCGATATAAATTTTTTTTCGAACCATATCCGTTCCACATATGTTTAATAACAATATTTTTTTGTATGTAAAAGAAAAATCTGGAAAGGACGCCAAAAAAAAAAAATTTGGAAAGAACGTAAAAGCAACCAAAAGAAATCATCCAGCCTATGCCACAATCTAACCTGGTTGTACAACCGGCTGCAATATACCAACATAGTTACAACTACGAAAGGTGCAAGGCGGTTGCTATAGGAAGAACTCCCCCCCATAACTCACATCTTAACGGCCGTCTAAGGGGGAGATGCACTACGGCCCCCAGACCATGATGTATGTGCACCTAACCGTTACGTCTCAGTGAGAAACAGAGTATGCATCGCCACAAGCCTAGCGTCATAGACGAATCAGCTACAGTGGCTAGCCCTGAGAGCGAAGATAAATTTAACGTATTTAAGCTTTTCCTGGTTTTGGGAGGCATTCCCTAACAAGTAACACGCTTGGAAATGTCAAGATTTAAACGTCTAAATGTTTTTTAAGTGTTTTTAGGGAGAAATTTTAGTGCTTTGATATTCTTTTAGAAATTTTAGTGTTTTGAAACAATCCTTGTTGGTTTTTAACGTCAAAATAGTCATCATTCTCAAAAGGAAACTCAATATAAATGACTGAACAGCTTAGTTACTAAAAGGTTTTGTTAATTTTTTTTAGTATAGCCGCTTGATTCGCCGGTACAATTTGGGTCTAAATTGTATGTATTTATTTTACTTTCTCTTTATTGATTCTGTTCTACTTTCGGGGAATATTAAAGTTAGATCTTTCTTCTTTGTTTCTTTTACTAACTATCCATGGCACCGAGTCACGCGAGATGTAGGTAGTACGAGTAGTACGAAATTGTGGTGCCCTGATATTTTGAACCATTTCGACCATGGTCGAGTATACCATTTTCCGGTACATTCGATTTCGACCACCAGGTCGGATGGCTGTGGTGCCAGGAATTTTGCCCTTTTGAACTCACCGCGGTCATGAAATATTGACCAATCACTTTGCAGGAAAATACTATAATTTGTATATCAGGTGATATCGTCCGGTTATCACACTGTTGGGAATGCGAATATGTGAATATACATTTATATACTCGGCATTTGAAATATTAAGATCAAAACTTTGGATAATGGAGGAAATCATCGTTTCCCAAGGCTGGCTATATGTTAGTGTGATTTCAGCTCTATCTTTTCAAGCAGTCAACAAGTCAGTTGCGTTAGTTTTGCCGGCGCCTCGAAAATTTCAGGATCAGTGGAAGAAGGTTTGGCTGTGGGAGAATATTTGTACATCGTTTGTTCATTCCTTCTTAAGTGCTCTCCTGACTGTTTACAGGTATGCTTCTTGCTGTTATTCATCTACTATAAGCAACACTTTTAAGCGTTGAAAGCTGCTTTCGATTTTGTCTATTTTGCGTGGATTCATAACGCAAGATCGATGGAAGTGAAAGGACAATTAATAATATTTTTACGTAAGAGCAATGTTTAGACACTAGAGACGATTGACCCGTGATCAATTTCATTTTTTTTATTCGCTGTATGCTACAGAAATACGGCTAACTTGGAGAGTTCTTTCTTAACAGTGAATATTTATTCAATTTCTTCTGTCATTTAGCATATATAAAACGCCATCGATGTTAAAAGACATGATAGACTCATGGAATATTTTAGCTTATTATACACTTGCATTGTCAATTGGTATGTAATATTCGGATGTAATATTTAGAATATCATCACATATATAGTAAACAAACTTTGCACCTTTAAGCCATTCTATGAAAGTTTTATACGTCGTAATTTAACAGGTTTAAGTCTAACGCACCAATAAGCTCATTTAGATGAAATTTTATACTCGCTCTGCCGAAACTAGACATATGTAGTTTAGATCATGAGGCAACATGAAACTAGAAATTTAATTCTATCTGCATGTCCACGTGTTAATTATTAAATTTCATTTAATTTATCTCGGGATTTCATTTTTTCACGAGAATTCTTGACTTCTTATAGGATATTTTATATACGATTTCATCAATTTAATCATCAACGATAGAGAAAAAGGTCTTTGTATTATGATCCATCATGTTCTAGTAAGTAGAAAGTTTACTTTTTTGAAGGTACTTTAGTTTAATTGAGCGAAGGGATTGTCATATGAATATTTGATGAAATGTGTTATGGCGTATTAATCCTTGGATTTTATTATTCATGTTGCATAAGAATATTGTTATTTTTACCAGAGAAAACCAAACCATTGTTTACAAATGAATTTTATTTATTTGTAAGTTTTATGATATTGTGTAAAAGTGGGAAACCTCAAAAGTATTTGTAGTAAGTCTTAATAGTAATTTTATTTCCAATTCTAGGTAATTTTTATTTTCTACATCACTGTCTCAAACAAGAAGTATATACCATTTGCATTGTGTGCCTTACTCATGGAAATCAACAGCGTTTTTTTGCACACACGTCGACTCATGCACATGTCAGACATCAATCCAAAAGGATTGGCTTTTAGGATGAACTGTATTTTACTAACAACCACGTTTGTAATATTCCGTCTCATCCTCTGCGCCTGGATGATTCATTTCTTCGTCATGAATGGACATACTGTCAGCCAGTTACATTTGGGTTTTGGAATTTTTGGGCTGTGTATAGTCATACCGCAGAATTTGCTACTTTTAAACCAAGTATGGCTAAGTGATGCCAAGCGCAATACACAGCTGAGTCAGGCTGAGAAAGAGAAATTAGCTGTAAGAGACAATAATGCGAACAATTTAAATGGCTTGGAAAAGCTTAAGCATTTCCTTCAGATGACAATTGCTCGCAGTGCTGAGTAAAGCGGTTATATAATGTCCTTTCACGTAAATGTTGGGTTCAGAATAAAAGTGGAAATACTTCTTTTAATTTCATATATATGTGATATATTTTACTGACAATTACTGTGTGTACATATGTTAACATTTAATATACAAATTCCTCCAATCATAATATGCATAAAATATAATTTTGAAAAAAATTATCCCTAATTGTGTTTAATTTTTTATGCTCTCTTTCCTTAAAAGTTAGAGACTGCATGGGTTCACTGCTTGTGGATGATAAAACATAATAAGTTTTGTTAAATTTTGTTTGAATTTTTATGTAACATATGATGATGTCATCATGATAAGAACTTATATTTTTATCAGTTTAACATGAAGTTTCCTCATGTTTTACATGAAGTTTCCCTGAGGCCTGAGGCTATAAAGTTGCTTGTGATTTAAATAGGCGGAGAAAGTGTATAAATGAAAGCATAGAAGATTATTTCGTTTGGCCAAAATTAAATTGGCCCGTGTAGAACCAATCGGATTTTAGCCCCAGTAATTAGAACATCTTCATTATTTTTGGGGAGTTTTTATCAGTTATTTCAGGAGATTTTCGTACTACATTAATTATCTTTAAAGTTTCAAGGGGAGATAAATACTGCGTGTTATTTAAGAACACATTTTAAATGGTGCTAGTTAAATATTGGTAGATGCAAACGCGATCAGGTAATAATTATGATATGTCAGTTATATTTAAAATATTATCAAAAACCTTGTTAACCAATCAGGAGAGACCTTGTTGGAGCTGCTACACTAAAGCCTTGGGCAAACTAGGAAACATTGTTTCGGAAACATTGTTTCCCGCCAATGTTTCTCAATGTTTCCCAGGGTGGGCAAACACTGGGAAACATCAGTGAGAAACAATATATAGCGCTCAGAGGAAATCAGTCCTATGAAGCAATTATTTTTTTAAAACCAAAACTAATTTGCATTACCAACATCCCATAAACAGTTTCTTGCTTCGTACAAACTTATCAGTTTCTCTGTTTCAGTATCTTTCCACACTCGTTCGCTTTTACCCCTTTTATTATTGCTTTGTTCGTCTACAACAACTGCTATTGTGCTTTCAGCCATTTTTTGTGTTGTTTCACTTGTTTGTTATGCGCAAAGAGTAAATATATATCTACTCTTTGTTATGCGCATGCTCTAATTGGTAAAAAGTGCGGAAACATATGGGCAAACATGGAAACAATGTTTCCGCAACCAAAATCACACTTGGGAAACATATAATGTTTCTGAATTTGATAGGAAACATTTTTGCTTCCTCGGAAGCAAATTTTGCTTCCGCAACAATGTTTCCCAGGGTGGGCAAACAGGGAAACATATGAGGAAACATTGCGAAACATAAATGTTTCCGCAACAATGTTTCCTAGTTTGCCCAGGGCTTAACACTACCCTCTGTAAAAACATAATTATAATATGAATATATCTTCATTAATATTTTGCAACATTTCGCCGAACATTTCGATACGATAATTTAATTGTTACAAACTGAGTTTATGTTCTAAAATTATACGCAAATATTTTCATAATGTCTACGAAAGAAAGTCATGAACGTGTAAAGGCTATTAACGCTCAAACGACTGAAGAAGAATTGATCCAGATTTATTCATCATGGAGCGAAACGTATGACCAGGTAACTGCTTAGAAATGGTTAGGGGGGAAGGAAGCAGTTGTCCCCCAATCATTTTAGAAGCCATACTTTGAAAACGTTGACATTAGGGTGGGTAAGTTGCTGAATAAATAGGCAAAACGTTGTTGTTGGCGGCCCTTTAATTTAGTTCATAATATTTGGCTTATTCACCTATCACTTATTTATATAATCTATCAACCCTGGTTGTGACACCGGGGTACAAGATTGTGGGGTGAACTGGAAATCTGTTTTGTACTTCCTAACGTAATTGGCAATTTCCAAATATGGTTGGAACTCGAGCGTGTAAAGTTTGTTGAAACCAACTGTAATGAGATATATGAACTGTTTTAGGAAGTAAAGAGTGATTTGGGCTATGTTGCACCAAGGCTTGCTGCAGAGAAACTCTCTGAGAATCTTAAAAAGAAAGGACATTCAAACAATGTCAATATCATTGATGTTGGCTGTGGCACTGGCTTAGTTTGTGAGGAATTGCACAAACTTGGATACAAGAATATTGATGGAGTTGACTTCAGTCCAGAGTTGTTGAAACTTGCCGAAGGTAAGGGCGTTTATAGGATGTTGAAGCGTGGTTTCATGGCTTCTGATGGGTGCAAGAATCTTGGCATAGAGGCAAACCAATATGATGCTGCCATTTGCATTGGTGTCTTTACGGTTGGTCATGTGAAAGGCAAAGGGTTTGATGATCTTGTTCATGTGGTCAAACCTGGTGGTCTGGCGTGTTTCACCATCAGAAAATGCATAGCTGATGATCCCGAATATGGATATGATGAAAAAATGGATGAGCTTATCAAGTTGAAAAAATGGAGTCTGGTTTCAAAGTGTCAAATTGTGTACCATGAGGTTAACAACTACAAATGTTGGTTGTACATTTATGAAATTCTATGAAATATCATAAAAGTAAAACTTTCTCCTTTTGCAGCACATTTAATATACCCACTGCTAAATGCTTTGTTAGAATTAACTTACATCATGTTTGAACTAATAGTAGTTTAGCAGGCCATGGGCCGGTAAATTTATGTCAGCTGTTGGAAGTTTTTAAAAAACTATTTTTTAAGACCCTGCTATGGTATATCATATGATACACTTTGATTAAAAGTATCTATTTCTCTTTTTTGTTGTGGTTGTTCAAAAATGGTTGCATCTCCTTGTAGATGTTTTGGAGTTCCTCCAACCTCAGCATTGTGTTCTAAAAAATAAACAGAAACCCCATTAATGCCTCATATTTACATCTTTAGTCTGTCGGGTAACTATATAGACATGCACCTGCTCTGTGGACTGGAGTATTACCCACAGAATTTGTTCACAGACCTCTGGTAAAACTTACTTTGAATAGAGTTACCATTTTGGTTGAACCGTCTTTAGTTTCGTGACCATTTTTCATTTCTTCCTTATACTCAGTGTCTACTGTGAGTGCCAGGTAAAAAATAACTCTTTGCTAAAGAGAAGAATGGCAAAAGATTGTAATTTTCTATGATTGAGTGAACAGTCCTATAGATCATATAGCATACCATTGTCACTGCTTCATTGATAATGAGGTCTTTAATTGCACTGAAATTGAAGAATGTTTTGTTTTCCTTTCCAAAACGACCTCTTGAGCTCAGCTGGATGCCAAAACCCTCAATGACTTCAACTGATTCTATACATTCAAGGTTAGTGAGTATTATCCATAAACAGAGTAACTAGTCAGCCTAGAGAGCAGTTTAAAACTGTTCATATAAACTATCAACACACCTTCAACAATTTCAGTCATCACACAAACAATAGCAGATGCCACAACACAGGATACCACCAAAATTGCCGTTCCAACTCTTGGGACTTCTTCAAAATATGTCTATTGAAAAAGAAAAATTTCCTGTTTATTAAAAATGAGCTTAAGCACAGTAAACAAACTGATCATCCATTGAGATTTGAGACAACTATCTTTTCTTTGCTAAATTGTCAAAAAGGATGATCAGTCTGGACTATAAATCTGGGCAGTGAAGCATTTCATTAATCATAACAATTATTCATTATCGCTTGTTGGGCAAGATCAACTTGGATGGATTTCTCTCATTTGTGATCAGTGATTAGTGCATTTGTCATCTGATAACTGCATATTGAAAGATCTAATATCCAGTAACTGCTTTCCTCCAATCAGATCTCAGAATACACCTTCATTGTAATATATTAAATACTTAGGAATCCGAATATTGAAGTCAAGACGAAATAAAGTTCGTAAACGAAACTGTACTACTTCCCCAAATACCTTCTCAAACAGTGAAGAAAGAAGGAGATTTATGGTTATTACTCAGGATCACGGCAGGTTTAATCTCTGATAGATTGACCCGGGTGCTTCCTGCAAACAAAAACATTGCGTAATAATATATAAACACCAACCTGTAATAACAAAACGACGCTTGCTAATAGAGCTACAACTCCACACATTGGCCATAAATAATGAAAATAGTTGACATTTGTGCGAGAAAGCACAAATTGACGAAACATAGAGCCTAGATATACATATTTTACGTTTACTTGCCGCCCATAAGAGTCTGTGGTTGTTTTTAATTGGTTTGTTTTCATAATTCACGTACACTGCTGCTACCGTGCTGTACTCAAGTTTAACCACAAGAAACGGATGTCCCCTCCTGATATACATATAAGAAGTAACTTCTCCCAGGGGGGGTAAAAAATTTCAGGTGCATGCGAGTTGCAATGTAGTTTTGAGCTGTATATAAACTGGAGCCCGTGGTGTAATTACTGACAATGCAAATATATGCAAAGTCCTTGATCTTACACTGAAACAATCGTTTTCACTAACATTTCTCCTAAATTAACGTTGCTTTTTCTATTTCGATTTTAAAGTATACTTCAGGGTATGTGATTTTCTAATATTTGCCACTATTTTAGTTTAAAGTACGCGGGGTGGCCTCCCCCTTTCTTCCCCCTGGGGGTAAGACAAACAAGGCTATTTCCGGTTCTCAATGTAATGGGAGAATTTCATTTCTGGTCAAAATTTGGCAGGAAAGTTAAAAGTTCATGTCAAGACACACACTTGATGCATATTAATATTGGTGTTATAGCGACGGATTTCAACACTTTTATGGCAAAACATGAGTAAATTTCTAGCAGGAAGGCCGGCGACGCTACAAGAAAGCCAAAAGTTCGAGAGAGATTTGGTAGGACTAGTTTTGTGTTCACAGAATTTGAAATCGTACATTTTACGCGATCTTGTTACTTGTTTAAAAGCTTTGATCTTGCTTTGTAATTACTTATTGTCTTTCTAAGGAGGGATCTTAATGGCCACAAATCTTTAAATTTGATAGTTTAGGAAGAATTGTATTGGCTTTTATGCGCTTATTACCCCGAAATCCAGCTAATTTGTAATGAAATCTTTTAAAAATATATATAATTCTTTTTTAATATGATATTAAACTATTCAAATTTCATCACTTATATCGTTATATATACAAACACATGTTTAAAAAAGGTTCACTCGTTTTAAGTTTAATTTTTCCCCGATTCTCTCATTCATTCGTGTTCTCATATAAAGCAATAACAAAAACCACAACCTTATGCCAAGTTTTAAAGGTAGAATATAAATATCATGCCATAAAGTTCAAGTTTATAAATGATTATACAGAAATATAAGCGTGTATTAATTATATATATAGGTCATTGACATGCATAAATAGCTATAGTTGTTACAAGGGCATATTTTATTACTTTTCTTGAATGAATCAGTTTGATTTTGAGAAGAAGGTCTTTAATTATTTACACATGAATAAACTTAAACCTGATTATAACTGAATTTTTGAGGTTTTCGTTTGTATAAATATGTTTCACTGAAGTATACAACATTGATGTATTCACCCCCTTGACAAATTTGGGCAAAGAAAATCTTGGCTGGGAATTTCAAAATATATACAAAATTTTGTTTGTACTAGTCTTTGTAGTCCTGGAGTCAGTGAACCAATAAACTATTTGGAAATCATTAGGAATGTGTATATCAATCAGACTTCAGGACTCTGACTGGGGCTGTCTAGGGTGTATTCTGACCAGCTTGTCTTGTAGATATGGAACATAAGATTTAGGAATCAATCGGATTTATTTTATTTTCAACAGGCAGAGCGTCTTGTTAAGGCAGTTAACACTACGGAAAATGCAGTGAAAGAAAAGCATATGAGAAATATCCTTTTGTACATAAAACATCCTGCATTAGACCTTTGCGTACTATAATATACTCTAGTATCCCACAATATACCTTTCCATTGCACCTGGCTATATAACTTTATTATCCAACCATATCATGATATATATTTATGCTCCTTGACAACACTCAAGCACTATAATCGGCACTTGGCAAGAAAATGGCTCCAAAACATTTTGGATGTGTCTTCGTAGGATGCACATCTCAGCAAATGCAATCATGTGTTGGAAAGCCATGACAGTTGTTTATAAATTGCTCAGAGAGGGCCATCCAAAGGTAGGGATTGATATGAATGAATTCCTGTTTTTTTAGAATATGTGAGAGCACAGTCCAGCTTCCATTTCCCTCTGTGTAAATTTTAGGTTTTAAAAGAGTCTGCAGCTCACAAAGTGACATTTGCAGATTTATCTAATTATTGGGTATGTACTATATATTTTAAAGTATTTCTCACTTGCTGGGACAGATATTGTGAATCAGTCAGTTAAGACATCATGTGAAGACGTATAATTTGTTGTTTAATTGATTAAATCCAGATTATTTTGCTTACAAAGTAAATTTCTTTTCAGAAACACTCACCAGATGGGAGTTACGGCAAGCTCTCCTACTTGTATATAATAATAATTATGAAAAAATTAGATTTCCATGCCAAGGTAATTAAATAAATTACTTGAATTCAGAATCATTGTATACCTTTATAGACGAGCAAATTTATTTATATCACTTCAATTTAGCATGAATATATTCCTGGAAATATCCAACCGAGCAGTGCAGATACAATAAAACATCCAACCAGAGATCGTAATTATTTGTAAGTGAACTTTTAAAGTGATAGATACAGTACTACTAAGTTAGATATGTTTATGATTGACTTTATTTACACTTAATCCTATTTCACTGAACTAGGATCATTGCAGAGAAAGCTGTGATATTAATACCTAACTGAAATAAGTTTTTTTCATTATGTTCTAGTTTTGAATTAGCCATAGATATTTTTGATCAATTGGACAGCTGTTTAGATCTATTTGATGCAGGTTTGAGCTGAATTTTGAGCTGATTTTAATCCTTTTTGTTGTGATCCTTATTGTGTAATCAAATTGCTTCTTAAATTTCATTCCAGTGTCCAAAAGTCTCAACCCATATAAGTCAAATTCCCAAATTCAAGCTGTGCAATGCAGAATCTGTCCCTTTCCTATGTTGATACAGGTTTGTGTTATTGTGCATCCTGAATGTGGCGGGCTAGCTAGCTTGCCAGTGTATATTGCAAGATAGTACTGTCATCAGCAATGTCATGAGAAAGACTTGACTCTATGAACTTTATTCATTGACTGTTTAATTTTTCATTTCTTTGTAGGAATGCAGTGCATTTTACAATTTATCTGTTGAAATCATGTATAAACTACACAGAAGTAAGTTCGTTTTTATTCTAGAACCTTGAATTATCAAAGACTTGGCTAAATTGTCTTCAAAGAGGCTGCAAAATCTGGCAGAATGCAGGCTACTTTTTCCCTAATCTAACATATTCATGATTAATAAATTTATTTCAGAGCTCACACATGATATGTTGAGTGGACATCGCAACAGGTTCTACCCAATGTTTCGACGACTTCAGAAGTTTTTCTTTGATGCAGGAGCTCTGAGTTATGTCACAGCGTTGATTAGTGTACCCAAGTTACCTAACGTAAGCAGCATAGTGTATATCTTCTGAGAAGAACGTCGGAGGATATGTCATTTATTAAAAATCTTGAAACAATCTTTGCAGGAAGCGCCAACGTTTGTTGGTGCAGAACCAAAACCAGTTGAAGCTCCAAAACCTGTTAAACAAGTCGAAGACGAACTGCCTCCGCCACGACCAGTAAGTTTTGTGATTTTATTTCTTGTAACCTCCCCACGAACTTCCCCCTCCTACGAACCCTTTTCTACTAACCCCCCTATAACACCCCAGCCATCCCTGGTCCCAAGATAAGAGGATGTATGGTACCACTGGTATCGGGATCTTATGCAGCCAACTCTAGTGGGGATTACCAATACAACCACAGCTGATGACAAGCACTGCTGTCCCTCCCCCAGCTATGAAGATGAGAACAAAATAATGACATGAACTTCTTCATATCACTCCAGGAAAAACCAGCTGAACTCCTTGCATTAAACAGCGCTCCACAAGAAGATGAAAGGTAACTGGAGTGGCTTGTGGGTGACTAATGGACATAGGGGGTTAATGAGTATCATGTCGTATTTTCTAGGGATAAGTTGATTGAACAGTTAAGGGCTAAAATTAAACATGAGGAAATTCTTTTTTATGAAAAACGGAAGGTGAGTTTCTTGTTTCCATGTTTATTACGTACTTGAGAAGTTGGCAGAGGTTTTGAACGGTTTGTGTTTCGTTTTTTAGTCAAAGGAAATGGAGGATGCCTTACGAATACGAATATCAGAGGTACAGAACATCTTTCTTAATACAGACGTGCCAACATTTTAATACAGATGTAACTTTCTAACACAGAAGTTTGGCCCTCTTGTATTTACACTTTCCTTATTGAAATAATCTTCTTCCATCTTTCCACTCCAGCTGGGCGCGGAACTCGTTGAACTGCGAGAAGCTTCAGAACAAATGTCAAAAGAAAACAACGACTTGCAATCCAGACTTCAGGAGGAAATGAAACGTACGTATGCTGTATAGAACCAAAGATGATCATTGAAACTCTTTGAATGGACATCAAAATGACCTTGTGAATGTCAATAAAAGAAACCTTGAACGATATCTCATTTCACCCTCTTCTAGTGGCGGAGCAGGGCAAACCTGCTGAAGAGAAATTTAATAAAATAAAACAGATGTACACAAAACTAAGAACGGAGCATGTTCAGCTCTTGAGGACGGTGAGGCGCTTAAGGTCTTCCTTAGCTCATGAAGACTTTTATCCCATCCTCAGTATGGAAATGAATCTAATGTTGGTATCATTTTCAGAATGCTGATGTAAAGAAAGCTTTGACAACTACTGAGAAAGAGAAAAAGGTTTGTTTTTATTTCTCAGCGCTTCAAGTCTGAACCTCGTTGATAAAACATGGTGTCTAAACTTTGAGCATATCTGGTCTTCACTAAAATATTGGTTTTTAGGAGGTGGAAGCAACGTTGGCGACTGCTCAAGAGGAGGTTGATGACACGGTCAGTACAGGAAGGAAATCAAACAATTTGAAACGTCGCTGTTATTTAAACACTTCCCAACAAAGCGGTTTGGGCTTTTCTCAAACATTATGTAATTTTTTTAAAAATCGTTTAGTCGGAGAAGCTTCTTGAAGCTTATCAAACAGCTGAAGCAACGAAAGAAGCCTTGAAGGTGAGCTTGAAAGTTGTTTTTCTCTTACAAATGTATCGTACTGCACGATTTAGGAGATCACTTATGTACAACAACTCTCTTTTTGAAACAGGCGGCTGAGGAGACTATTGAAGAGCTGAAGAGGGAATACGGGGAAAAGGTAATAGCTTCTTGGTATCGCAACGTTTGCATCCAGATTTACTTAATAAGAGGTCAGGGTTGTGTCTGCATTGAAGAAAATTCTTGTGTCTGTGTGCTGTTCTTGAAAAGGTTTTAAATTTCTCGACTGACTGTTGTTTTAATGTGACTTATTTCTCAGCAAGAAGAAATGGATGGATTACTTGCTAAGGCGACCATAGCTCATGAAGAGACGGAAGAGAAACGAAAGGTGGGTGAAGAAAGCCTGGTGAATGAACCTAGGGGCACCATGGGGGGGGGGGGGGTAGATCTTGCCCTGTGCCCCACAATTTCTCCCCGCCTCCTCAAAATGCGAATCAGAATCCCCTGTCATCCACCACTGGAATATTTTGGTCATGTCATAATTTTTTCTAGTTTGCTGAGGAGAAATGTTCTGGTGTTGAAAAAACCCTGAACGAAAAGGTTTGTGATATCAAAGACATCTGTTTCAAACATTTCACAGGGACAATATATTTGTGCAGTTTTAGACGATATAAAACGATATATGGGACGTTGGTGGACTCGATTCCCAGTGTTCGTTACATCCATGAGGGTCCCCAAAAGTCCTTCGAATACTGTTCTTTTTGAATCCAGGTTTGCGAGTTAGAAACACAACTTTCCGATATGAGAAAATTGAGGGAGGAAGAAGAAATGTCAAGAAAAAATGCAGAGGAGATGATTGAACAATTAAAACAAGAGTCAAAAAATAAGGTATGAAGTTTATGAACTCTTCTCCTACACTCGGTAAATACGAGGAAATATCGCGACACTTTGAAAAAAACAGTGTGAGTCCATTAACCCCTCACCACGTGACGATCTTTCGACTGTGCCCTGGTTTAACTCATAAACATCCTCCCTGCACGCGTGTTAATCGTACGTATATTACTGACACATGGTAATTACACACTTTGTCTCTTCTGTATACTCATTAGCAAGAGGAACTGAATGGATTGTTGGCTGGAAAAACTCAAGCGTATGAAACGGATACAAAACTCAAGGTAAGTTTTGGTCATTTTTTGATATTTCAACTAGTAACAATAACAAAAGGCCGCTCATACTCTAAAGTATGGGAACTGGACTCTGTTTCTTCATCTTTCATCTTTATTTCAGACCACTGAGCAGAGATGCGCTGAACTGGAAGAATCGTTAAAGCAAACAGTATGTTTCTTGTATATGTCGATATCAACCGCAGTCCCGCTTTTTTCAAACGTTGTCTATCTTATCCCTCATGTGTCCGTTGTTGTACATTATAGACGGGTAACTTGGAAAGCACGGTGAATGAAATCGCGAGACTGAAAGTGGAAGCAGAAACGAGGCGATGCGAGGCCGAAAATAAAATGGAAAATATGACTAAAGAATCAAATGAAAAGGTATCCTGAGGTGTAAAAAAGGGGTGAGGTGAGGTGAGGTGAGGTGAGGTGAGGTGAGGTGAGGTGAGGTGAGGTGAGGTGAGGTGAGGTGAGGTGAGGTGAGGTGAGGTGAGGTGAGGTGAGGTGAGGTGAGGTGAGGTGAGGTAAGCAAAACATTAGTCGGGTTCTTTTGGCGTCTAATATTAAGCTTCATTTTATATTCGCAGCTAGAAAATGAAAAGATTCAAAGGGAGAACGCTGACCTCCTGAATAAACAGCGTTTACTGGGTGAGTACGAGGGAAGAAGGAACCTTAAAAAAGTATTCTTTCTTATTTGACACAAGAATCAAGAATCGACTGTTGTGTTGTTTATGTCCTTTAGTTCTCGCGGTCCAAGAGTCGGAAAAGATCGTTCAAAGCTCCTTAGACGAGTTTGAAAATCCCAAGAATTGTGGAACAACTTGTACTGCAGGTGGGCTTCTGCATGACGCGACTAGAGTGGAACCTCGCCACGCTAAATAATGCTTTTAAACAACGTATTTTTTATATAGAGTATTTGGTTGAACGTATGTCGGATTTGTTGCCAACGCTGGACAGAACTGTTCAGGGATATCGTTCCTATCTTAGCGACAAAAAAGGTCAATAATGATGTAGAATATGAAGCTGTCTTCAACCTCTGTTCTCTGCTGACTTTGTTTTGTTTTCTAGATGTTGATGATTTCGTTACCTCGATCGGTCCGTATTCCCATCTTCTTAGCGAGTGTATTCTGTTAGGAAAGGCCACGTCACATATGGCCCCACGCGAGGACGCTGAAGGTAGGGATTGTGGTGGTATATGTTGGATAATACAAGGAAAATGGTGGTAAAAACAAGCATGATGATGTTGGATAGTGAGGGATAATTATCATTTTAATCTAGCTTTGGTGAAACACTGTCAGAACGGTGGTAAAACAACACTAGAATTACTGCAAAGTATGAAGGACACTGATATTACAGGTTAGACATTAATTACGCATGCTCTCTCTCCTTCTGGACAATTCCAGAGCTTGTCCGTCTGTGGGAAAATACTTTCGTTCATTTTCACGCCTGATCTTGCCTTAGATTCAAGTAAACTGGACGGTCAAGTCGAGGCAGTGAGAGAGTCAATCCGGAATATACTGAACATTGGCAATGTAAGTTTGAAGATAATTCAAGAACAGTCAATAATACCATGTGCATAATTAACTCCCTTTTTCAATGGTCCATATCACCAGGCTCTCGTGCCAAAAGAGGATGAAAGTTTAGACAGTATTGAAAACGCCGTTGAGGATGAAATAACGTCAACAGCTGAGGTACATTGTTATGGATACCTTTCACTAGCACAATCTGGTTCTAAAGACGTATTTTGGTTGAACGCCAACCATTTAAGTTCTCTCCCAATTATTCAACTGACGAATTCTTTCTTCTTCACAGCTCGTAGCAGAGGCTGTCACTAGAATCGAGGTGGGTAAAATAAGCTTTACGAGAAATGATTTCAAGGTGATATTCTTGACTTCATCTTCTTATTTCAGGAAATGTTGAAGAACGCGCGTCAAGCAGATACGGGTGTCAAGCTGGAAGTCAATGAAAGGTTTCTTTCCGTTTAATATCCTCTTTTCATTTATGATAAAAGAAATTAAGCTCTCCTGTAGATAAATACACGTTAAACTTTACTTTTTAGAATTTTGGATTCATGTAACGCATTAATGAAGGTATGGTTTAACATTTATAAACTTTTCTTCACAAATCACGAGAAACATCCTGACTCACCATAATCAACTTTAGGCCATTCGAGTTCTCATTTTGAAGTCGAAAGATTTACAAGGCGAGATCGTCGAGGAAGGCATGGTAAGGAATCCATCCAACACTCCATATATTTTCCCCAATAATTCATATTTGCTCACTGGGTTATTCGTGCGCGTAAAGCTATTTATTGTGCTTATTTCCAGGGTTCAGCTTCGGCTAAAGAATTTTACAAGCGACATCACAGATGGACGGAAGGTCTCATATCAGCTGCCAAAGCGGTTGGTTGGGGAGCCAAAGTTCTTGTGTAAGTTTACGTTTGTAGTACCTCCTCATAGTGGATCAATAAGAAATGATCCTTACTAGACCTCAGCGGCAAAATATCTGGTACTAAATCTTTATTTGTTTTAACTTCAGTGATGCTGCAGATAAAGTCGTGAAAGAAGGGGGCAAATTTGAAGAGCTCGTCGTCGCTTCTAATGAAATCGCGGCAAGTACTGCACAATTGGTGAGTTTAACCTCTTTCCCAGGAACTTTCAACTCCCTGCTCAATCTGAGGCTCTCCATTGCCGTGATTTTAGGTGGCTGCTTCAAAGGTCAAAGCTTTGCCAAGAAGTTCCAAGTTGTCTGCTTTGACTACAGCATCAAAGTCAGGTAAGACTGTACTCTATAATGTGATCTTTGCTGGTTGAAATAAGTTCATCCATAGACTGGGCAAAAAGATCACAATCCGACACTTTAGCTTCAAGTGAGAAAGCATGTTAGGATAGTACTCTTAGCTTGGTCTTTCAACTCTTGAACTCGGTGGTTATGATTGGCAATTATTATTTTATCTATCGTGATGATAAAAATACGACTGTTTCTGCAGTTGCCGAGGCGACAGGAAATGTCGTGGCGTCAGCAAAAACTGGTTCGGAAATGATTGAAGATAGCAGTAAGTAGCAAACAACTGCTTTCGCAACGCACTCTATGCTCTATATCTCTGTCTTAAAAACACATTTCCTCTATCTTTTTTTCAGAAACCGTCCCGGATTATTCTAAACTTTCACTTACACAAGCCAAGAGACTTGAGATGGACTCGCAGGTAATATTGTTAGTGCTTTGACTGGAAACAGTAAATACTGTACTTTTCTCTCAGACTAGCAGTATTGTATTTATAAAGTAGCACCTAATGAAACATTGCAAGTAATCGTATTTTTTAGTTTTATGTCTAAACTTCGAGCGGGATGAAAGATGATGATTTAAAAGTTATTCATTTTTTCGTTGGGATATTCCTAGGTTCGTGTTTTGGAATTAGAAAGTCAATTGGAAAAAGAAAGAAAGAGACTTGGCGAGCTAAGACGCACTCATTATCAACTGGCTGGAGCTAGCGAGGGCTGGGAAGAGGTGGGTGTTAGGAGATGGTGGATGTTAAGGGGAGGGTGAGGGTCGAAAGAGGGTGAGTGTTGGAAGGCGGTGGGAGTTTGTGGTGGTGCAGCTTAGGGTGGTAAAGGTCGGGTGAGGTGGGGGTTGGAAGCAGTTGAGGGTAGGGGAGCATTGTGTTAATTCCTTTTCTGTCATTGCCTTCTTATTTTAGGAAGCAACAAAGTAAAGAAACACAAGCTCTGTTACAGTCGTTTGGACAAACTAAAAGGCAATGCAACAGCTATACCCGCTCAACACATTCACATACTTTAGAGCGATTCAAACACAGGAACATATTTCTGAATCTCCCTTCATTCATGTGCATGTCCTGTGTTCCTTTTTAAAAATTAGAAATTTTTGGTGTTTTTCTTGGCTTATATGCTTACTGTAAGTCTTGTCTTCTCATTTAATTGACCTAGTTATGTAATATACACACATATATATATTTACACGCCTGTAAGTAGTTTTATCTTCCGTATTAAAATTTTAACTTTTTCCACATCCTTTTTCTTGTGGAGCAATAATCTGCGCGCAGACGTAATGTGATTATTACATGTACTTTATTGTGCTTTTAACTCACGTTACTAGGATTGCACTATGCTTTCTTTCCAGGTTATTGGGTAAATTTGATCGAGCAACCAGATTCATCAAGGACAAATGACAATGTCAATGTTTCAAGAACAATCAAAGGTACAGTTGTGTAACAATCGATTGTCATGCAAATTCTCCTAAATTATTGCGGCTAAAACAACAGATATTTGTAGCCACCGACGTATGTGGTTCTTTAATATGACATTGGCATTTAAATATGGCTAGACGATTTTCAGAGGAAAATTTAGGCTCTAGTGGGCTAGATTTAAAGCAATCAAGCAGCAGGGTCAGTACTTTGAACCCGAGTGGAACGAGGGGGAAGCCAACAACGCGATTTTCACGTTACGATACTAGTTCTGAAACGAAAGTTGGAAAGAAAAAACCAATGACAGCAAACAGAAATTCTGCTTCAACAACAGCACGAAAACAACCTGTAACTGGTGTTAATCAAACTGCAAATAACAAGCAAAAAACTACAAGTTCTAGCAATGCATTAGTGCCACGAAAGGCCGCGATACTTGCGCCAAAGGGCTACACTGCTAGGCCTATTGTGCCTGCTTCGAAAGCTGAACTTTTGCCGGTTGCAAGAGCGATGAATCGCGAGGATTTCGCTCCAAGGTTGAAGAAATTATTCGACCCAGAAAGGGAGGCGGCGCTGGAAGCAATCGAAACAGGAGTTTATATCGGTTGGCGCTGTCCTGAGTTTAAACACGACTGCATACGAGTTGGAAAAGCTTCGAAATGTTTTTGTGGCCATCTTTTATCGGAGCATAGCCATTACCATGGCAACAGCGTGAAAGTCCCGTGCCGCGTGGGTTCGTGTGCGTGTAAAGCGTTCGCGTTTGTTCCCGCGCGGCCAGAAGAGGTGGGAGAATGGTGGCTACCAAGACGACCGGGTTTTGATCCAAGTACCTGGAGGGCGAAGTGCAAATGCAAGCATACCCACGAGGAACACAGCCCGATTAATTCAAGGTGTCAGATAAAAACCTGCCCTTGTGCTGGCTTTAATTCGGCGTTCTTGTGCTGTGCATGTGACAAGCATTGGGAACAGCACGTGACTGTTTTTGAAAGCGCATCTCACCGTGACGCGGAAGGTATTCCGTATGGACAACATTATCTGCCTTTCCACGAGATGCCTGAGTTGAGAAATGTAGTGTTGACAGGGAGAGAGGATAATAGTTCGATGTACGAGGAATTAGCCTCGGGGCCTTATGCTATCCCGGAGAATAGACCTTCTAAATTAGCACTACAACTACGGGGTAACTCCTCTAAAAAATATCCGTAATAAAAATGGAAAGATTTCCTGATCAAAGTTTTTCCAAGATGAAAAACTAGTTGATTCCTTAGCGCTATTTATTTTCAATCAACTTGATATCACATCTTGATTGTTCTAAACTATAAGTTAATCACTGTATATATTAAACTGATTTCTGTACATAAATAACTAAAAACTCAACGAAAAACGAAACGATCAACCTTAAAGTTAATCTAAGGTTGATTAGCAGTTAATATCATTCTGTGTTTGGGCTAGTTGTTGATGGTGACAGTTTCCCAGAACTCTCTGCAGCAGAACCCTTTGGAAAACGAAGAAAACATTTGTCAGTTGTTTCATCTGCAATGCGACCAAGGATTTCTCTTTCAAAAATCAGCATGCACTGTTAATAATAAATGAATAAAGTTATGTTAATCTACCGTAGGTGGTGTCGTAATGGTGCTTTGTTCAAGATTTTGTACCATTTGACGAGACTCTGCCAGTAATCGATGTAGTTTGCTTGTTGGTGAATTTTCCTTCTTAAAAATGGAAGTTGGATGTTGGTTATCATTAAGACCTTTCTACAACTTGATCAACAACTTATCACTGTCATTCAATTCACTGTAGTTAGAAGATAACATGGTTACATTACAACTCGTCGACGATTTTGTCACTTACGTCTTGTGGTTGGCCAGTGACATCTCCATTTTGAGTGTTTGTCATAAGGTTTGGATCAGCGAAACTTGTCATTGGAAAGATTTGTACGCCGGGAAATGACGGTAAGGGAAAGTATTGCTCACTCTCTGAAGTCAGTTCGGGAGATCCTGATGTAAAGAATAAAGAACACTAGCTTGAAATAGCGCTTCAGTTTTTGGGAGGGCTTACAATCTTTGCTTTTTATGACATTCTACCAGTGTTGTGCACGAACTAACCTATTTTACGATGGACTTGTTCATTGGAGTGGCCATCAGAATTCGCTGTGGATGAATGCGATTTTGTTTCGGGGAAATACGACAATGGACCATCGAGGTCGTACTCAAGATCTTTTAATGAAAGGTTGGTGAAATCTCGTGCTGTCTCTTTGAGTGGAGATGTTTGTCTTGATGGAAAGCCATGCGTGCTATCGTGTGAAATATTTCCAGTGGAAGTGTTCAACCATTCCGGGTGATTATTAATCGTTGCATGGTCGAACAATCTTGGCAAAAAATGCAAAGAAACGACTTTAGTTGGAATTGCTACAACACCATCTCTAGAAACCGACGGAGCTTCGAGTTTAACATCTACTATACAATGAAATTCTACATAAGTTCTTCAAGATCTTAACAACCTTTCTTGATCTTTAGTTTCACTCTTAAGAAACGACTCTTGTGAAGTTTGAAGGTGCATTTGCATGTATGAGATATCTCGTTGCTGTCGTTCACATATCTGATACGAAATAGATTTAAAAAAGCAGAAGTGAGTGAGTGAGTGGTTGATGTAATCCGTGAGTTTCAGTGCCACTTGGAAACGTTTGGGGTTCGTACTTGTCTTAAATGTTGAAGTTCAGAGTCACTTCGTTCTTGTTTGGATTTCTGCAGTTCCAGCAATTGATCCTTGCGTTTTTCACGCTCGCCTGAACAAGGAAAGAGAAGGAATTAGCGTTAACTTACTATAGAATGACGCATTTGTCATTTATCTTCAATTGAGAACTAAAGTACTCTTTCTACCTGAGAGAAATACTTCTTTTTGTAACACAAGAACTTCTTGTTTGGACTGAAACGTATAAGAAAGTTGTTAGTCCACGAAACATGCGCCTTTTAGGCTGACTCGAGCTGTTTGGTTTTTGTTATGAAGATTGAAGAATCAGTTTCCAAGTTACCTGAGCCAACTCTGACTGCAAGTCATCAGCATCACTGAACTGCTTACTCATTTCACCTAAATAAATTCAAGGGAATGTCATTTGTAGAAGAAAACCTGTTCAATAATCTACATCTCTTTATTAACTCCAAGGCGGCTAATTATCACAAAATAGACCAAGAACCTCGCAAGTTTTCAACTTCATGTTTTGTTGCGTTCAGTTGATCCCTGAACTGATCTCTTTCTGCTTTCATGATTTTCTCATGTGTCTGGCATTCCTGCAAGAAAAAGCTTAGAAACTTCAATCATAAGTCTCCTCGCTGATTTCCAAGTGTTCCCAACGAACCTGAACGGCGTTTTCAAGTCTTCTCGTTTTCTGTTGAAATTCTCCTATACGAATGTTGGCTTCAGTGATGTCATTCTCCTGCGAGATGATGTCGAATTACTAAGGTCGGTACTGGGTTTAAAATCAAGGCTGGGCTGTACGAAGGATGAATATAGCGCTATGAAAAAATCACCATCCGGTGAATAGCGCTATCCAGCTTTCTTTCAACCGCCCAAATGTATAACATTTCCGATACCTTTAATTTAATCTTAGTCAGAAGCTCCTGTTCTCTAGCTTGCAGTTGTCCAAGATTATTTGAAAGTTCTCGCAAGGAATCACTCAGGTTTGTATTTTTATCCTGAAGAATATCACAGTACTGATTAGTTTGGTTTAGGTTTCCTCCTGTAGCAACACTGGATCAATAAGAGATGATTCTTACTGGACCTCTAAGAAGAACAGTTTAGAACTGATAGAGCTTTCTAGTATAAAAAAAGTTAGTTTATTTTAGGTTTCTTACTGTAGTAACACTGGATCAATAAAAGATGATCCTTACTGGATCTCTAGGAAGAACAGTTTAGAACTGATAGAGTTATCGAGTATAAATATATAAAGTTAGTGTTCCAGGACACCTCTAAATCTTGAAGTTTTTCAGTAGCAAATTCAGCTTCCTCTGTGATTTCCTTCAGTCGCTCCTAGACAAATATATTCAAACTTGGATTATCTTATTGAACTTTAAAAGGTTCACCACAAGTGGACAGGGCAGATCTTACCACAGTCGCCTCTAATTCTTTTCGCTTGTTTGTCTCATCAGTTTCTGACGATTTCAACCTAACATGTGAAAATCCAAATGTTCTGTTAACCATTGATGTATAATCTTTCTTAGAGATGATGAGATCTGGTTGGTTACCTCGCAGTCAATGCTTTGCATTGTTCATTTCTGGACTTTAACTCTCCTAGAAAAAGAGAATGAAGAAGAATTAATGAACGATACTTGATGAAATCTACTTGATGAGTTCCTAGGATGAATTACCTTCCAGTCTCGCACATCTTCTTTCCAATGCAAGAATCTAAGATCCAGAAAATACTTATGTCAGTTGAAATGAAAGATTTTGACACTTCGAAGTTTAAAGATCATTACCCGCTGTCTGTCTTCATCCCAGGACTGGAGATGCTTTTGATGCGCTTGTACCATATCATTGAGCTCTCTAAATATGTTGAAGGAATAAGTTCAAGGTGCTAACCAAATTATGACAATTCAATGGTTGGTGAGGTGACTAGTGTACCTGTCTCTGTCTTTTAACTCTACAATAAGCAGCTGAAGTTCTCTACGCTGTTTTTGAACAGTGTCTGTATCCAAGTCCAACAGCTAAAAAGAGATGAAAAGGGAAATCATTTTCTGGTGCAAAACAAAATTTGGTGCAAAGATGATCTCTTTCAAACCTGTCTTGGGGAAGTTGATGTCCCATGATGCAATTGGGTCGGAGTTACTGAGCTTGTTTGCAAAGGACTGGCTGATCTCCTGCCAACACTGGATGGTGATCGGCTGGCAGATGATGGTGATCGCGTCATTGAACCATTCATCAGTGACACTGGACTTGACAGTGAACTCTGGTGGTTGGAATGAGTTGAATGAATAAAGATGAAGTAGATCATGGTTTGTCATGGGTAGGAAAGGATTGAAGGATTTTATGGAGAAAGTTCTGAGTGAGTGAAAGTTGTCTTCCTTACCTTTACTTTTGGAGTGCTTTGGTAATATGATGTTGGTTGATAAGATGAGGTCACTCCAGAGTGTGGTTGATCTGGATGTGGGAGATGGTTTTAAACCAACATAATTATAGAAATGCATGGTGGTTGGATCTATAATCTTAACATTTTATGACCTACAGTACAGAGGAACCTATTCAGGTACATGGGATTATCACAGATAATCTCATAATCTTTTGACCTGGCCCAACCTTGATCACCTCCAGATCACAATGTCTCAACAAAAAATCGTAAACTCCAATGCTTTGAATTAACATTGCACACAAAAAAAAACAACTTGTCAGCATCTCATTTACATTATGGGCATTTGTTTGCATTTAATCTCCAAATATTTTTGCGGAATTTGAGATATGTACCACAAACATCGCTCTCAGTTCACCCTCAATAGCTGAAACAGCTCAGAAATGACAATATAAGCAACTCTCCTTATTCTATAGTAATTCACTCTTCTATTATAACGTTTTAAGTAAGAACGCACCGCGTTTTCGGCCTGAAATGTCAAAACTCTTCCCAGAAAGGACGCCGTTGTATTTACCGCCTTCCATGACCCGATTCCAAATTGGGACAGAAATTGATCTTTTTACCTCTACAATATATTTTCAAGGTTTTAGCTTGACCGGTGAATAAAAGCCGGCAGATATCGTTGATTGATATAGTAAAGTGATGGTTTCTACGAGGAAAATCAGCAATATTTCATAACATAAACAAAGAATTATCAATTCACTGGACAACAAATGTTTACAAAGTTGTTTGGCGCCGAATTTTTTTCCTACTGTACAGATAACCCAGGCGCGGCTCTTATCATTAGTTTTATCAATTTTACGTCTATTTTTGGACTGTTTTCAAAACATATTGTAAAACTATAGTCCATTAGGCGAGAAAATGATAAGATTATAGTTCTAATCAATTTAAAACTGTCTAGAAATGCTCAAAATACCTTCAAATATTCGTTAAAACTATTATTTATTCGATTCCTTAGCAGGAAAATGCGCTTGATTAAAGTGGAAACAAATGAGAGAGGGAGCTCTAGGAGATTGGAAACTAATTTTTTTTGTAAAGAGTTCTTTTGAAGAGAAAGAAAGAAAGATTTGAAAATTATTTTTTGTTTTATAAATATTGTTCATTCTCACTGGAAGATGGAGAAAAACGGACAAGGTATGCTGTTTAATATGACAGAGCTTCTATCAGATTCATATGCCATTGTTTTTGTATGATTTCAAAGATGAAAATGGCAAAATGCACACTTACTTTATGGGCCAATCTTGGTGAGACGTGGTGACCCCCTTAAAAAGTTTATCACTTTTACTAAGAGCAACCAAGCTAGACTACATGTCTGTGAAGTCTGCGAATTGGAATGAAGCTGTTGATCACCAGACGTAGAACACTATTTAAATGTTTTTTAGGTCAAAATGTTCAGGTTCCTGTTGTTAGACCAGATCAAGCTAAATCAAAACCTAAGATTGCTCATCAACCAATCCCCTCATCGCGTTATAATGAACTGCTTCGGGTGATTGAGGAATTGGGAAAAGATGTCAAACCAAGTTACGCTGGGAGCAAGAATGCCGGCGAACGATTAAGAAAGGGGATACTTCATGCAAGAGCATTAGTTCGAGATTGTCTTCTGGAGACGGAACGAAATGCAAGGAAATAAGTCAGGAAGCATTCACAGCCTAATGGATGAAGCAGGGATGAAGCTGTGATGGCTGAAACCTGCCTTAAAAATAGGTCAAAGAACATAACAAACTAAAGCATTTCATTGGTCCATCTTTTATTATCAGTATAAGATAAATGTGCTTCATTGATCTGTGTTTGAACTATATGGAAATGATCATAAGAATAATGCTGTTTTAAGCATTACCCTGGTAGTTCAGACACAATTGATGGCAGTTTATTATATTTACAATACTGGAAACCAACTTTGTACATAAAATTATAATGTTATTTACAGAATAAACAAATATTAATTATTATCTTCTGAGCCTTTATCAAGTTCCAAAAGCTTGTTTTTGATGTTTCGTTTCCTGACATAATCTGCTTTCCGTTTCCGTATTTTTTCCCAGTTCTTTGCAATTTTACTCTCTTTTCCATTGTAAAAGTAATCTAGTTTTTCACAGAGTAAATCTCGAGCAAGTGTTCTATTTCTCTCTAAATATCTTGTTTGATGACACTAAAATAAAAAGAGACTCACAGTTATGTAATTAAGTATCGAAACTTCATTCAAAACCAGTACAGAATAGCAAAGCTTGATAATGAATGAATGTTAGAAGTCCATGTATTTTTAGGTACAAACCTTGACAGTTATTCCAGTCGGTATATGCTTTAGTTCAACACAATTGCTAGTTTTATTCACCTTCTGTCCACCTTTCCCAAATCCTTTTACAAATTTTTCTTCTAATTCAGATTCACACAGAACCACCTCTTGAATTTGCTTACAGAATTTAACAGTAGACAACCTTAAACACGTTCTAGTATTTTGTAAAATGCCTTGAATATATGGAGCTTTTGTACACAGGAGAAGTTCTGTTAAAATCCTAGACATTTGGTATGATTTTTCAACAGAATCTGAGAATTATATGAACTGATATTGAATATGATCACATTAGACCATGATTATCTATAGATTAAGTTACGATTGGGATGGATTAGGGTAAAACTTGGATTTAAAGCTTGAGATTATATGATGGATTTGTTGGATACTCCCAGAGTGTCAAAGCAGCTGCGTGAAAAATAGGCAGGCTGAGGCGAATAATGACATCATCATAGTTCATTGATCCACGCCCCCTCCCGTACCTGCAATGGTGGACCAGCTTAGCTTGAAGCTTTTTGCGTTGAAGGAGTGTCAAATTTTATGATTTTCACTGTCTATGCTTGAGCTATCATCGGCGTGGATTTCTAGTGCATTGTTTCTGATCTAAGCTACGATTCTACATCTTGTTTGCCGAGCTAAGGTACACCAGTTTGCGATATAAGTGCAAAGTTTTGAGCAAAGTAAAGTGTACTCTACTGTTTGACAGTCTTCAGGTATAAATTTTGCTTCGTCGCTGTTTCAATTGGGTCTTTTCAACTGGATTCCAAATTACAGATTGTTTTTAAACTCACGATTGTGTGGAGTTTATTATTTTGGCTAAAGTGTACAAACGGTTTCATCGTTGTTTGCAGATCAAACATTGTTTGTGAAATATGAAAGAAAACGGTGTATCAGGTCCAAGCAGTCTGGTGTATATCCACTTGAAAGAATCGTATCCAAAGAAGGAACTTGTTTTTGGTTGGTAACCTTAAATGTGTCCTTCACTATCGTAGCTTTGTTTTTCAGTTCAAATCTGTGCAATCACTTGATTACACGTAGGCTTCTCACTGCATTAAAAGTTACATGATCCATACAAAAACGAAACCGAAAATAATTATTGCATATTTATGCGAAATTGTATTTATTCTGTGGTGTCGATTTACTTATATTTTGGTTCAAAATAGGCTTTTGTAAGAGATTGCATCTTTAGACCTGTTGGGGAAACTGCATTCTTCGTAGGGATATCGTACTAAAAGAATTTACGTGTTTTCAAACTATTTAACCTCAAATTCTGTCGAGTTTCAAATTTCGTTTCTCTTCCGGCGTCACGTTGTTCATGTTTGTTCAAGAATCTGAAAATAGCTAAGAATAGCAAACAGTTTATTGCTTATCAAAATCATGCTTAATGATTGCTGTTTGCCACTTCTGATTTTGATTAAACTTGTAGAAATGGCAATTTGCCCAAAAAGTACTGTTTGTTTACCCTATACGACCCAGTTGTTTCCGTTTAAATCCGAGTTTGGCAAAATGCCACGAATACTTGTTAAGATTTACAATTGTTCTAGTGTACAATAGCCATAAAATATTTGCATTCGCCAGTATATATTGTCCATTTTTTGTCTTGAATTTTAAAGAGACACAATAAAAATGAGAGCAATTTTATGACCCAGGTTGGAGTTCTTTTAATATGAAGATTGAGAAATAACATAAAGTGTGTCCGTTTTAGTAGATTACCCTGCTTCTGAAGATATGTATTGACCCTAGCATAGGATAAATAACACAAGCAATTTATAGCAAATCCTTGAATAACCACTTGTTAACCCTAAATTCAGTCCAGCCCTCAAAATAGCAAGTCACATTTTACTTCCTATTCACCCAATGTGCTGATTGTTCTCTATAGTTACACATAAACTTCTTAGTATCTTAATTTGTATTTACAATTAAAGGCAGTTGTTTCGAAAATGATAATTTGTTTTTGCTTTATAGACGATCCAAGTCTTTCAGTCCCATTTCCTGAGTTGGATGGTGAATATGTTGAATTCCTTGGAAAATGCTCCGACTCAGTCTTTGCCATTTCAAATTTCCGTTTTTTTGCTGCGTTTCAACACTCATTTGTAAATGTAAGTGGACTGACTGCTTTGGATTCTGATACAAACATTATTTCGAAAATTAACTCAAAACAAATTAACTAGTGCTCTTGAGGGAGACCTAGCTCAGAAAGGCTTGGTCATGTTTATGTTTAAGATTGTTTACACCAGTCATGTTTACAGGTGGAATTTTTAATTTGCAAACATAAACAAAGTTTGCAGTTAATGTAATAATGTTCTGCAAACAAATAAGGGTGGATGTTGCTTTGTTGAGCAATATCATTTCTAAGCTGCCATTAACCATTAACTCACCGAATTACATAAATTAAAAATGGATGTTTGCGATTTTAAAGTTGAAAGTTTAATTGCCTTTATTTTCACATTTGATTAGTCAACACCCTTTTTAATTAGGAGAACATGTCTTCTGGACATTTAAATGTAATCAAATTAAATGAAATTTATACAGGACAAAATAAATATAAACAAAAAATTGTTTTGCTTTTCCCAGTTAAGAAACACTCATTGAATGCCAAATTAGGTTGTTCATAAATTATGCATCTTAAGACAGAGGTTTGCCATCTCTTGGAGTGCTCTCTGCTATTGCATGTTTATGGTAATATATACTCAAGTGATAAATTGTGCACATGCAATTTGTTTGTAGGTCCCATTGATGTTGATTGAGAGTTTGGAATGGAAAGGAAAAGAATGCCCAGAAATATTCATTTGTTGTAAAAATGGACAATCTTTTCAGTATGTGCAAGATCCTATTAGTTCTAAGTTATCCAGATGAAATTCCTTTACTACCTGTGATTGACATCAACATCTTATAGGTTAGCACTGATGACAATGAAATAATTCCTTTCAGGTTAATGTTTGATAATGCTGAAGAGGGTGACAAGTGGTATAATAGGCTGAGGAAAAAGTGTGGAACTGATACAAATTGCCTGAAAAAACTATTTGCTTTTGCCCATTACGCTTGGTGTGAGGATACGCCTCCTGATAGCCCTTGTAATGATGGGGACTTGACGTGCCTTCCATCTCGAGGTAATTGAAGCTGGATTATACAGTATTTTTTTATCTCATAACTGAAGATTAAGAGAAAACTGCAGGTGAAGAGAAAGCAGCTTAAATTGGTTTTCATTCATTACCAGACACGTTGAACCGTGACTTTCTGCATGAGTATAAGAGAATGGGCTTCGAAAAGGATCCGGCTTGGAAGATCACTGAGATCAACTCAAAGTTTAAGTAAGTTGATCTAATCTTGATTCTATTCTGTTCTGCTCTGATCAAAGAAGCTTTTCCTGACTAGACCATGCAGTTGTATGACGGAGGGAGGTCCATCTGTATTTTTAGGCTCTGTTCTTCTTATCCCAAGTTGCACATTGTGCCTGGTAATATCACAGATGAAAAATTGGAAAATATTGCAAAGTTTAGGTCAAGTAACAGATTCCCTTCGGCTGTTTGGAGGTAGGATAGTGCCTTATAAACTGTCAGTACCCTTCTCGTATTATCCTCCGCACTTGAAAGAATAGTACTTGTAGCTGTCTCTGAATGTATCAGCTCTAGCTTGCAAATGGATCTTCAAACATGTATTTTGTAACTTAGTTGTGGTTTTTTTTTAAACCCAGGCACAGTGAAAATGGTTCAGTCATAGTGCGGTGTAGCCAACCCGAAGTTGGAATGTTATATTGGCGTTGTGCTGATGATGAATATTATCTTAAAACCTTGGGAAGCGTTCCTGACTCAGCTGCTTCGAAGCCAGTCCAGAATGGCAAGAATGACAGTCTCTCAGACACATCTTGTTCCTCTAACGATGATGATTCAGACACTTCGCATACGAACGGTTATTCAGGTAGGTCAGGTTGATTAGCACGATAGGTTGATACATGTGTCTAGTACCATCAAATTCCAGCAATATTCGGTTATCCAGTTACGGTACATGAGATCTCCTTTACTGGAAGTGTTTGCAGAACAATATCAAAATAGTGAAACTAAATCCAGTTGTTCCAGAAAGATATAACTCGCTTTCTGTTCTACCTAGACAATTTAAACAAGAAATCATCGTGTAATGGAGTTGACAAGAAAGTCCTGGTTGTCGACTGTCGATCGTACGCAGCGGCCTTTGGTAATCGTGTTAAAGGTGGCGGAAGCGAGTGTACAGGTATGTCCTTCGTTTTGGCACCGAGATTTGTAGCATTGGTCACGTATTTTGAGAAACTTCAATAGCCTAGTTAGGCATGCACAAAGGCGTCTATTTTTACACATGATGTTTCTTTTTCAGAGTATTATCCGAATTGTAAAATCCAGTTCATGGGACTAGCAAATATTCACACAATTCGCAAGAGTTTTCAATCATTGCGGGATATTTGTTGTAAGCAAGAGGAACAGACCGGGTAAGCGCGTTTCTTTGCCGCATTTCAAGGATTTTTTGCCTTCGGATTGTTCTTATAAGATGTTTTTTTCCTGGTCAGTTGGTTAGCAGCATTGGAAGCGACGAAATGGCTCTCTCATATCTCGGCGTTGATCAAAACAGCGTTGTTGGTCGTGAAGGCAATTGAACAGGAAAAACAACACGTTGTTGTTCATTGCAGCGATGGCTGGGATAGAACACCCCAGGTTGTCGCGCTGGCTGAGTTGCTTTTAGATCCATATTATAGAACAATAAAGGTTAGTTTCACTTCTTCATCTATTTCATTGACGTTCAGAGAGTCAGACGTTCTCCCTTGCAGTTGAACAAATCCTCAAACGGTTGCCGCCTAATTGACTTTTTTTCTAGGCGCTCTTCTCCTCAAAGGATGAGTAGTAATGATAACTAACTGCGCTAAAAAACACTCCCTTTGTTTTTGAACTTTTCCCTAGGGATTTCGCGTGTTACTTGAACGTGAATGGCTGGCGTTCGGTCACAAGTTTGCAGACCGCTGCGGTCATGGTTTCCATGACGATGACGTGAATGAGCGATGTCCTGTGTTTCTGCAGTTCCTGGATTGTGTTCATCAGTTATTGAGACAGTTCCCGTGCTCTTTTGAGTTCAACGAAACGTTCTTGGTATGAGAATAACTTATTGATATCGCAGACGGTTGATCTCGCTAGTTGACAAACAGGCACGCTAATTGACAAACAGGCACGCTAATTGGCAAACAGGCACGCTAGTTGACAAACAGGCACGCTAGTTGGCAAACGCGCACGCTAGTTGACAAACAGGCACGCTAGTTGGCAAACGCGCACGCTAGTTGACAAACAGGCGCGCTAGTTGGCAAACGCGCACGCTAGTTGACAAACAGGCACGCTAGTTGGCAAACGCGCACGCTAGTTGACAAACAGGCACGCTAGTTGGCAAACGCGCACGCTAGTTGGCAAACAGGCACGCTAGTTGGCAAACGCGCACGCTAGTTGACAAACAGGCGCGCTAGTTGGCAAACGCGCACGCTAGTTGACAAACAGGCACGCTAGTTGGCAAACGCGCACGCTAGTTGACAAACAGGCACGCTAGTTGGCAAACGCTCACGCTAGTTGGCAAACAGGCACGCTAGTTGGCAAACGCGCACGCTAGTTGACAAACAGGCACGCTAGTTGGCAAACGCGCACGCTAGTTGACAAACAGGCACGCTAGTTGGCAAACGCGCACGCTAGTTGACAAACAGGCACGCTAATTGGCAAACAGGGAACGCTAGTTGGCAAACAGGCACGCTAGTTGGATTGGAAAACAGGCACGCTAGTTGGATTGGAAAACAGGCACGCTAGTTGGATTGGAAAGCAGGCACGCTAGTTGGCAAGCAGTCACGCTAGTTGGCAAACAGGCACACTAGTTGGATTGGAAAGCGGGCACGCTAGTTGGCAAACAGGCACGCTAGTTAATAGGCAGACATGATAAATGGCAAGCAGGCACGCTACTTGGCAAACAGGCACGCTAGTTGGAAAGCAGACACGTTAGTTGACAAACAGGCACGCTAGTTAATGGGCAGACATGATAAATGGCAAGCAGGCACGCTAGTTGGCAAACAGGCACGCTAGTTGGAAAGCAGACACGTTAGTTGACAAACAGGCACGCTAGTTAATGGGCAGACATGATAAATGGCAAGCAGGCGCGCCAGTTGGCAAACAGGCACGTTAGTTGGAAAGCAGGCACGCTTGTTGGCAAACAGGCACGCTAGTTGGATTGGAAAGCAGGCACGCTAGTTGACAAACAGGCACGCTAGTTAATAGGCAGACATGATAAATGGCAAGCAGGCACGCTAGTTGGAAAGCAGGCACGCTAGTTGGAAAGCAGGCACGCTAGTTGGAAAGCAGGCACGCTAGTTGGAAAGCAGGCACGCTAGTTGGCAAACAGGCACGCTAGTTGGAAAGCAGGCACGCTAGTTGGCAAACAGGCACGCTAGTTGGATTGGAAAGCAGGCACGCTAGTTGGCAAACAGGCACGCTAGTTGGATTGGAAAGCAGGCACGCTAGTTGGCAAAGTACGAACATTCCCTTAGAGCCTGTTTCCTTTATTCCAGGTCAAACTGGCCCACCATACATACTCCTGTCTCTATGGTACCTTCCTTTGTAACACGGAACAAGAGCGTCTCACAGCAAACATTCGGTACAGCACATGTTCAGCTTGGTCCATGCTGGAATCTCAGTCAAGGAACTGTAGAAATTTTCTATATTCTCCGCAGGAGAAAAAGGTGAGATATTCGCTGTTTTGGGTTGCTCCACATGACAGGAGACAAACATAACCATGCATGTAAATAAAATAAAACTTTAAAATCGAGAGATCGAGGTCTTTAAACTTTCCTCAAGTCTACTTTTGGCTGTTTGAGCTTGCCTGGGCGAACATTGACATTTTTGAAGCCGTAATGATTTTAAGCGGAAAAAGTTTTATTTTCATTTGTTTCAGGTTTTGTATCCAGAATATCAAGTTCGTAATATTATGTTGTGGTCTTCTCTGTATTGTTCAAATCCTGTTATATTTTTTGATAACCCAACCTCGTTAAACTCAAGTGACGTTGCTCTAAATAACGACCAAGAGTTTCATTACGACGATGTAAGAACCGAGCCCGAGATTCGCCCGAACGTTGCTCGACGGAACTCCGACGGAGATGTAAAAGTTTCGAGCGCGGACGGAAGTCTCGTGGCAGGTTCGTCAGCCCGAGATGATACCGAACTTTATCTCACGAAATCTCTGGTCTGTAAATCTGAGTCCATGGTGAGCCCGGGTTCATCTCAAGGTATCTCGACTGCAAGTCCAGCTAAAGGATCATTAGCTAATGGCGTGGCAGAAAAGTCCATTGAAACTAATACTAGTTGTGGAAATAATGATCACGATGGAGCGCTGGAACCTTGTACAGAAGAAGGTTGTGACAATAGTTCTGTTGATCAAAATATAGCAGTATTTAAGAGTGACAATATTGCACTTCATCAGGATGGAACGAAGGACAAATTAAATAGTTCTGAATCTGATCAGAAAGGCTTGTCAGAGAAGAATGATCTTGGTGACAGTCTAACCAGTAGTTCAAATACCTTAGTAGATGAATCCACTTCTAATAACGACGAACACATGGTAAACGGTTCCGAAAATGGAAACGATTGTCTGCTGAACGGTTTAGAAACTTCACACAACACTAAAAAGACTGTATCAAAGGCTATTAATTGTAAATCAAATCATCGCCTGAAGCCTTTCATTGATGGACCTCTGTTATCACAAGACGGGGCAAGTTCTAGCAATATTAGGAAACACTTTTCAGAAGATGGGGGGAGTTTTAATGGCTGCAGAGGCACGCCGCTTTCGCCGAAGGAACGGTCTTATAATAAACTTTGCAAATACATTGACGAGGATGGATTATCGTTGGTTGTGGATCCCGTGCAAGCGCGGCTTGTCAAGTTAGAGCGATGTTATCGTGAGAGGATCGAAGGATTGGAAACACAACTAGAGGCGAGTGGTTGCGTTTGTGGACTTCGTCAAAAAGTCAACAACAAGCAAGATATGGTATGTCAACAAATATTAGATCTCTACTAGACTTCTAGGAAGCACAGTTTAGAACCCGCGAAGGTATCCAGTATAAAGTTAGTTTAGGTTTCCTTCTGTAGTAACACTGGATCAATAAGAGATGATCCTTACTGGATCTCTAGGAAGAACAGTTTAGAACTGATAAAACTATTCTTTTGTTTCTTTGTTAGCACTCCATCATTGAGCCGACATATGCTCGTTCAAATTCTCTGTCCAGTAATACCGCTTCGGACACTTGTGGAAGTTGGGAACGAGTTGATGATGCTGATGTCACACATGTATTATGGGTGCCAGACCACCTCGCCGTTAGTTGCAGAGGTTGTGACGAAACATTTACCATCACCAATCGAAAACATCATTGCAGGTTTGGTGTAAACCCAAGCTAGTGAGGAGGAGTTGGGAGGAGTGGCAAGGTCTTATTGAAAGCGAGTTCACTTTAGGCTTCCTCCTGTAGTTACACTGGATCAATAAGAGATGATCCTTACTGGACCTCTAGGAAAAACAGTTTAGAACTGATAGAACTATCCAGTATAAATAAAGTTAGTTTAGTTTAGGTTTCCTCCTGTAATAACACTTGATGAATAAACAATAATTGGATAGGATCTTTCCAATCAATTTCTTCTTTACCTATAGAAACTGTGGCAAAGTGTTCTGTAATTCATGCTGTAACGACATGTCTCCGGTGCCTTCCGAACAACTTTACGATCCTGTCCGAGTATGCAAGCCGTGTTTTGGTAAACTTCACGTGAAAAATAACCAGGACATTACTGTGGCAGCCTCGTGAGAAGCCTTTGTGAAGATTTTAGCTGCGATATCTCACAGGTCTTTCAGTTAGTTTAGGTCTTTCAGTTGGAGAAAGCTCTTTCAATGTATAACACCCATACAAGAAGATATTCCAACTCAAGACAAACGCAAAATTCAGTTTAGGTTTCAACAATTTCATTTAAGAAAATGAACCGATATTTTCGTGTAAACTTGCCATAACGAATACCCACCGTTAAAATTGTTAAATTCAAATACTATCCTTCGATGTTTCACTGAAATATTTACCATATATTATTGTTACAAAAATATCCAGACGTTCCTTGTCTGTGCATCATTGTAGAAGTACTAAGTTATATAAACTTTGAATGAATTTATGTTATTATCATTGAATGTTCCAAACCGTATAACGGAAAGTTTTTAAAATTATTTGTAATAATTATTAAATATGACAGCAAAGCACGCTATTTGTTAATAAATGACGTATATTCGTAATTGTGTTTGACGTTTTGCTTGTAGCTGGTGAGTTTCATCAACTACTTTTGTTGCTGAGCACCACAAAAGAGACGTATTCAGGTCTTCTAAAGAAGAAGAAAGAATTTACTTTTTGTAAAAACCACAAAAATTAGTATTACATGAAGTGTCTACTCTCGTCAGTTTTGCAAATATGGCTTCCACAGAGGACAAACAGCAACGAATTCTAAATTTTAATGTCGGTGTATTAGGTCATATTGACAGCGGGAAAACATCATTATCGAAAGCTTTAAGTACGACAGCATCCACAGCTTCGTTTGATAAAAACCCTCAGAGCAAAGAACGAGGGATTACCCTTGATCTAGGCTTCAGTTCGTTTGTGGTGCCACTTCCTGTCCACTTGGAATCAGAACCTTATGATGTGCTGCAGTTTACCCTTGTCGATTGTCCTGGTCATGCTTCTTTAATCAAGACTATTATAGGTATGAAATATACCTCCGGTTACTCGCAAGCAAATCAACAATGCTTTATAATCCTATTAAATCATTATAAACCATGAAAACTTTATTGAAATGCTGCGAATTTTGTTCAGGTGGAGCTCAGATTATTGATCTGATGATACTGGTAGTTGATATCAACAAAGGGATACAAACACAGACTGCAGAATGTCTTGTAATTGGTCAAATAACATGCGACAAGATGATTGTTGTTCTGAATAAGATCGATCTCATTCCTGAGGAAAAACGTGAACATCAAATTGAAAAAGTATGTCTGTTGATTATTTTCTTACACTTCCAACTTGCAAAATTTCACCCAGTTTATGTATTTTTATACGCATATTTCAGATGACTAAAAGGCTCTCAAAGACGTTAGAAGCAACAAAATTTGCTGGTTCTCCAATAATTGCAGTTGCAGCAAAACCAGATGCCGCAGCAGAAGGCCAGCCAGAATCCTTGGGTATAAAAGAGATGTCAGAATTACTGACAGCTCAAGCGTACGTCCCTCAGCGAAACAACAGCGGCTCATTCCTGTTCGCAGTAGACCACTGTTTTTCTGTCCGAGGTCAGGGAACAGTTATGACTGGGACAGTTTTACAAGGCATGGTATCTCTGAATGATAACGTCGAAATCCCGTCAATGAAAGTGGTCAAAAAGGTCAAGTCAATGCAGATGTTCAGACAACCAGTTTCAAAAGTAAGCCAAGGTGATCGAGCTGGTATATGCGTGACTCAGTTTGATCCTAAACTGCTTGAGCGAGGTCTTGTTTGCCAACCATCAAGTGTACCAACAATCTTTGCTGGAATTATCCATGTCAAGAAGATCCAATACTTCAAAAGTCAAGTCGCCTCAAAGGCTAAGTTTCATATTACCATAGGGCATGAAACAGTCATGGGTAAAGCTCAATTCTTTGGGCTACCTGTTTTGGTAGACACACCACCTGTTGGAGAGGATTTTAACTTTTCCCAAGAGTATGTATTTCAAGAGGAATTATGTGAAGTATCCAAGAAGAAAGACAAGGAGACAGCTGACAATCCTGAAATGGCAGTTAACTTGGAACACCAGTTTGCAGTTTTAGAGCTTGAGAGGCCAGTCACATGTCCAAATTCAAGCCTTGTGATTGGTTCCCGTCTAGATGCAGACATCCATTTGAACACTTGCCGTCTTGCCTTTCATGGAAAATTTTTGGAAATGTTTACAGACAAGAATTACACTGAAACCATGTTGCCAAGATTACAGATTTTCAAGACAAAAAGTCGTGTTGGTGAAGTCGAAAGGGTGGTTGATGAATATTCTTTGATTGGAAAAGGATTGTTTAAAAAGGAGACAAACATGGCATTATTTTCCAACCTCAAAGTGAGGCTCTCCACTGGTGAGGCTGGGGTGATTGAGGGAAGCTTTGGGCAAAGCGGGAAGTTTAAAGTCCGTATCCCTGGGGGTCTCTCACCAGAGAGTTTTAGTATGATGAATGCGGGGCAACGCAAGAAGGGCAAAGGTAGAGGTGTGGATGAGGGTGAAAAGATGACATCAGTGAAAATAATCTTGGATTTTAAGAGATATATATTTGATCCAGAAAAGAAAATGATACAAAAGTAATTTGTAATATCTTAATAAATTTAAATAAAAATATCCAATGATAACATATTCTCAGCAGTTTTTGCTTTTTCTGCTCTGCCCATGCGCGGTATAACTTATAAGGATCAACTCTCAATTTCCTCACATGAAGTTTCGCTTTGAAAGATGCCGAATCGCTTTCTTTCTGTAAAAACCTGTGGGCTCGTCTTTCTCCGAATTTCCCCGTCAAACTGTATCAAATTCTAATCATTTTTGTTTTTTTTCTAAATGTTATAACAAAATTATAGGAAAATCTCAACAGTTACAGTAAATGGATGGATTTATGTTTTTTGGCGGTGTTGGAAGTCTAGCAATAGCTGGACTTTGTTATTCTGCCTACAGAAATATACAAGATGCCGCAAGTCACCTCAAGGTATTGATGCACATCAATGAAGTCATCAGATCGAAATATTTTATTCATTTAATTAACTATTTTCTTCTATTTTATGTTAGATTTAATAATAGCATTATCACTTTTTAACTGGAGAGGTCCAGTTAGGGGCTTGTTGATCCAGTATTACTACAGGAGGAAACCTAAACTAAACTAACTTTATTTACACAGTACACTGGATAGCTCTATCAGTTCTAAACTGTTTTAATTGTTCCAATGAAATATAATATCTTCTTCATAATTAGAACACAGAATCACTAGATGTTGGTAAAGCTCTGTTAAAGAAAATTGAAAAAGCTCCTAACCATACGCTGGATTATGTTGCAATCCGTGGTAATGCAAAAGCTCTTGAGTCAACATTACCAACCAGCAATGTGCCGTCAGCCAAGGTTCTAATTCAGAAATTAACTTTATATGAACATAAAGTAGAGTGGGTAAAATCATCAAAACTATGGTAAGTAAACCTAAATTAAACTTCTTCATTGGTATATTTTGTTGTGTAACACCAAGTAACACCACAGGAAGGGAGAGTAACTTGCATTACCTAACACACTTGGCTGGCATCATTTTATCATTGATAAGGGTAATTGTCTATGTTCATTGTTCTGCTAGGTTCAGTAATGCAATGGTCATTCAATTTTTAGGCATGACACAACACGTACCATCAGCTCAGTTGTGAATCATGTTCCCTTTTCGTTGAACGCTTCAAGACACAGTGTGACTATAGATGAACCACTTTCTGCATCCGGTTTAGAGTTAAACAGAATCTATAGCAAATATGAACCTGTTGACCCACGTTCAATCTCAACAAGTCTTGTCCAATGGGTCAGCGGTGAGAAGACTAAAGGAATCCAAACAATTGAGGACGGTTTGCTTGAAGGAACCTCGCTCACTGCTGTAGGGAAAATTACACTTCGAAATGGTATTTTAAAAATGAGACCTCCAGAGAATGAAGAATACATTCTAAGCAAACTACCGCTGGATGGAATCATACGGGAGAAGACAAAATCTCTTCGTATATGGAAATATGTTACAATGAGCTTCGCATTTGCAGGTGGGGTGTTGCTCTTAATCTGGTTTTATCGGTGGTGGAGAAAAAGAAGGAGAAGGTGGCAGGCAGCACCACAGGCAGCACCACGTAGAGACGACATGGATAGGGTCATTCATCTAGTGCTAAGTGGTGGAGAGACGTCTGAAGCTGGAGAGGGACAGTCTTGTGTGATTTGTCTGACAAGACCTCGGAATGTTGTAATTTTAGATTGCGGACATATATGTGCATGTAGAGAATGTTTACGTCAGGTGAACAACTGTCCCATTTGTAGAGCAGAAATTGTGCGACTTGTGCCAACTTATCAGAGTTGACATAATTTTTCTATGTACAGATATTTTTGAGAGAAATAAAATTCACATGATATAATCATCTCTCTTGATTATTTTTTCATGCCTTTTAAATTGCAAGTTGCAATTCCAATCTCAAGTTTAGGGTTGTGGAACAGGGATGTGTGCAAAGACACCACCTGACTTGAGGTTGGTCATGTTCTGGATTTAAAATGATCAATATTAGAAAAAGCACCTGGATATTGAAGAGAGGTTTAAAAGTGTTTGCTTTTTATAGTTCCCCAACTACAAAAGCACTTTGTAACCCAAGTGTTATTAATTGAAATTAAAAATAAATTAGAGGGCACGTGATCAGCTCAATCAACCAGTTCCGCGTGGCGTCTTCATTTAAACCCTGGGAGCGAGTTGGTCTGTTGGTGGCCAGAGATACGTTATGTTCCGTGCGATATAATGTCTCGATGTCAATCGTTATCGAAAGTTTCACAAATCATAAAAATATTCGTGTGTTTTGCTCAATTTTTTCTTCATGACGGAAAACTGTTGCCTATGCTTCAAGGAATTATCAAACGCGGACTTCCATTGCTTGAATTCCATCGCTGAAATTCGGAATGAAATTATAGTGTTTTTCGCCGAAACACTTTTGACCCATGAGAGCAGATTATGCAAAACATGCACGGAGCTTGTTCAAGAAAGAATAGAAATCAAAGAGAGAATTCGTGTGGCAAACGAAGCCATCCAGTCCGTGTATTTGAGGTCATATGTATTCTTAAACTGTAAACCTAACTTACCTAAGAACTATAAGGACAGACGATTTATGGAGACTTTTCTGAATCTTTCGAGATGCACGTGGGACGAGTGTGACGATGATGCAAAATCCGTCAAAAAGAGTGACTTTTCTTCGTTTCAAAGTGACAGTAGCATCACGATAGAGCCAGTTTTGAAGAATCAATACAAGGAACTACAAGATGTGATGTATAAACTGGAGGATGAACTGTTGGGGGATAGCACATCTGATGAAGAAGAAAATATGTTAGTGCATTGTATTTTGATATGTTTTTCAGAGAGATATCCGGTATTTTTCGCGTAAATCCGCTAAATCGCGCACCTTGAACTTTGAACTTGTATTCTCCTGAGTGTTCAACAGCGTTCGAATAAGATGAGAATGGCACTAGGATAAATTTTATTGTTTGTAGTCTTGTTACTCTTGTAGATCGTCGCAATAATTTAATATTTTCCGTTTTATAGTGATCGCTGTGGTTTGTGCTTGAAAACATTGTCGAATGCAGATGGTTTCAACATAAGCGACGATATCCGTAGTGAGCTGAATACTATAGTTCTTTTTATGCTTGATACACCTCTGACCAGTGACAGCAAACTATGCAAATCATGTTTTAAACACGTGGAGGAAAGAATGGATATCAGAGCGAAACTTCACGGTGCTGACCAACGCATCAGAGAGATCTATTATAAAGCTCTACTTGAACGAGCCCGTTCAAACAGAATGTTGGATAGCGAACGAGTCGGGAAGAGTTGTTGCGACAAACACAAGCGAGCTGCGGCGTTGTCCGATAGATGTGCGGCGGCAACTGTAAACTCCGCTGGATGTACTGTTGTAAAGCGCCGAGGATCGTTTAAACACGATGAATGCAATACAGAAGAAGGCTATTCGTCTATGTATAAGCTGGAGAAAGACTTATGGGATGATGACGATAAATCTGATAAGGAAAATATGTGAGTATAATATTTTGTTATTGTATATTTTGGAGGGAAATATTCCGTATTTTGCGCGCCAAGTGCCGCGCATGCTCCGTAGTCGATCTGTGCGGAACTGACGGCAGCCTGGGGATAGCACATTTACGAATATAACGAAAGCCGTATAAAATTTTAAAAAAGAATTCGTTTTGATAGATTTTGAGTCTATGTGACAGATAAGGACCACTTTTATGCGTGGTATTATTTATAGAAAAAAAAAAAAAAGATGATTTTCTATTTGCGGGGCCGCCTTTTGGGTTTCTAAAAAGTGCCTGCTCCTGGAGAGGCTCGAACTCTCGACCTTCGCATTTCACGGCATATATGGCGAGCCAAAGCCACGCCCATACTGCATATAAGTACGACGCGCTAACCGACTGTGCCACAGGAGCTGGACGTCTAATGAGGGAGAATTTATCGTAGATAAACGTACACGTAGGCCGAGGCTTACGTAATCACTTCATCCATCTCGTGATTTCAATGCATGATATTTTCAAACACTTTCGAATTAAAATTTGTGATAACAAAGTTAGAAAACCTCAATAAATAACATTCGCTGAAACCAGATTTTGTTAGAACTTTTGATAGTGAACTCGTATCACTTTCCCTGACTTGTTAATTTTATGTAATATTTGGGATTCTTTACTATATAAAGCTTTTCATTGTCATATTCTCAGCTTGGGTCAAGTAAAAAATTATATAACGAATTCGCAATTTATGGCATTTTTAGTCTATAACAGTCAGAAATTTTGACGATAGGGAACGGCTAATTGTAGTGTATATGTATTTGTTGTAGTCGGGCGTATAGTTTTCATTTTATCTCGAAATTTCGGGGTAAAAAAAGTAAATAATTTCCTTGATATTGCTTCGTTGGCACAAAAAAGCGCGGGGGCCTTGTAGCAAACACGTGACCCAGATAATAAAACTCATGAGGAAGAAAGATAATTCTTAAAACTAAAACAAAATTTACCAAGAGCATGTTGTTTGAAAGTTGTTTGGTGGCTTCAAAATATGATGTCCTGGCTCGACGATGGTGCAGGGCCCGATTCGGACCTCTTATCTCTTGCTTTGGGGGAAAGCGGGCTTGATTTAGCCTCTCATGGCCAACTGGAGAGTTCTGAACGAAGTGAAACTGGGTTATCAGACTCTGGTATGGCTGGTGCTTCATTGTCGCTAGAGTCGACCTCGACTCCGAACGATCTATTAAACTGGGCATTTTTGTTATCAAACTCAAATAGTCAGAACTTAGCGTCAACTCAAGACGACTTTTCAAGCCTTTTAGAACCTTTTAACGAGTTTAGACCGGCGAGTGAAGCCACTACTAACAATAAAACGTCAAAGCCTTCATTTTCCAAAGACTTACAGGATCAATTAGACCTCTATTTGGGTCCAGGGGATTTTAATACAACACAGACTACAAACAGGGCTATTTCTGCCTTCGATTCTACGTTAAAAGATCTTCTTTCTACGGACAATGGTTTTTCCTCAAACAGTTTGACTAAAAAGGCTGTCAATGGTTTAAATGTAAACATAAAAGACCCGACAAGGAAGTACGTTATGAACGTATTACGTTCAAAATAATTTGGTTTTTATAGTGTTAGTTCTCTAGTTGTTTAGTATACATGCAGTTTTTCTCACGGTGGGTATTTCGCTTTTGAAGTGAACTCATGACACTATCTGTTATATTAAATGTCATAAATTTTTATGCAAATTGTTCTCTGAAATTATGTCATTCTTTCTGTGAGAATAGTTCCTTGTATGTTTTGTACAAGGAAGGTCTAAAATTGAAACTGTAGAAGCTGTGAGTTTGGATTACAGCTAGTGTGTTTTTTTTCGCAAAAAACGACGGTATGGTTTGCAATGTTCAATGGTTAAAAAATGACCGGAAAGTTACAAAATTGCTGTCTTTAATAACTGTGACTGATCACATCTTGTAATCCAAAACACGTTGCCAAAGCAAACAATAAATAATCTGTATAGGCTCTGTTACAACAGCAACTTATTTGTGTCTGAAAATCTGTATGGTCAAAATTAAGCCATATTTTTAGTATTCTGCTGATGTCAGCATTATTTTTACCAAAGTTGGCATTACAAAGCATAATTCTTGGAATGAAGTTTCCCATTGTAGTGTTTACACTTTACACAATTTGGAGAATTGCCAAGTATAATTTAAGAGGTCTTTTTCAATTAATAATTTGGAATAATCACAAAGTAAGGTTGCATGTGAAATCTTACCGAATATTTTTAGGGATGTGGTTTCAAAACTTTGGGCAACAGAAGATTTGAAGCTTAAAGATGTCACAGAGGTTCGTGGTTGTGATTTTAAATTATATATCAGTATTTGAAACCAGGTTCCTAATCAGAGATGTGTATCTTAGTCAGTTTGCAATATTTCGTAGGGTCATCTCCAATCAAAAGAAGAAGATGAAGAGGTAGACGAAGATGATGAAGATCTTGGATATTCTGATACGTACGCTGAATACTGGCCTAGCAAATGTAAGTTGTATACATCTACAGTATATTCTGGTGGAAGTCTATTTCAACCTAGTAACCAAATTACCAAAATGAATTCAAGCTTAATCTATAGCTAACACAATATGTCTAATTTTCCAGTACGGATTGGAAAAAGGCATCCAGATCCTGTTGTTGAGACAAGGTAAGGTTCATCTGGTAGTTGTTTCCAAATTACAAGTGAAACATTTAATGCAAATATCTCTTCTTTTTTGTTTTCAGTTCCCTGTCAAGTGTAGCTCCACCTGATGTCTGGTATAAGCTGGCAATTCCAAACGAGGTTATCGACAAACACTTGCTATCTGCTTTGCAACTTGAAGCAATTGTTTACGCCTGTCAGAGACATGAAATGTTACTTGGAGATGGTTCAAGAGCTGGCTTCTTGATAGGTAGTTAATGAATAACCATTTAGATTATAGTCGATCCCTGATTAATCCAAGAAGTAACTACTTCTCATATACTTGATATAACTTCCTTGAAATCCATTCTGTCTTAAAATTGTATTTGAAATACTGTAGGTGATGGTGCTGGTGTTGGAAAAGGTCGTACTGTTGCTGGTATAATCAGTGAAAACTATCTACTTGGACGAAAAAGAGCTCTATGGTAAGAAGATTGCTTTAATGCAATTGTTAGGACATAAACTTTGCTCTAGGATAGACCTATTAATTTTCTTCTTTTCCATTTCAGGTTGAGTGTATCAAATGATTTGAGATTAGACGCCATTCGGTAGGACTTTGTTCTTCGTATTTTCATCCTTGAGGATCCACTTTCCATGTTTATTGGCTTGTTTATAACATACTTCCTCGCTGTATACCCTACTACCCTAGGCGCTGTGAATAACACTACCATTGGTGTACATGATTTTAACAAACATGGCTAAACAGGCAGTTTTTATTCTTTTTTAGTGATCTTCGAGACATCAAATGTGGTGTCAATGTCCGCTCATTAAATAAGGTAGAAACCTGAGGATGTTTGTGCATTTGCTCCTGTCCTTTGCCATTGTCATTTGTAGCTGTGTATTAATAAGCCTATTTGTTCTTTCATACATAGTTCAAATATGATTCAAAGTTGTCCTCAAAAGAAAATGGAAGTTTTAAGAAAGGTGTGCTGTTTGCAACATATTCCTCGTTGATTGGAGAGAGCCAGGGAACATCAAAATATCGGACAAGACTGGGGCAGATTGTCAAGTGGTGTGGGTCTGATTTTGATGGAGTTGTATCCTTAGAAACTATGAAATAAAACGAATTTCTAAACTTAGAATTTAGGGGAACTAATCACCTGTCATCATGAATATCATGTGTACTCCATGTTTTTCTTAACTCAGAAATCAGATCATTCTAGATGAATGTCACAAAGCCAAGAATCTGGTTCCAACCGGTTCATCAAAACCAACCAAAACTGGAAAGACTGTTCTTGAACTACAAGAGAAACTACCCAAGGCTAGGGTGGTCTACTGCAGTGCCACTGGTAGGTGTTAAGTAGGAATCTCTGGGGATGCATGTGGCAAGTATCTCATGTTCACAATTATCCCCCTAGGTGCTTCTGAACCCAAGAACATGGCTTACATGTCCCGACTTGGAATCTGGGGAAAGGGAACTCCATTTAAAGAGTTTACCCAGTTTATTCAAGCAGTCGAAAGAAGGTGAGACATCTAATTTGTTTTTTAGTACAAGGGTTTAGTTCACATCTTGTTAACTGGCAGTGCTCTGATGCTGTTCAGTGGAATTGTCTGGTATAAAAAAAGGTGGAGTTCTTTTCACTAAGATGGCTATAAACTGTATCTTGGATTGAGTCTGTTGATAAGTTAACAAGTGTCACTGGAATACTGGGAGGTGATTTTGTTGACTCAGACAATATCTTGCATTAGCCAGAGTAAAATACTCAAATCATGTAAACTGTTGTGATTCTTTGCCATTAATCTTGATATTGTATTGTTTCTAGGGGTGTTGGTGCGATGGAACTGGTTGCCATGGATATGAAGGTAGGGAAACTGACTGCTGAGACTTGTTCCATTCTGGACTGCTATCCAGTATATAACCAGCTATATTAGATATGAACTTGCTGTATACATGGTTTTGTTTTATTTCTCAGCTTCGTGGAATGTACATGGCTCGTCAGCTCAGCTTCTCAGGCGTGACGTTTGACATTAAGGAAGTTCCACTCAGCGAACAGTTTATCGAGATGTACAATGCATCAGCGATACTGGTATGTATGACACCCCCCCCCTCACACCTACACATCTCCCCCCTGCACACACCCATCTCCCCCAACACACACCCATCTCCCCCCCTGCACACCCCACCCCACACACCCACCCATATCCCCACACACACACCCATCTCCCCCCCTGCACACACCACCCCACACACCCACCAATCTCCCCCCACACACACCCATCTCCCCCTCCTCAACCCTTGATTGAAGCAGTTAAACGAAGTAAATTAACCCCGTATTAAACTCTTCTGTCTCTCCTCTCAAACACAGTGGCAGCAGGCAAGAGAAAAGTTTGGAAAAGCGATCGAGTTATCAGGAAATGACGGGAAAGTAATGAAAAAAATGTGGGCGCAGTTTTGGGCCGCTCATCAGGTAAAATGGCCGAGAATGTGCTTTTTAATCGTTTTTCTAGTCGAGCTATTGCTATGTCCTAACTCTACCTTACGATCTTCAGAGGTTTTTCAAGTATTTGTGTATTGCGTCTAAAGTCGAAGCTGCCGTTGCGATCGCAAAGGAGGCGACTATAAATGGAAAGGTATGCGTTAGTTTAGATAATGCTGTGACATTCTAACCCCAGTGTTAACATCTTTTCACCATCTGCCATGTCCCCGTTCCTCGCTTCATCTCTCCTATTCATGTCTTTGAAAACTTTTCCTCCTCCCTGCGTTTCCTTGCTAACTGTGATGTCTTCTCAAAATTGATACTCTTGTGTGTTTCAGTGTGTGGTTATTGGCTTGCAGTCCACTGGCGAGGCTCGAACCCTGGAACAACTCGGAGAGACTGGGGAACTCACAGAATTCGTTTCGACTGCCAAGTATGTAAATAATTTCACATTTTTTCAACTGTCTTATTTTGCTGTATCTTCCTTGTCACCAGCCTGGATAAATTCAGTCTGGTCTTTAGACAAACCATCAGGAAGATATCAGACGTGGTTTGTTGTCAAAAACTTTGCCAGGAATCATAGTATTCTAGGCTGGTTCATCTGGATAGTTTTGGTTCTGATACGCTAGAAACTCCAACCTAAACTTCATTTCTTGTTTCATCTTCACAGAGGAGTACTGCAGGCTCTGATCGACAAACATTTTCCGGTGCCGAACTCGAGGGGAAGGTTTGACTTCATGAATGATTATCCCAAGACAACTCCTCTGGCGGCGAAGAAACGAAAAGGAGCGAGTCTTGGTAAAAAAATAGCTGTGAAAAAGTTCAGAAAAGAAGATATGTTTGGTCATGGTGGATGTAAGTGTGAAACGGCTTTATCATACCTGACCATTATACCTGACCATTATACCTGACCATTATCATCACCATACCTGACCATTATACCTGACCATTATCATCACCATACCTCACTATTATTACCACCATAATCACGGATATCGGGAGTATTATAATGACGTTTAGTTATTTCGGGATTTAGTGAGTGGAGACTCCGACGGTGATGATGACGATGATCGATTATCGAATGATGATCGATTATCGAACGATAATCCTGAGGCACCGGCAATTGCCCAAGATACAAATAGCGAAGATGATACGTATGTCGACGATTCTTCAGACTCGGATGAAGGTATGCTAAACACGGGGGGGGGATTAACTGTGTGTAAGAGGGGGGGAGCTTAGTTAAGAGGGTGTGCCCGAGGGTGTGAGTTTGGGTATCAATTCAAATTTGGAGAATTGTATGCAGACTTGATCCATCCTTGGCTAAACACATGTTTAAAGGAACATGTTTAAAACTGTTCGATTGGGTTTTCTCCAGTTTTGCGTGAAGGGTGAAGTCCAACAAGAATTGTTAGCCTGAGTTACATATCTACGTTTCGCCTGGCCTTAGATTTAGCATTGCTGTGATTGTAATCTTTTTTTCAAAACTTTTCCAGATAACTGGTTGAAGCAGATCATTGAGAAGCCAAAGAAACCAAAATCTCGCAATAACAGTCCATCTTTACAACAAGATGAAACCAGCATGGACGCCTTGGTTGCCGCTGGTTTTAATGTGAATACACCAGCTTGGAATAAACCTACGACAGCTGCAACTACCGCAGTGAAAGCAACGCCCATTGCAGAGTCATCAGGTAGGCCCATCACTGAATCAAACCAGTCATTGCTAAAGTAGAAATAAGTCTTCAAAATAACCAGAGGTGGTGAAAAGACACGAAAATGAACTCCGTCTATCTGTCGCTTCAAGTAAACACACTTCATGCAACAATTTCATTTCATTTAGGATCGTCAAACAGTTTTGATGGGATACTGGCAAAGCTTGAGACGTCAAAAAAGAATTGCCAGGAAAGCAACAAGAGTCTTGTGGAATACGTGAAAACAATGGCGATACCAGCCGATCAATATGCGAGTCTGAGCCCAGCTGAGCAATGTCAAGTTATGAAAACTGAACTTTTACATAAACTGGACTACATTGCCAGTTATTTACCAAATAATACTCTAGATCAATTGATGAATGACTTAGGAGGACCCGAGTGTGTTGCTGAGGTAAAATTTGCAACTTATTCCATGCTCTATCAGTTCCAGTAAGGATCATCTCTTATTGATCCAGTGTTAATCATCTCGTATTTATCCTAAATTAACTTTATTTATGCTGGATAACTCTATCAGTTCTAAACATTTCTTCCTAGAGGTCCAGTAAGGATCATCTCTTATTGATCCAGTGTTACTAAATTTGTTGTTTCCTAGATGACGGGTCGTAAAGGTCGTGTAATCACAGGAAAAGATGGCGCCGTGCAATATGAACTTCGCAGTGAGCGCGATTATCCACTCGAGATGCTGAATATCGCCGAAAAAAAGCGCTTTATGGACGGAGAAAAGGTTACAAACTTGATGAATTTTCAGAAATCTTTCGAGTATAAGTTTTCAATGAAGCCACAGCATTTTAAACTCACGTCTATTTGCATCTTAGGATGTTGCCATCATATCTGAAGCTGCCAGTTCTGGTATCTCATTGCAAGCTGACAGGAGAGCGAAGGTATTTGAAAAAACAAATTATTTAAAACATGAAATGGTAGAAATATCCATCATTTACCTGTCAAATCTAATCAACAACTTCTATCTTATTAGAACCAGAAGCGAAGAGTTCACATCACCCTTGAGTTGCCCTGGAGTGCCGACAAAGCCATTCAACAATTTGGTGAGCGTTAGAACTATAATTGAAGCTATCCTGCGGTCAAACGCTTGCACCATCCAAGATATAAACAGTTATGTTCAAATGGTCGTGTTTTTTTATGGTGGTATCTTAATTTTGTACGTTTTCAGGTCGAACGCACCGTTCTAATCAAGTGAGCGCACCAGAATATTTGTTTCTGATATCAAAACTCTCTGGGGAACAACGATTTGCTTCTATCGTCGCCAAGAGATTAGAAAGTCTGGTAAGCTGATATAGACTAACTTTTATTTACGCATACATCGAATATGTGTACATGAAGTATGTTTTTACTCCATTCAGGGTGCGCTGACTCATGGTGATCGACGAGCAACCGAGTCGAGAGATTTGAGCAAATATAACTTCGACAACAAGGTATGACGAGACCACTGAGCTATGTAATAATTCCTGGAGGGTTTATTCGTAATGTTTTGGGCTAAAAGTGGACGAGACTATAACCTGTAAAGAGAAAGCGTTCATGGAACTTTTCCATAACTTCTCTTAGAAGAGTGTTTTTATCTCAATTCTCATCTCGTCTTCTCAAATATCTTTCCAGTATGGTCGAACAGCTCTCGAAGTGGTCCTCAAGTCGGTTCTCAAGATCTCGCCAGCCTTAGCTAAACCTCCTGCGGAATACGTTGGAGACTTCTTTGCAGGTAGGATGTCTTTGGATATCGGTGGATCCCTGTTGATTTCCTCGTACAGATGAGCAGATGTTGATCTTAAAGGGGAACACAACTTTCTCACATTGGTTATTATAGTTTGATCATCAAATGCGGTCGCTTTTGTTCACGTAACTTATTTCTTTCAAACAGATGTTCGCGAAGCTTTAGTGGGGGTTGGTGTCATTGCTTCTCAAGGTGGCAACGAAGTCTTGGACAAAGGTATTGTTTGAGAGCTGAAGTTCCAAGAAATATAGAACATTAGTTTAAGTTTCCTTTTGTATAGTAACACTGGATCTTTACTGGACATCTATGAAGGATAGTTTAGTACATAAGGAGCCATTATATACGAGGATAGTTCTTTCCAGTCTTGCACTATTAACTGCGTGTATGTGACTTCGTATTTCATTTCAGATTATTGCAATATATCGAAATTTCTGAATCGTCTTCTGGGTCTGGAGGTTTCTCTTCAAAACGCTTTGTTTCAATATTTCACTGCAACACTCGAGGCAGTTATACAACAAGCAAAGCGGAACGGGCGCTATGACGAGGGTATCCTAGGTGAGTCTATACGAGTTAGAATTTACCTGAGTGTTTAGCTCTTATCAAGTTTGGAACATGAGCTCGAGATCTCTATCGATTACCCTACGACAGATTATGACATGTGTCTCTATCCTAAACGTATAATGTCATTTCATAGATCTGGGCTCACAAGGAGAGGATGTACAGCGGTTGGACACTAAAACATTTGACAACGTCGACGCTTCAGGGTCGACGGAGTTGCATACCGTCAGCGTGGAACGCGGCATGTCCTGGGAACGAGCTGTTGTAATGTTACAAGATCATGAGCTGCCAGACGAAGGATTTTATATGTCATATCAGGTATGGCAGTGGTTAGGGCACGTTCCTTGCAACGAGGGCTTTTTAAAATACTGGGTTATTTTTCTATAATATTTTTCATTTAGAACTAATAGAGTTATCCAGTATAAATAAAGTTAGTTTAGTTTAGGTTTTATGCTGTAGTAACACTGGATCAATAAGAGATGATCCTTGCTGGACCTCTAGGAAGAACAGTTTAGAACTGATAGAGCTATCCAGTATAAATAAAGTTAGTTTAGTTTAGGTTTTCTCCTGTAGTAACACTGGATCAGTAAGAGATGATTCTTACTGGACCTCTAGGAAGAACAGTTTAGAACTGATAGAGCTATCCAGTATAAATAAAGTTAGTTTAGTTTAGGTTTCCTCCTGTAGTAACACTGGATCAATAAGAGATGATCCTTACTGGACATCTAGGAAGAACAGTTTAGAACTGATAGAGCCATCCAGTATAAATAAAGTTAGTTTAGTTTAGGTTTTCTCCTGTAGTAACACTGGATCAATAAGAGATGATTCTTACTGGACCTCTAGGAAGAACAGTTTAGAACTGATAGAGCTATCCAGTATAAATAAAGTTAGTTTAGTTTAGGTTTTCTCCTGTAGTAACACTGGATCAATAAGAGATGATTCTTACTGGACCTCTAGGAAGAACAGTTTAGAACTGATAGAGCTATCCAGTATAAATAAAGTTAGTTTAGTTTAGGTTTTCTCCTGTAGTAACACTGGATCAATAAGAGATGATCCTTACTGGACCTCTAGGAAGAACAGTTTAGATCTGAGAACTGATATAACTGTTTGTGTTAACTTTAGGTTCGTAACAACAAACGAACAGCAATTCTTGTCAAAACAGTCATGAGCATTCAGAAAAAGAAAATGTTTCATGTTTATCGCCCCAACACGGGACTACAGCAAAAACAAGAAACGATTCAGGATATAAAGAAATCTTACGAGAAGGTGGGTGATCAATTCATATTCTTAGATAAATCCACTTGGCTATATACCAAGGATCAGTTTTTAAATGCCTACCACCTACGGAAAGATGTCTCGTCATTGGCAGTTCTAACAATACAAGACATGCAATCGTATGGGAATCTTTTGCTCAGCGAGCAAATCATAAATAAACACAGTTCATTTTGGGCTCAGTAAATTAATCATAAAATTGCCTTCTTATTTGGTTTGTTGTCATCATTGACGTCACTAAACGTGGGATAATGCAGTGGGTCTATCAGCTGTGTCATGCGTCGGTCTTTGAGCGGTTCCGGCGGTCGTTACTGTCTTGTTCCACTATGGTTTAATAATCTGTAGCATTTCCTTCCGTAGTTGCGAATTTTTCCAGAAAAAGACCAAAGAATTAAGTGTAGAATTCATAGAAATAAACGTAACAATCCAATTTCCTAGAATCAGTGATGAAACAGTCTTCACTTCAGAACTCTTCATCCCCAGGTGCACATGATACGCTACGTTTGGTAGATAACAAACCTGTGAGCATATCACAAGAATTATAAACATCTTCGCTAGTTTTACATCTTTTATCACCTCACTCATTCGATTCCATTGAGTTCTTTGTGTTGATTTATCGACTTCTATCCCTGGCATGGCTTCTGTTGGGATCTCAACTTCTATCACGGAAGGCGCCGGCACTGATCGTCTCTTCTTCCTGGCGATTTGAAAAATTCGACCGTACACAAATATGATCGTTATACAGACGATTGCTGCGCATATCGACAGAAACCTCCGGTGTATGTCACCGTTTATATACGAGGTGAAAGTTATCGGGGTCCACATAAGCCAGAGAATAACCGTAACAACCAAGACAGCCCGTGGGGTTACGTGGCGTTGATACCAGAATGGATGTGCAATGGAAAGATATCGTTCGATGTTCATTACGTGAAGTGTCAGCCCAGAATAACCTGTTAATAGTTTTGCAATTGTCAGGTACACTGCCTTTGCAATGCAGTCGCCATTACCCAGCAGTTGTTTAATAGCGTTGTACAAAAACAATGGATGAACTGTAACCACTACCGCGAAGTCGTTTAGCGATAAAAGCATTATAAGAAAGAACGGAGTGTTGCTTCTTAGTACATTTGATTTCCAAAACGCAATCAGCACCAAACCGTTGAACAAACTACCAAGAATCGATAACACTCCATTCACAACGCAGGTCAGGATAAGGTTTAAGGTATAGACTTCCGAGGGCGATTCTCGTAGGTATGATATTGTGGTTAAACACAATTCAACCGTTACATTTAGAAACGATGCGTTCATACCGAGGCTTGGAGTTGGGAAGATTTTCAGATGAATGTGTCGAGGCCCTCGTGCATGTCTTCAGCTGTCTCTTGTCTGGGTTCTGGCACCTGCTATAATAATGATTTCTGATTAATTTTGTAATTCATTTGCCGTCTACATATATATATATCGCAAACGATATGCGTGGATAAGCTAATTGGATATAAGTTTCATTTTGAAACCTTGCATAAACGCTCAAAAATCACTGATATGTTTTAACATGCGGTGCTCTCAATTTAAATACGCATACTTTTTACTGTGGGAGAGGTTGTTGTTTTAAATAACCTGAGACAAAGAAAACTTGAAAAGAATATATTAACTATTCCTCCGAGTCAAACTTTTTTAATTAAATTTCCTTAGAAGTGAGAACGCTGATAACATGTGAAATGTTTCCAACTTGCGTTGAAAGCGATCGTAACTTACTTCGAGAACTTATTCACGAGTTGGCTTTCCTGTTCTGTCGTTGATTTTAATTATTTTCTCAGTTTTTATTGATTTCATTTACGCGTCATGTACAATAGACACCTCAATTTTAATTTGGTATTGACTCGAAGTTGTCAACAAGTTCACATCTGTCTATGTCTTTCTTTAGTGTGCGCCGTAGGTGTTTAAAATCTATCTTTCTTTTTGCGTCTTTTGGTGAATTTTTAAGATATTTTTGAGAGAAGGGAGATTTTAGTAACTTTCCAATTAGGGGGAAACTATATATTTATTTATTAATGTCGAAAATAATCATAACCATTTCCATGGATATTGAACTATTCAGAAATAATTTGTTGAATTATTTGAATTTTAAGTGATAACGTGTCAAATTCTTCCTGGAGGTCCTGTAAGGATATCCAGTCTTTACACAGTGTTACTACACGAGCATTACTCAATCCCTTTTAAACTGTTTTTACTAGGATTCGATAAGAATTATAATGATGATGATATTTATAATTAACACGCTCTGTACAGTCAGTTAAGAACACGCCTGTTCATTACAATGGCGGTTTTCATTTTAAAGATCTTTCATTTCTTTCCTAGGTGGCCGTGTGGTCAGCACAACCCGCCTGGATCCAACAATACGAATCCTCGGAAACTCAGTGTGTGCATTCATATTGGTGAGTTTTGCTACCAAAATCAAACTAACTTTATTAATACTGAGTAGCTTACACTATCAGTGCTAAACTGTTCTTCCTAGAGGTCCAGTTATGATCATCTCTTATTGATCCAGTGTTACTACAGGAGGAAACCTAAACTAAACTAACTTTATTTATACTGGATAGCTTTATCAGTTCTAAACTGTTCTTCCTAGAGGTCTAGTAATGATCATCTCTTATTGATCCAGTGTTACTACAGGAGGAAACCTAAACTAAACTAACTTTATTTATACTGGATAGCTCTATCAGTGCTAAACTGTTCTTCCTAGAGGTCCAGTAAGGATCATCTCTTATTGATCCAGTGTTACTACTTTTTCAGGAAAGGCAATTGTAAAAAGAAAGCCTTAGGTCTCACGTGTTCTGTTGGGTTACGCACGCGGACATACAACATTCTCAGTGGTTCAGTTTTGAGAGTTTGGAATCAAGTTGAAAACGTCCTTGCTACTCAGGGAGGCAATAATTCACGTATGCAAATAATTCGTGTTCGTACTGTGGACGGTCTACGTATTGTAGGTACGATATTCTGGAATAAACATTGTAGCTATGAATGAGAGTTCTTAACGAGTTCCTAACTGTTATTCCAAAAGTGTCCCAGTAAGGATCATCTCTTAATGATTCAGTGTTACTGCAGAAGGAAACCTAAACTAAACTAACTTTATTTCTATCAGTTCTAAACTGTTCTTCCTAGAGGTCCAGTAAGGATCATCTCTTATTGACCAAGTTTTACTACACGAGGAAACCAAAACTAAACTAACTTTATACTGGATAGTTCTATCAGTTCTAAACGGTTTTTCTTTCTCTAGGTTCATTAATTCCACAAAACTGTGTCGAAGCTTTAAAAAGACAGCTCACACCACGGCAGCCTGTTGCAGGGGATCCTGGTTTTCCTTTGGAGGTCTGAAACATTTCTAAGAACATTCTGCACCCAACTGGCGCCTAGCGTCACAGCACAGCCTCTGTTACTCCATGTTCTGTTCAACCAAGAATAACGTAGTTTTTAACTTAAAATCTGGTGTTAATAATTTTAATCGGTATTCCTATTGATATCTTGTTATCTGGCGTACATTTTTTTGCATTTGCTTAAATCTCTCTCTGTTTTATCAACGAGTACAACAAAATACTTTGTATTAATACAGTGGGATTTGAGCAAGTGTTTACAAGTTTATGCTTTCCCTTCCTTCCTTGTAAAATACTATGTATGGCGCAGCACTTGTCCAACACGAAACTGTTAGTTTAAATGGACTGTTTACCAACTTACTATCGTGTGTGGACGGTTTTTGGGTTGACCTGACTACCTTTCACTAGTCCCACAGTAAAATTGCTACCAGCTGGAATCTCATGCAAGTTGACGCTCGTCTTCAAGCCGTTGCACCGTTTACCAGCACACAATTGTATAAAGTTCGCAATTGTAAAAGAACATAGAACTTTGATAATGTTAACTTGCTTCATTCACCCATTCAAGAATTGTTACTTGAATGAATGCAAAATGTTGTTCAATTATGAACTATTTGTACATAAATATTTAATATTGCTCTTCTGATTGTGTTTTAATTGCTGCAATTCGTTCCAAAGGGGTGTGGGGAGGGAGTACTTGAGGGGGTACCTCAGTGGGGGGTACATAACAAAAGATGAGCTTATGATAACGCATGCGTAGACCATGCAATATATCGGAGTTTTTTAGTTCCTCTTTCGCCGTACTTTTTGTCCGGAAAAAAATGTTGCGTGTCACGTGACTTCTTTGGCAGAATGGCGGACAATATCGACAACAACAAATATTTGAAAATATTCCGTCACGAACATGAAATAGCGTCATAAAACTGTGCTTTCCTACGGAAAAGAGATCCCTTTTTACATAGGTTTTTAAAATGACTAGCGAAGACGTTAAGAAAGAATCGGAAAAAGATGAAAATCAGTCAATACCCGCGTTTGGTGTGAGCGGGCAATTCATGATGACTTCAGAGGAGAAAGCAATCCCTACTGAGGACTTTAACCCCAGGAAAATAGTCGCTTTGACCCTTGACGATTCCCTTGCGAGGCTTTTTGAATGCTTAACCCTTGAATACAGGTATGGTTTATGATTCCGTCGCAATTTAAACGAAATTTAATCGAAGTTACCTGTGAAAATTTCTCATAATTGAACGTATCATTGTCGACATGGTGGCGTTTTAACTTTCGGTTTTGTCAGAAAATAATGAGGGGCTTTTTGTATGGGAAGTGTAATTGCTTCACTAATTAAACATTTTAGGAGTTTCTAGCTAGACACCTTTGAACCTTGTTTGCGTTGATAACATTTCTACCTTGTTGTTTTTCATGACGTAACTCAGGTCACCTGGAACGTTTCCAGAAATTTGATCTGTAATTTTCTTTTGATATTGTGCAATTATATAGCAATTATACTTGAGCCCCAGAGTGTTAATTGCTTAATTTGAATAAAAATAGCACAGTTCTTTTACGTTTTTCAAAGCAGGATGCACGATTCTTTCCTTCGTTTTAAACACTTGATGGATAATCTAAATTCCTGTCATAGCTGACATCGAAACATGTCCTTTGGCATGTTGCACTAGTTTTAATACTTAAAGCAAGATAATAGCTTTACACATCACTTTTGCTGATGAATGTTTATCTTCTTCGTGAATGCTTTGATGAATTTTCATTCCAGTTTCATTGCAATGAAATTTCTTTCATAATCCCCTCAATTTCTTGCCATCTCTCAATTCCTTGCAGCGGAAGTATTTTGCTCACGCCAAAGTGGAAAAACTTCCGAAGTCAGAAGCTGAAATTTGCTGAGAAGACAAGGATAAATAATGCAATTTGGAGGTCTTGGCATATTCAATGTAAGATTACTGTTAACAGCTGTTAAATTTTCTGAAATAAGACAGAATAAAATACCATATATGAAGTGATCAAGTAAGGAAGAATCTATCATTACACCGTGTTAGTTTATTTGAAGGTCTAGTTTTGTTTTAGTTCAAGAATGCAAGAGACCTTTGTTTTGTCAGTTTGATAACCCTTTGACGGAAATGGCCAAAAAACCTCGACCTGTGGTAAGCAACCGTAGAAAGATTGAATCTTTGAATTGTAGTCTTCAACACTTACATCTAATTAAAATACCAATAATAACATAAATTAGCACTGCACAGCATCCCATTGCTTTATCACCCCCCACCCACCCTTTGGGTGAAACCCAACACCACTCCATGCCTCCTCTTCGTTCCAGACATTGATGATTGAAGGAAAATACTGGAAACGCAAACTCGAAGCTGTAGCAGCGGAATATCAAAAATGGAGAGTGTTTTACAAGCAAATGGTACAGTATAAGTTCTTCGTCAGACCAGTTCAATCTACATTTAGTATTTCCTTCTTCATAATTCATTAGATCTTTGGCAAAAATTTAACAAGAATATCTATCCCTCCTGTTTTTTTTTAGGTAGAGGATAAATTTCAAGATGTGACCTTGCAAAATCAAACAGAAGAGGTAGAATGATTTTCAATGTTTTCAAGGATATTGGGTCACCAAATCACAGCTAAAAACATGCGTTAGCTTGACTTAAGCTCAGCTGAGAAATGTTTCTTATTACTTTCATTAATGAAATGTGAGGTTTGAAAAGTGAATGATCAAATGATCGAATATTTTGATGACCAGGAGCCCACACTAGAATCCAGAGAATCAAGTAGGGTCTTGATAATCATTAATCAAAGCTACGATTTTTTTTTCAGATTCTTCGTCTTGATCAAGAAATTTCAGACAATTTACGAGAACGTGACAAGGAACGGTATTAAATCCTCAGTTTTTATCTTCGTCTCTTCATCTGCGTGTGAATTTGGTTTTGGAAGAAGACTTGGGAATTATTTTCTGCAAAAAATTTTCAATGTTCGCGTTTTGTCTTGTATTTTTAGAAAATTTTCATTAGCAAATCAAGCAAATTCTGCGGGCGCTGACGTTGGTTCACCATTGTCGTTGGTCGTATCACAAGCTTTGGAAATGGTCGACTCATGCAATCTCATGCAAAGTATGTCAATGCTAAGTTATGCTACAGTTTCTTTGTTGACGCGGTGAACGAGCAGTATTATCCATTGTTACGGTTTCACAGTTTCTACAATGTCCCTGTTAACATCTAACCATCATTTTTCAGACATGGTATTCTCGCTCCCCGACACTTTGTTCTCGAGTCTTGCTGATAACGAAGCAATGGGCAGAGTAAGATATGGAAAATTCAAAGGTAAATCTCACATAATTTTTTTGAGAATGGATGAAGTTAATTTTTTTATTAGGCATTTGAAAAAATGAAATCGAAAGTCTCACTCCTTGTCACTATTGTCGAATCAGATTTAGACGTGTTTGCATACCTGAGTAACCTCGCATCTTTTCTGGTTTTTTTCCTGCAGACACGGCAGACACATATCAACCAACCCTGGACACTCTTCAGCCAAGTTTAGAAGCGATGACTCCGGTATTGGACGAACTCATTGAGCAATTAGAGTCGTCTATGAAAGGCTCGGGTAAGCCGCTTGTCTGAGAAATATATCGATTATTCTGCTGTGGTTTGTGTCTGCATTATCTATAAAAAAAGGTTAAAACATGACGTGGCATTCCTGGAAGGCAATTATTTTTACCTCAGGGGCTGGTGGTGTGAGCACAACAAAGCACGATCGTCAAAACAATTCTCACCGTGCCTTGCATCTTTTCAGAACTCAACTGGGATTTCGATTTGACTGGAAGCTACGAGACGAACATGGGTTCGGTTCAGTCGTCAATTGCTGGCGATGTTGAGCCGATGGACCACTCGGGAAGATACCCTCAACCTTTCCCCACAGTCAGCAGTATTCCCACCTCGAGTCACGTGAAAACCTCGTGGCCTGTTCACACAAGCTGCGTGCCAACACATTCCATTTATCCCTCGAGTTCCATGCACCATATCGAGGCTCAGCTACCCATTTGGACCTCAGCACCCGTTTCCCATCCTCATGTTATCGGCTACCAAACTGTCGGCAATGTTTTACCGGGGAACTTGACCCCACAAGGACAGAATGCCGGTGGACCCAGACCGATGATGAGTGTTGCCACCAGAGCAATGGATATTGGTGTACCTACACAAGCTATCACCCCGCGTCCTTACGTACCACCTGCTAACATTAGAAAGCCACTACCGCAAAGCGCGTCCGTCATAGAAACAGCCTCTGCTCGGTTACCTCGGAACTCTTCGGACTCCCAATTGTACCTGCTCTCCGCTGGTGACTCAGCGTTTAAACCGCGGGCTCATCTACCTATTGAGCTCCAGGCCCCTAACTTAGTGGCGCAACTGAAGTTGCCAAAAACGCGTCAAATGCTGTTTGAAGAGAAAGCGAAAAAACTTCGAATGCCTCGGAATAAATCAGCCCCAGGCCTCGCCAGTTTAGACAATACATCCCAGCTCAAGAAACAACCGCAAACCGGTGGCGTTAGAGCTAAAAGGCTGGGGCGGATTCCTCGTAATCGGTCGGATTCGGCGTTAGCATCGTTGATTCGGCAAAACGAACTGTCAACGAGTAGGGCCCGACGTGATTCCGAATCTAGTGATTCCCCGCTCACGATGCGGGCTTCATCCACTACGCCTACAGGCAGGCAAGATCAGAGCCCGCAAGTTTTGACCAGCCATCGACTATACCACCCTGAGGGTGGTGAGGAAAAGCGACAACCATCGCAACTGGTTCACGAAATGGTCACACATCTCATGAGTAAAGGAATCTCGATGGATGAGATTTTGAATAAACTTACCAGTATGGCGGCCGCTGGTACCGTTCCACAGGCTCAGGTTAGTTACTCGTTGGAAGTACAATACGTACATCATTTATCAGGAAGATCGTTTATGTCAATCCAGTCTAATAATAGATCAAATTGATAGATCTAAATCCAATCTAATGATAGATCAATTTTATATTTTTAATTTTCTGATTTCTCAGCTCACCTCAGCTGCAAGCAATATGGCAAATATGCTGCAAGAGCAACACCAACAGTTGCCCCTCATCAAACCCTCGCCTCATCCTGCTTCCCATCCCCAACCCTTCCCAACCTCCCCGCTCACATCTACAGTCACAACACCACGAGGCCGACGTAAGGCCCAAACTCCCAGATCAAGTGTGAAGACAGAATCGCCCGCAGTTAGTGAAAGAAGCGGTATTCGTTCAAACAGCAGCATTGTTGAAAACGCACTTCGTATGTCGTCGTCGGAATCTCGGATCCCGAGCATGGAGACCTCGGATCCCGTGGTTGTGAATTCCCAGTGGGGGGGTGTTACTACTTCACATCATAGCACAGCTGCGCATACTCTTGTGCATATGTCAGATCAGTTGCGTCTGAGCAACGCGGACACATCAATCCAGTATCCAATGGTTCAATCACAGAGTTTCACCAGTGGCACACTAGGACACAACACAGGAGCCGCCGATACAGCAAGCCCAGAATTTTTACCCTCAATGGCTAGGAGTACATCGACAGTAAGTTGTGAATACATTCGCCCATTACATATCTCTCCAGCATTGTCTTGTATTAATAATTTCTGTTTTTTTCTAGACATTCGCTGTTCATAGTGAGGCACAGGCTCCCTTGCCATCATCATCAAAAACTACACTGACCACTGATATAGACGGTAGTGAATTAAAACACTGTTTTTATCAAACATGTTTGTGATAAACATTTCCGAGTTGTTAAACGTGATCTCATAAGCTGTGTGTTAATTATAGGCCCGTCAACCCCAGCACTTCAAGATTTTCTAACGAAGCAGTCAGAGTCCAAGGTACTTTAATTTGTACATCTTGTTGTGTTTCTGTCTTGATGCTTTGAAATTTACTGAACGAACTTATTTGTTTCTTTAGACTCCCTCAGGACCACTTACTAAAATGCTACCTAAAGAAAAATACAGGGTAAAATAAAATTAGGGTTGATTAGTCCTGTGGTAACACTGGATCAATAAGAGATGATCCTTACTGGACCTCTAGGAAGAACAGTTTAGAACTGAGAGAGCTATCCAGTATAAATAAAGTTAGTTTAGTTTAGGTTTCCTCCTGTAGTAACACTGGATCAATAAGAGATGATCCTTACTGGACCTCTAGGAAGAACAGTTTAGAACTGACAGAGCTATTCAGTATAAATAAAGTTAGTTTAGTTTAGGTTTCCTCCTGTAGTAACACTAGATCGATCAATAAGAGATGATCTTCACTGAAGATATCAATATATGTTTCAGGAACATCGCAGGATGGTGCATGTGTCTGCTGAGCAGAAACGAAGAGGCAATATCAAGGTGTGTAAAAGAGATAACTTGGGATAACTTGGGATCATTACGACGTGTCCTGATTCTTTTGATATTATTCTAACATGAATATATTTTCGTCTAGATGGGTTTCGATCAACTGATTGAAATGGTTCCTTCGCTTTCCTCCCAAGAGAACACAAAAATAAGCAAAGCCGCTGTTTTGAAGAAATGTAAATGATAAAACACCACTTTCAGTTTGTGTAAATGTTGTGGACTTGTTTATTATCTTCTCAACGCCTCTTTTTTAGCTGTGGATTTTATCCTGCAAGTTCAGCAAGAGCACGAGGCTATGATCAAAGAAAGAGACAGATTAAAACAAGAAATTGAGCAACTAAACTTCGAGATAAGGTTTGTAAGACAAGTTTCTAACATGTTTCTTTCTTCCTGAGTGTTGGACTTCATTCAAGTCTAAAGCATAGCTTTGTCAGTGAATGTAAATTCCTATAGATGAATACAAAAGATTGGTATTGTTTTGTTTTTTATATAGCAATTGTCAGCAACAGTTACCAGAGACAGGGGTGATGGTGAACAACAGACAGGTGTGTGTGTGCGTAAACAACCAGATATTCAACGTGAAAAAACTACGAACACAACAAGCTTGAATATTACTTTTCTTTTGTAGAACCACAATGAAATGGAATTGTTGTTTAATCGCCATATTCAAGATCGAACACAGCAAAATCCGAAGTTTTGGATAGTATCTTTTACGATTATATTCCAGCTGCAGTTTGCTTGCTTAATTAATCTTATAGCGTACAAAACTTGAGCTGTTTTACTTTAACTCAAACCACAGTTTAGTGTTTTAATGCGACCAATATTCGAATCTTATAACACCACGGTAACTACAGGTAGTCAAGATGAGTTCTATAAAACCGTCCTGAAATGGTTAAATGAAAGCTGTTGTTTACCTAAACTAAGACCGAGTGAGTACTCTGTGAAAATACATGTCATGATACGAGTTTTCCCCCTGTAGTAACACTGGATCAATAAGAGATGATCCTTACTGGTCCTCTAGGAAGAACAGTTTAGAACTGATAGAGCTATCCAGTATAAATAAAGTTAGTTTAGTTTAGGTTTCCTCCTGTAGTAACACTGGATCAATAAGAGATGATCCTTACTGGACCTCTAGGAAGAACAGTTTAGAACTGATAGAGCTATCCAGTATAAATAAAGTTAGTTTAGTTTAGGTTTCCTCCTGTAATAACACTGCATCAATAAGAGATGATCCTTACTGGACCTCTAGGAAGAACAGTTTAGAACTGATAGAGCTATCCAGTATAAATAAAGTTAGTTTAGTTTAGGTTTCCCCCTGTAGTAACACTGGATCAATAAGAGATGATCCTTACTGGACCTCTAGGAAGAACAGTTTAGAACTGATAGAGCTATCCAGTATAAATAAAGTTAGTTTAGTTTAGGTTTCCTCCTGTAGTAACACTGGATCAATAAGAGATGATCCTTACTGGTCCTCTAGGAAGAACAGTTTAGAACTGATAGAGCTATCCAGTATAAATAAAGTTAGTTTAGTTTAGGTTTCCTCCTGTAGTAACACTGGATCAATAAGAGATGATCCTTACTGGTCCTCTAGGAAGAACAGTTTAGAACTGATAGAGCTATCCAGTATAAATAAAGTTAGTTTAGTTTAGGTTTCCTCCTGTAGTAACACTGGATCAATAAGAGATGATCCTTACTGAACCTTTAGGAAGAACAGTTTAGAACTGATAGAACTATCCAGTATAAATAAAGTTAGTTTAGTTTAGGATTTCCTCCTGTAGTAACACTGGATCAATAAGAGATGATCCTTACTGATCTCTAGGAAGAACAGTTTAGAACTGATAGAGCTATCCAGTATAAATAAAGTTAGTTTAGTTTAGGTTTCCTCCTGTAGTAACACTGGATCAACAAGAGATGGACCTCTAGGAAGAACAGTTTAGAACTTATAGAGCTATCCAGTATAAATAAAGTTAGTTCAGTTTAGATTTCCTCGTGTAGTAACACTGGATCAATAAGAGATGATCCTTACTGGATCTCCAGTGGCTAAACAACTATGCCATATTTCTTTCAGGTGTCTTGGCGTCGCTTCGTGAAATCATTAAAAACACGACTATTCTGTCCGATCCTTCGAAATTCCCTGAACAAGCACGTCTGGCGGCCAGTGCTCTTAATTCACAATCAGCATTCGAAGGTCTTCCAAGGTAACATATGGATAGAAACGAGGAGCTTTTGAAACCATCCTAACCATCTTTATCCTCGACTGTGATCCTAATTTTGTGGATATAACGGGTCATATGGAATGTGCACTGTGGTTTTGCTCTAAGGGGCTGGAAATATGTCAAAACATCTTCTAACCATTCTCTAAGAAACTGGATGCAATCAAACAAAGTGTGTCGAATATTCTTTTGATGTTACAACCTGGGATATATTCGATTCACTGCACACGTCAAAATCTTTTGGCAAGTCTGATTTGTTTGATTACCATTCACGAAGCTTTGGAAAAACACGTTGTTCAAACGCATTAGGAGTTCTATGGATACCTCTGGTATAAACTTAACTAATAATGTAACATCTCTTAAAAATATTTATATATTCATGAACAAATAAACTATACAATCTGATTTCTGTGACATGAGTGTCTGTCTTCACGTGCGACTATCGCAAAGTGTTCATCAAATGTGCAAGGGACAGGAAAAATACATTTTATTCAAGTGGAAACAATCACACTGATTTTGCCGGGAAAAATAAATGAAGATGGCGGGTAACGAAAGAGAGGTGTTTATGAAAGGAAATACTCTACGAGAGTTTGAAAGGCTTAGAAAAAAATCTAGCAGGTAAAAAGAATGTTGACTTTGAGGACAGTATTATACCTCTCTTTATAAGCTTGGAAAATGTATGTTTTTGCAAGTAAGTTGTTGATATTGCGCGTCATAGTTGGACGTTGGTGAAATACTGAAATTGAAACAGTACCAGACTACCAGTACCATCAAAATCTACCAGTGAAATCCATCCTAAATTATTAGATTAAGGATGAAAATCCTGGATTCTGGACATGAAATATTAGCATACTTGTACTCCAATATCTCTTTTATATGTTGGCTGTAGTGTGCTGCAGACAACTGCACAACTTGGGATCTGAAAAAGATTCACACATTCAGTCATTTACTGATAAAGTTCATTCATACACTTTGCTGTAGTGTCTCAGAAGGTCGTTTACACTGGACGAAAGATGATGAACTGATTGAACTTGAACAAGAATGTAGGTTACATTTTACCAATAAACAAATGATTCAAGTAGTCCTCCTATCGGAACCTAATTCACCTTTTTGAAATAGATAACGAATTATTAAAACAAAAAGAGGAATTGACAAAGAGAGTGAATGAAGGATCTTTATTAAACCAACTTCATTGTTATGTTCAGAAACATGCAGAAGGTAGTTATGAAAGATCATGAAACATCTCACTCTTGCTAGCTATAATGCTGTATAATTTCAAGACAACCTTTGCTATTCTACCATAGATGGAATTGCTTCCCTCGGTGATCTTGCAGATGAAGTAAGTGTGAGTTTGCAAATGTTTTACCTCTGAAAACGTTCCCTTCCACCTTTAAGTTTTTCTCATTTATTCAGAACAATCTCTGCAAAGCAATTGAACTCGTCAAAAAGAAAAAGGTATGCACTATGCATTGTGTCTACAAAATATCAATCCAGAATTGGACATATAAACAATAATACATTTAATATTTAGTTGATGGAGACTTATAATATATATCGGTTGACTGGCTTGGCATTTGTGTTGTTGGATGAAAACTGCGTACGTTTTTGTTTGGACACATTTTATAAAGGTAAAAAGCTGGCCTTTTTTTCTAATAATAACCAAAAAATTCTAATCATATCTTTCTATTTAGAATGTTACCATGAACCTTTCTATATTGAAATTAAAATTGAAGATGAAAAAGTTCAGGTCTGAAGATTTGTTTATTGTGTTCTCAGGTTCTTTGATGATGACAACAAGCATGTTTAATTTTTGTTGTAGATATTAAAACACACCATTCCATTCTTTATACCACTTGAGGAAATCCACCAGAAATATAAAACTTCTGCTTGCATCAAGGTTAGCGAACTGTGAAATAACTGATTGATTTTGGTAAAGATGAAAAGGACAAAGTTTTAAGTATTACAGATATATTTGTTTGGGCTGTTAACAGGAGTTACTTGCAGTCATAAGTGGGTATCTGAAGGCTTTTGTTTCAAGAAGACAACAGGTTTGATGACAACAAAATATATGCCGTTCTTTATATGATTGAAAGTGTTTTACGTATTTTTATATGCATTGAAGCCACAGTCATAGCCATGAATATCATAGAATTATCATCATGTTTGTTTAGTGTGCTCAGGTGAAATCTGAAAGAGATGACTATTCTGTGAAAGATTTCTATGCCACACCTGCATTTGATTTTGTTAAATTTGCACTGAAGGTAATTTTGAAATGTTTGAAGCTGTTACTGGTTTGTCAATCTCTACCTGGTCATTTTTTAGTTTTCTAGAGATGATTCTCCAGGCTTTGAAGTGAAGCTTAAATACAGCAATCTCAATCAAACACTGCCAAACGCTGTGGACCTAAAATGCTTTGAAAATTGCGAAGGTTTTTTATTAAAGATATTTCTATCACTTGTAGTGTAATCTTTTGTAAAGTGTATTTATGTATGTTTCACATTCTCTTTAGATGTTCAAGACAACAAGTTAAAAGATGATCTTCGAGGAAATCTGCTTTCTTTGGAAATAAAAGAAGCAATTTTAAACACTCTTTGGTGCTGTTGTTCATAAGAGGAAATTAGGCTGGCATGGTTAATTGTACATATAAAGAAATATTTATTCAGAAATGGTGTTGTCTGGATGGTACATGTAAAATATAGCAAATATATTAAACAAGAAAATTTTAGTGTGAAGATAAATCTGGGGGCCGTGGGGGGGGGGGTAGTGCATCTAAAAAAATTTCCATCGTCTAAGAACCACCTTAATGAATTAACCTCCGAATACTCTCCCCAGTCTCGGCGCTGTGTAGTTAAAGATGGCGGATCAGGGTTCCAGAATGGAAAATCTGGAAATCCAGGATTTATCTGAAAGTAAAACATTTCTACAGCTTTTGGCAAAAGAAATCAACCGAGGTAAGTTGATTATTATCATGCTTACATCGTGTCTCTTACATTGTGGAATTCCTTTTGAACAAAACGTTTGACATGGTATAAAAATTATATTAAGTTATTCAAGTATTAAAAATATGATTATTGATATATTTTAAGGAGTGAATAAATACAATTACTACGATCTCGAGACGTATATCTTTGAATCACTGGAACTATTGCCAGATGGCAAATTGAAAGATGCTCTTCAAAATCCAAGTCAAAATTATGTTGAATATCTTTGGAGGTAAAGATTATTGTTACATATTAATAACCAGGGGTAGTTTTATAAAAGACTAGTTAACTTTTAACTTTAGTTAAGAACAGAATTAGCCAATCACAGTTGTGTAATCCTGAGTTAACTAGGATTTAACTATGCAAAATGTAGTTAAAGAGTTTTGTACAACTGGCCCCTGTCCTGTACGTTGGATTTAGGCAGCCAACTGTAATAACTCTTCAATTGTCAGTCTAGTGAACTGTGAAAAAAAGGTTTCTGCTGAGGTTAATTTCAATCTTTTCAACAAAAATGGTATTGATGAAACATTGAGGAGTATTTTTGAGCTGAAGTCATATAAAGATCAAATTAAGTACTGTAAGTTAAAATGTTGTTTCAGATTTCATCAATGTTTTTTGTATGAATTTCTTTACTTGATTTTCTTACTAAAATGTTATCTTTTCTATTAATGCAAATTAATTATATTTTTAAGTGACAGAAATGGCTTTGTGTTTACCTCATAACCAAGTCTTTGAATCATTGCTCAAAGCACAGGTATATTTCTTATGCTAAATTTATATTCATTCTCAGACTAGGTTGAGAAATCATAAGCTTGGCTTCTGCATATGGCTACATTACCCTCCACTTTACAACCGCTATCAAAACATTAGTCAATACCACGAACACTCTTTTTTAGGACTCCACTTTAGGATCTAGGCAATCAGCATCTGCAATTGATCATATTATAATATATTTCCTTGGGTTCAAAGCATTGGTGATATTTCACAAGTTTATTTTAGAGAATGGAAATGCCTTCAGATGAAAATGAAGTTGTTGTTCTAAGCAAGTTTATTGAGTTATATGGTCGTTTGGCAATTAAATGCCACAATTTGGAGGTAAAATGGTCTCTTTGATCATTGTTGTATCATTTTCTTGAGATATTTAACAAAATGCTGAACTCTTTTCAATACAGATGCTGAATGAATTGATGCAAACAGTTTTGAGGTAATAATAATTAAAAGAAAAATTGAATTCTTGCTAAAATAGTATTTAGTAAACAGTGGGTAATCTTTCTATTGCATTTTGTTAAGTGAGATTGACAAGGTTAATGACAAAATGAAAGCATCTAGGAATGCACAAGAGAAGTACGTAAATAAGCCTCACATTTTCTGTTCATTGAATAAAACTATGCATATCTTATGCTTGCAGCTTCACTTGTGCAATACCGATTTTTATATTCTTCAGTTGGTTGGATTTAAAAGATGTCATTCATCAATTTTTAATACACTGTAATATGAAACAAAAAACACAGATTAAGAAGTGTACTTTGAATAAGGTAAACAGTTTTGATATAGGACTCTCAGTAAACAAAATATCTCCCTCGATTCCTTTGCAATGATCAGCTACAACTAAATAGTTGTGTGCATTTACTGCTTCCTTTAGGACAATGCTACACAAACCAAAGAGTGGAAACAGTTTCTTGATATTTTAGCCGCTACTATTGCCATATATATTGATGTCATCATTGCTATTGGGGAAAGGTAATAAAGTTAATGTTTTATAAGTTACAATGAAAGGGGTTTAAGTTAAGTTTGAACTTAGAAATTTGTTTGCTAAAGCTTGTTTTTCCTTTCTCATAGAAATGAAGAAATTAACAATCATATTTCCAATATTGTATATTTATTATTGGGTATGTAAGAACATTGTTATGAGGAGTTATCATAACTGCAACAATTTCTATAAAAGATCATGATTTCTTTCCAAAGGTGACTCTCCATGGCATATCTTGGACATGGCAAATCAAATTTTTACATTAGAAAGTTCCACAGTAAAGATTGTATTTCCATTTCTTCGGTAGGATATATTTCATTTGCAATTTTCATAAAATATAAGATTCCACATAACTTTACAAAAAATGAACCAAATCTTTCTTAATGCATCTCTTGTTATAGAAAAGTATTTGAAACAACAAAATCTTGCAGTAAAGAATCTCCAAATTATATCAAGTATGAAATGCCTCAACATTACTTGTGAGTCACACAGGTGTTTGATGGATTGAACTTTGTGTCTTTTATAGGTTTGTATGTTTTGCAAGGAAAGTTCAGCAATGTTTATCTGATGATGAAATGGATTGCTGGTATTTAAAAAAGGTATTCATGTTTGAATGATATTTGTTTGTCCTAGCTTTTAACCATCTGGGAAAACCAGGATCTTTTAACTGTTTTTATTTTTACTTCAGAATGTATGCTCTTTGTTACCTCCACAAAACTTTCTCTCCTGGTTATCAGATATTGATCACAGGTACTCAATGGCTGTGAAACACATGTATTAGTCGGTTGGTTCCACCTTTCTAGTTTCATGTTTTCTTTATCCACAGCTTAGTACAAGACTTGGAGTTATCAGGTTTGGTTGGGCAGGAAATAACAGATAAAATTTTATTTTGTAAAGACGAAAAAAAAATTGATAAACTGCTTGATGTGAGTATAAATGTTTTTAAGAGCTGCAGGGTTTGGTTGAAAGATTAAAATATTTAGTTTTGAACTAACAATCGTCGTTTCATCATCTAGTTGACAAGCCATCCTGAGAAATGGGATAAAATATATGAATCAGATGAACCTGAACGTAATGAACAAGGCGATGTTGTTGAAAACGATTCATTATTTTTTGTGGATGCTCAAGGCAGTTCGGAAATTCTACAGCAATGTGAGGTATGTTTTTTTAATATGATAAATCTGCAAAATCTTGAGTTTCCAAAAGAATGTACGTCTGAATCTATTCTTCAGGATCGACAAGAAATAACAAATGGTAGAAATGAGACAATACTGAAGTCGCAGATTAATAATCTTCTTGAGAAACGTGGTTCAATCGACTCTGAAGACGAGGTGATGTCAGAATGAATAGAATGCAGGCTGTTCGGTTCAGCAGACAGCGTTTAACTGGTTGTTATTATAGTTCATTGTTCATACTTCATAGTTGTGTGTCTCTGTGCCTCTTTAGATCTATGATTTGGACATCAGCTTTGAAGATAACGATGAAGAAACTATTGATCTTAATGATTCCCCAACTTTTCAATTGACTCGGCCTGATGATAATCCTGATGGTAATCATGACGATAATCCCGATGATAATCCTGATGATAATCATGACGATAATCCTGATGATAATCATGACGATAATTCTGATGATATGAAACTTGACGTGATCGAGAATAAAAAGGATATTAATGTATTTGTGGAGAGGGAAAGTCCGGCGGAAATCAGGAAGAAATTAAGAAAACGGAAACCACAAACGTTAGTCACATCAAAAAGGGAGATATCAAAAAAGAAAAAGACGAAGAAACGTTTTTCAAAGACGGTTTAAGACGTTGTAAAGATTATTGTATGATATGCTTATAATATGAATAAATATTTTGAAAATATAAAATCAGTTTTGAGTTATTTTTGTTCGTTGAATTCAGAGGAAAAGGGATTTATGTTGCTTCCAAGCATACAGAAGAAGAGTCTGAAGGGTTTGCATCATGTCAAACACCTGTCAGTATGGTCGGAACGTCAAATGACATAACTGTTTAGCAAATACAGCGCATCGCATGACATTGCGTGCATCGCGTGAAGTATTTGAAAAAGCGCGCATAAATTAAATTTTCGCGCGAGAGAAACTTGATATCGTAAAGCATGTTGGGACACCACAATGAAAAACAACATGGCCGCTGATGTTGAAGTGCAGGGATAATAAAAGTAAATTTAAAGTGCTCGATCGTTCATTATTCTTGAAACTATGGCACTGATCTTAAAGCCTCGTTAAGGATAGATAACAAAGTTATGTCTAACGACCCTTCTGCTTATATACGACATCGTATTGGTGATTTATCACGAGTTCGACCAGGCCAAGTGCATTCTCTTGGTGCAAACTCTAGTTAGTGACGTTTTTTTGTGGAATTGTACAATGTTTTATTTCCCTGATTGCGTGAAGGCTTAACTGAAATGTTTCTTTATTTTTTAGTCCCAAATGGAGAGCATAGATCGAGGCCAAACGAGGCAGAAAGAAAACGGAATTATAAGCTTATCATTGATCCAGTTTTAAAAGGAAGAGGACATCAAAAAATTTACAGATTTGATGGAGAATTTGATGGAGTAAGAGTAATCTTAAGATCTTTGACAGCCGCAAAATCTCTGCAAGTAATTTTGCAGTAACATATGTTGTTTTCGTCTAGCAAGCGGCAGTGATTCCCAAAGATCCCAGGTCAAGAAGAACACGTCTTTGGTCGACAAGAACTAAAGCTGATCTGCCTATTCCAAAATTTAAGGTATATTCTGTGAAGTGAAGCCGATATTTTATCGAATCGAAATCTCCAAAATTACTATTTCATTCATCAAGAAATTTTGGTCAAACAAATCTCAGAAGCGACCAATAAGAAGTGTTTTCTTAATTCGCCCGCCCACTGCGCGTCATAAAAGCCACTAAATATTTCTCAAATTTTCGTTTCAGATCGATAAATTTTACGTTGGAATTCCTCCTCAGCGCGATGTTATCCTCACCGGACTCAACGATAATGTGGATAAGAAATTTCTGCAGGATATTTGTGATAAATTTGGCAATATCGAAGGAATTAAGATATTTTACGATCCGGTAACGAAGCGTCATTCGGGAAAAGCCCGAGTTGGTTTTACAACATCCGCTTCTGCAAAACTAGCTGTAGCAAAGCTCGATGGCACATCCATCATGGGCTGTATTGTTCACGCTGATTTTGAACACAAAGGTAGTTGATTTTCTGACATTTTGTTTGTTTACGCAGACTAAATTATTTGCCTTTTGTAAATCTTGTCTTTGACCTCACTATATACTGGACTACTAAGTCTAAATCATAGTCTTAATAAATTGGTTTAGATTTTCTTTAGGTATATTAGATATATAGAAAATGATCCTTATTGGACTTCTATGATGAAATGCTTAGAACAGATAGAGCTAGCTATCCAGTATAAATAAAGATAGGTTTCCTTCTGTAGTAACATTGGATCAATAAGAGATGATCCTTACTGGACCTCTAGGAAGAACAGTTTAGAACTGATAGAGCTATCCAGTATAAATAAAGCTAGTTTAGTAATAGCAGTTTAGATATGTAAATAGATGAAATCATTTTAATGCATAGTAAAATATGTTTTCAGCTATCCAGGTTATTACAGTCATGTATATCAGAGGCATCTCAAACATTTGTATTCATTTTCAGTTGAAGTGAAACACCTCCAGAAACCACACCCACCAGCACGTCGCACATCAGACCCTGTGAATAAAACACCACCATCTATTGACCGTATCCCAGGCCACCATGTTATACCCACCCCACCTCCATCTAATTCTTCTCCATCAAATAGTACACCTTCAACCCCTGGATTAGGATTAGCTGACCCCAGGAGACGTAACAGTGGCAGCGCAGCCTCCACAAGTGGTGATAAACATCAAGGTAGATCACCGTCAACGTGGCCAACACCACTAACACAACAAAACAAGGTGCCAGTGTTTGAACCAATATCTCCACCCTCTGAGAAACTTCCTCTCCCCCCTCCCCCCCCTCCAGATGCTCCACCACCACCCCTCCCTGAAAAGTGTCGAACACCCTCGCCAATTCCAAGCACAACGAAACAAGACCGTTATCAGAACAAAGATTCAAAATCTTTGTCTAAAGGTGGGTGATGTTTACTCCAACTCTAGCTCTTCACAGACATTATTATAAACAAAATTTGTAGGCTGGGATCTTATAACTATTCTGGGGTTACCCCCCTCCCCAATTGAGTAGAAACCTAACCCACAATAGGTCCTGATCTTTCAGTGTATAGACAATAGTCAAAAAGGTTTCTGTTTCGGATTTTACAGCAATGCTGAAATGATTGTTGCAGTATTTATTTGCTAATCTTGAGTTTCTGGTGCAACTAACAATATCTTTGTTGTTTTTCCATTTAGGTTCGAGGGATTCTCATAAAAGTCGCCAACATGACGAGGCTGAATGGCGGAGACGAGATTGGCACTCGGGTCGAGATCGTTATGACTACGGTTCATACCGACGTTCATCGACTGACGAGAGAGGAAGGGATTCTAGAGATTCGAGATATTCCTCAAATCACAGAGATTATTACCCAAGGGAGAAGGAGAGAGATAATTATACGAGAAACGAGCTGAGACGATCTAGTTTTCGTGAGTCTGAAGGTAGACGAAGCCGTGACTCTGATGATAGTTATGGCAGTGAAAAAAGCTCAAAGAGCTCAAAAGGTTGGAGTTGTTCGCATTTCTTTTTTTCATTTGCCTCTTTAACCTTTGTTATTTTGCCATCTTGCCATGATGATAAAAATAACCTTTTCAAAACTTAGAATCATTATCACTCAACTGTATTGCCCTCATTTCATTGTTCACTTTCCATTTGTGATAAAATTTTAATGTTTAACCTTTAACATTTCAATGTATGATTTGACATTTGACTGTTAGATATCTCCAAAGGCCGATACGATTATGAGAATAAAGACTCAGAGAGAACCAGATCACCAAGACCTCGTTCTGATGTGTACGAGAGAGATAAAAGAGATGCGAAGAAACCTGACAAGCAAATCAACAAATCTGAGGAAATTTCTCAAAAGAAGGACAGATTTAACATTTCTGATACGAATTTAAACAATGGCAAAGCCAGTGGGTCGCCATTTAATACAGACAGTCTTTCACTGAAGTCGTTGTCTCCAAGGACAGAGAAGCAGCTAGGTTTAGGCATAGATCTGCTCGAGAACTTAGACAGCCAAAGCAGTGTTCAGGAGAATTATTTACCAATGGTCGAGGATATCTCGCCTGTTTCCTCACCAACACATCATGAGCCAATGAATTATGTTTCTCCGAACGCAGAACCTTTATCATTTCCGCCATTGAAACAAGCTGAAGTTGTGAATACTGCTGTAAAGATAGAATCATCCGTTGATAACAACGTACAAACGATATCAACTGAGGATAATGATGATGCAATGTCACTCTCATCCATCAGCTCAAATGAAGAAACTCTTGAGGTTACTAAGCCTGTACCCCCTGTTCCCCCTCCTATCCCCACCTTCACCCCAACCTATGCTCCTCCAGTTCTACCTCCACCCTTTATGCCACCGTATAACCCTAGTATTCCTCCACCAACCTATCCTGCAATGCCAATAGTCCCTCATCGTATACCCATACCACCCTTATCGATAGCAACCTTGCCACCGCCACATCCTTTAGTTCCACCATCTTTCCTTCCGACGTACCCCCCTCAATTTGTATCAACCCTAAACAGTGTACCCCCCACTCCCCCAGTGTATCAAACCCCCCAATTCCCCACCACACGCATGCCCTCCCCGCATGATCAAAGACCTGTACGTAAGAATTGGAAGATCAGAATTTCCGAGGAAGTTTTGAAAAGAGCCACGGAAGAGTTGGCGATCATTTTGAAGAAAGATGTCAACAAAAGACTGGTTGAAAACTCAGCGTTTAAAGCTTTGGAAGGCTGGTGGGACAACACACAGAAATTAAAGGTATCTCAAGTGCCATTTACACTTGCAATTGTTGCAGCGATTTTCGTCTTTGGATAGATGTGAATGAGTTGACAGTGATGAATGCTCTGATGTATAAGTGCCCTCTTTTGCACATTCGTAACTTGTCCGCTCATTCATATCTCTCAAAAGAAGAAAATCGCAAATGAAAACAGGGGTTGAAATGTCACCCAACTGTTGCTTTTGTAACCAATATTCCCTTTTTTATTTATTTGTTTTGTTTCTTAGCTCAAAAAACCTTCCCCATCGGAAACGACGACAGCGCCATCAAACCAAACCCCAACCACGTCGTTAGCAACGGATATGACATCACCTTTCACGTCATCATTCTCCACAACCATGAGCCAGGGTGGAATGCTGGGACTGCGTGCATCCCTTCCCAAGATGCCCTCGTTTCGTAAACGTCGCCCACCGAGCACAAGCGGAAGTGATCTGTATTCAAAACGGCAACGCACCGAATCGAGGTCTGAGCGAGAACAAAAACGCATCGTAACCGATAGTGATTCGGACGCTCCCGGAAAATTGAAACGAAAACGTCAGGATGATTGGGTAAATGATGACGTAAGTGTCGGGTCTCCCTGGCAACCAGACGATGACGTCGTTGATGAACCACCGGCAACCAGTGTCAGGACAGAAGGTAATGTAGTCTCTTGAGACTTTTCAGACCGACGCTGGACCACCACGTTTGAGATATTTTTCACAGGTAGTTAAGGCACAAACCACGACAGCTTATTGTAGAATTCTACCTACGTTTGAGATATCTTTTTCAAGTGATTCCGACACAAACCATTACAGTTTGTTATAAAGTACCTACACACGACTACATAGACTGGACCAAAGTTAATTATAATATTTGACTCCCTACTTTTACAGAGAAACACAGCAGTGTTGGTTCAACTCTTTATACGAACATCTACTCCAGTCTGAGTGAGTCAGAAAGTTCCCAGAGTGGCGACGAGAGTGGGTCTGAGGAGTCTGGGGATGATGATAGTGATTGGAACGGTAGTCAGAGATCACACACTGACTCTGAAGAAGGCGACGATGAGGAGACTGGGAAGGATGCTGAAGACATATTTGGTAATTATAAGACATATTTTGAATGTTATTAATGGTGGATAAATTCTAAATATTCCCATTTTTGCAGAACGGAAAATACCACAAACACCTCCAGGTACCCCGCCTAAAAGTCCACCAACATCTCCTGCTGTCTCTGGAACACCCTCAAATGCCTCAATTACCCCTACCGCTAGCCCTATCGATGTTACCACTGTTGATGACGAGGGTTCGAGAACGGAGGACACTAGTGGTTTAAATATGTTACCACAAGATAAAGAGGGAAGTTTGGGGACACCTATGATTGAGGAAAGTGAACAGGAGAAAGCAGGGGAAGTGGGTATTCTGACGAGTGATGCGGGCGAAGAAGGGATGAGTGAGGCTTCTAGTATTGCCACACCACACAAACACATTCCTGGAAAGGTTGAATCAACGTCTGAAGAATCCGCTGTAGACTTTAAAACTCCCCAGGTCACTCAGGGGGGCGAAGAACTGCCTGTTTCTAAGGAAACCCCGCCTGAACCTGTGGAAGAACCTGTTATTGAACTCCCACCAGAGTTTCCTCTCCGATCATACTGGCAAGATGATAGTCTGGTCTATGATTTCTTGGTTTCTGGCCTGGATTATGAAGATGCCAGTTATATGAAAATTGGATTCGAGAATTTATGTCAAGTTGGATCAGACTCTGTAGCGAACGCGAGGTGGTCATTTCATCCCAGTATCTTTTTGTCTTTTTCAACTTATTATTTCATGTTTAACATCCCAGGACACTGGAATACTACCTACACTAGACCACCACGTTTGAAATATCTTTTTCAGGTAGTTCAGACACAAACCAAAACAGCTTATTTTAGAATACCACCTACAATGGACCACCACGTTTGAGATATATTTTTCAGGTAGTTCGGACACAAACCACGACAGCTTATTGTAGAATACTACCTACACTGGACCACCACGTTTGAGATATATTTTTCAGGTAGTTCGGACACAAACCACGACAGCTTATTTTAGAATACCACCTACACTGGACCACCACGTTTGAGATATATTTTTCAGGTAGTTCGGACACAAACCACGACAGCTTATTGTAGAATACTACCTACACTGGACCACCACGTTTGAGATATCTTTTTCAGGTAGTTCGGACACAAACCACGACAGTTTATTGTAGAATACTACCTACACTATACCACTGCATTTGAGATATCTTTCTCAGGTAGTTCAGACACAAACCACGACAGCTTATTGTAGAATACTACCTACACTGGACCACCACGTTTGAGATAACTTTCTCAGGTAGTTCAGACACAAACCACGACAGTTTATTGTAGAATACTACCTACACTGGACCACCACATTTGAGATAACTTTCTCAGGTAGTTCAGACACAAACCACGACAGTTTATTGTAAAGCTACTTGTTACACTGGATCCACAATAATTTCCTTAACATAATGAAAGCTACGTCTCCTGGTGTGACGAAAGGAAGGAATAAAAAGGTTGACAACTGCGGGGTTCGTATTCTCGACTCGGGCAGTGCAAGATGCGAAGGTTTTTATAAAATCAGTATGAAGGAGAAGGCGAAATATCTTGAAGCCGCAAGAAGACAAGTTGAGGTGTCAGCGGCTGTTGTTAACAAGAAAGATAATGAGAAGGTAAGGGAGGATTGTGGATCTTAGGGGATCGGATCTGAGGATGGAAGATGATAATAGGGTATATGTTGAGATTGTGGAATGGTTAAAGAAAGTGAAAATTTTCATGATATTTTCAGGAAGCGAACAAAGCGAAACAACAATCGCGAGAGAACAGAGCACTTCAGAGAAGGTTGGCTGCGTCCTTCCAGTTGGAAGATTTTGGTGATATTCTCAAGTTTAACCAACTCAAGGTTTGTGCGGGCAAACTCTTGGGAACTGTTAGATCATAACTGGATGTTTTGGGAACTAATAGATCATAACTGGACCTTCAGGGAACTAATAGATAATAACTCAAATTCTATTCCTCTCTAAAGGTACGAAAGAAGAAGCTAACGTTTTGTAAATCTCGAATTCACGATTGGGGATTGTTTGCTCTGGAGCCTATAGCTCGGGATGAGATGGTTATCGAATATGTTGGTGAAGTCGTACGACAAGCGATCGCCGACGATCGAGAGAAACGTTACGAACGTCTTGGCATCGGCAGTAGCTATCTATTCCGAGTTGATTCCGACACGATCATCGATGCAACAAAATATGGAAATCTCGCCCGATTTATAAACCATTGTTGTGATGTAAGTAAAGTCAAGAATTTGGACTTTTGGATTTAGAATTGATAAAGCTATCAATAGTATCAATAAGGTGTATATAATGGATCTGTTTCTTGTGACTTTTAGCCAAACTGCTATGCTAAAGTGGTAACGTTTGAGTCGGAGAAGAAGATCGTGATATATTCAAAACGGGACATTGCCGTGAATGAAGAGATCACGTACGATTACAAGTTCCCCATCGAGGACGAGAAGATTCCATGTTTGTGTGGAGCTGCGCAGTGCCGAGGCACTTTAAACTGAGATACTTCATGCAGGGTAATGCAATCATTCGTAGCACGACGCCATCTTTGTCGTAACTCGTCAGCGTCTCGTGATCGCCCGTAGCTTACGAAGCCGTCTTCCCTATACGAGTCTAGCAAGGATACTGTAAGATCTTATGAATGCCTAAGAAAGTTGATCGTTTTAGGCGATGAAATTTTATACAAATATTAATCTCTTATAAACAACTAATGAATCTATTCGCAAATGCAGAATATTCTCTCAACAGGCAAGTTTCGTTATCAAGAAAAAATAGCTATTATCGTGTTTAGAAAGTTTATAGTTTAAAGGTAAGCTATAAAATCTTTGGATCAGACAAAGTTTCTGAAAAATATTTCCTAAAAACACGTTAGTTGTGGAATCTCACCCTGCTACAAGTTCAAAACTACACACAATATATATATTTCTATACTTATGTTTTTACATGATAGAATTGCGCTTGTAAATTGCATTAAAGGTTGCATCATGTGAGATGAACTGTACTCCATGATGGTTGCGCTCGTTTGTACACCGTGGTATGATAACAGTTGTAATGTTCTTATGGCGTCTACCTTCTAGAACTCCAAAAACTATTTTGCTGTATCTCAGAATTTTCACAATGATTGTAAATATATCTTTTGTTCAGAGAATCTATATTTATTTCTATTTTTCTGTGTACGTGTTTATGAGCACAGCAGCAACAACAGCAAACAGTTTTAATAATAATCAGTTTTATTTACAAATATATACACAGTTCCATATCTGGAATAATATTCATATCATATACAATCATCTATATTCTATGTAAGCTAGGGTCATATTGTATGTTTCACAACATGTGCGGCCTCAACAACCGTGGCTGGAACAGCGCGTCTTACTCTGCCATCGTTCACTGGTACCGTGAATCTGAAAGGAAAAAAACAAGGTTAGCAATGATGGTGTGTTCACAAGAGGTAACAAGGTCCATGCGACACTAATTCAACGTGAAAACGCTCACTTACTTGACGTTAGTTTTATTGTTGACAACAAACAGTGGATTTTGTTGAGTTAAAATTTCATCGTTGACAGAAATGCCTAAGGATTTAGTGAAACATATTTTACGTACACGAGTTTGAACAACCAAAATGTCACAGGATATTCTGATAGTTTACCATCCAGATACTGCTTCAGAACAGCACGAAGCTGCGTGTTTTCTTGAAGTAGATCACGTTTCTCTTTATCCAAAGCCAACTTATCGAGGACAACCTTGTTGTATCTCTTCCAAAAGTTTTCCAACGATGTGTACTCGTGTAGAACCTAAAGAATAACCAAGCTTTTCAAAACTTAAGTAATTTAGCTTGTAGCCTTGTAGGTACACCACGTAAGTATTTGATACTGCAAAATCTCTTCAAAACTTGTCTTATTTTTTAGTGCAGTATTGTGATGTGCGAGAAATGTCTGATCAATGAGCCAGTGTGGAACTTTGTGGAACTCTCAGGAAGATCGAAGTAACCCCAGCTCGATCATGTCTGGAACAAGACACTTGACCAACATTCGAAGTTCTACGATTCATTAAATGGTTTACCTTTATCTCCGCTTAATTCTCTCTATCCACAGAGCATTTATTATGAATCATACATTCTCATCTTTCTTACCTTAGCGAGTATTTCCGCAGGCGCCTCCATCTCCGCCGTCTTCGCTTGCTGTTCTTCTTCCTCTGTCAGAGACGAGGCGTAAAACGGCAGAACCTTCTCTTGTTCCGTCTCTAGTTTGCGGCACATTTCAGCGAGGCGGAAAATTTTAGCTCCCTGTGAAGATATAAGAAGTGGTAAGAAGTCTTCCATTATCTTCCTCTGTTGGGTCTCCCGTAAATATTGAACGAACCTTCTCTTTCAGACGAGTGAGTTCTTTAATCGTAGCATTACTTTGTAAGGTCAGCTGTGTGAGAGCATATCTAAATATAGTTGGAATAATTTGATGCTAGCCACCGAAGATTATCTGGTTGAAAGATTCTTCAACCAACAGTGAGGAACAATACCTTTCACTCTCTCTGTATTTGTTCATTTCTGCTTTGAGTTGATGAAACTCTACGGCAATCACCTCCCGTTGCTAAATATTTAAAAGAAGGCCAAAGATCGTCAGTCTTTCATCAGTGTTAACAACTTGAAGACAGAATGGTTGAAGAAGATTTAAACTACCTCCTTGATGACTTTGTTTCGTTCGTCACATTCCTTTGCATTGCTGGATAACTTCACTTTCAGTTGAGCAATTGTGTCCTGCAGTCAAAATAGAAAGATAGCATCAGTGATCATGAATGGAACTGGTTTAAATCACCACCTTTTCCACGCGAATTACCTCAAATGATTAGGACAAGATTCTTCTCATCACAAACCTGAATTCTCTGTAGTTTTCTCATCTGCGTCTCAATCTCCTTGGCGCTCTTCTCATCTCGTTGCTTAAGATTTTCAAAAGCATTCTTCCGTTCTTCTGTTGTTTCATTGTAGTTCTTCAAGGCCTGAATATAAAAGCACGGTTTGTTGTTACACAGTCTTGTATTTGCATGTGGATACAATATACCATACCTGTTGAAACTGCCTCCACAAATCTTCAACGGTTCCCTCAAGTTGTATCCGTAAAGCATGTTTCTCTTCCAAATTCTGAATGGATCAAATTACATTTAAATTAATAATTAATCTTATTAAGCCAGTAATCATCCATAATTTTGTACAATTAGAATATAATATACTTTATTTTTAATTTCATCTCTATAGCTTTGAAATTCTTGTTTCATCTCGCCATCTTGTTCCTGGTTCTCCTGTTCCATTGCGAAGACAATATCCTGAATGTCTGTTATCTCTTGCTTATGTTGTGATATTATTTCTTGTCTGCAAAGAAAGCAGCCATATTTCAGCTTTGAGCAATTCATCTCTAGCTCAACAACTAGCTTCAAATAACCAACCTTTCCTTATCAAATTCCTCCTTGACAATTGTTTGCTCTTTCTTGAACTCCTCAGAAAGCGTTTTGAGTCGGCTCTGGTGTAAATCTTAAGATAAATATAAATATATTACCATACACAAACATTTAGACATAAACATACATCAACAAACAAGCAAGCCAAGATGAAAACATATTTCCAAACCTATAATATGATCTTGATTCTGCAAGTGACTTCTCAGAGCCATCTCATATTGTTCCTCTGCCTCCTCAATATCCTTCACAAGTGACTTGATGATTGCTTCTTTACGATCAATAATTCTCTCAAAAGTCTGACTTAATATCTCAATATCTTTCTTTAGATCTTGGGCTTTACCTTGAAATATTTCATAAGACCAACACTCAAGGTTGCATTGACAATGAAGTAAATATGTTTTGCAAGGTCAGGCAAGTCTGAAAGTTTGTATTCAGGAAGGTTTGTATTGGGGAAATAGTGACAGCAGGTCATGGGTTTTCGAATGATATAATAATGGAAATGTCTGTGGTAATAATGATTCAATGAAATTGCATGGCTTTCACAGGAAGTGGATGATAGGATTTATAATAATTAATAAAAATCAGGCTGCAGATGCCCCATACTTTCTCTCATAATCACTCTCCACTGATTCTGAAGTTTGTGCAGGTTAAATTTTGAATTCTTTTCTTCTTTAGCTAGTTTATCCTAGTTAAGAAATAAACAGTTGTATGATAACAATCTATCTTAAGAAAGCTTTTGTTAAATAACACACTATGAAAATTGAGTAAGTGAAGTGAATAAATGTACTATACTTCCAGACAAAAGACATTCATTTATAAACTATTCGTGATGTTATATAGAACCGAAAACTGTAGGTCAATGTCAATACAACTATAGGTCAATATCTCTATATTTCCCCCAATATAGGTCAATATTGATTGGTATTACACTACTAATATAAGTCAATATCTGTGTGAACCATTACAGATCTATATTCTGCAACTATATAAGGTCAATACCGTGTATGAAACTATTAATCAACATTAATACAACAATAATAACGAGTCTGATAGACTACAAACACAATAAAGTGAACCAAAAACTCAATATTCTGCACCTTCAAAAATTGTGTTAACATTTCCTCTTTTTTCTTACGCATCTCTTCCTCAGCAAGCCGTTTTTGCTCCAGATAAATCATCCTTTCTTCTTCCGTCATATTGGCCAGCTTCTTAGCGCCCGATTTTTTCTTTTTTGGAGGCATTTTGAAGGAATATTTTGAGGTTTTTTTAAAGAATCAAGATTATAAAAATATATCAAAATAAACAATATGGAGGTGTTGCTATAGAAACAGCGCTATCGTGAGTTGTCGTCGTGGTTCGGAACTCGGAACAACTTCGGAGTTAGATCGGGTTTGATCTCTATACAAAACCTGAATGCATTCTAGGCTTGAATCACGTGTGTACATCAGTGAAGCAACAGACGGTAAAGTACTGAGAATAATATAGAATTATTGGTTATTTCACTGTAAAGGAAAAGGTGTTTGTGAAAAATTTTGGCAGTAAATTTTCTATATCATGTCAGAAAACAGGAGTAAAGTTCGTCGTGTTGGAGTCGTAGGCTTTGGACATCTTGGTAAATAAATAAATTGTAAATCTTACTATTTTACTATGAATATTGATTATTGCACTGATAGTATTTAATACATTCAGAAAGACTCCTGTTGAGGACCTCATTTTTCTAAATTTTTACCCCTCTCGAATGGCAAGAAATCTACCATCTATGACCTATCTGGAAAATTCAGCTATAAAATTCATCCCCCTTGGGAAATGAGTCCTCAACAGCAGGTTACCAATGAGAATCAGGTGCTGAGATTCACAAATTCAAATTATATTCACATTAGTTTCCTTTTCAAAGGTCAATACCTGGTCAAAGCAATCCTTAATAGTAAAGACCTGGAGTTAGGGTTTGTTTGGAATAGGACCTATGAGAGTGTCCTAGGACATGTTGACAATAATTTGATATTGAAAGATCTGGAAAAATTCACAGAAAGGTAGAAGATTTCAAAGGGATATTTTTGTAACAAATTATATTCAGGATAGACACTTCAATGAGTTCAATCTTGTGTTTTTTTTTACTAGAAAAGTTGACCTGATTGTTGAGGTGGCTCATCCATGCATCACAGATAAATTTGGAGAAATGTTTTTAGAGCATGCAGATTATATGGTAATATGATAAACAAGTATTTCATATTGTTCTAGTTCACAACTGGCAGTTATTAGAGATTCAACTAGTTTCTGACTGAATATGCTTTAATTGAAATTTGAAAACTTTATCTTTGCCAGTGTGGTGATACTAGTTAAAGTTAATATAAAACTCTGTAGATTGGCTCACCAACTACTCTTGCAAATGAAGCAATACAACAGAAAATTTATGCAAAAGCTCTTTCTAATTCTCATGGTCATGGGCTATACGTTCCTAGTGGTGCTTTCTGGGGTGCAGAAGATGTTAAAAAAATGGCTGATAGAGGTACACTAAAGGTCAGTGACACTCTCTCGACAGATTTCAATTTATATAAACTTTATAGTAATAGTTATGTCATTTTTCTACAGGAATTGAAGGTGACCATGAAGAAAACACCATCTGCTTTCAAACTGTGTGGTGAATTAAAAGAGAAGAATGAGAAAGTCACCAAAGATCCTGTGGTTCTTTACTCAGGTATATTTGAATATGAGAGAAAAATGATTGAATAGATGATCTGTAATATCCAAGGTGTGTGTGATCTGTAGTTTATTTAGTAATTCAACAATCCTTTTTCAGGTCCTGTGAGAGATTTGTGTCCCTTAGCACCAAACAATGTTAACACCATGGCAGTCGCTGCAATTGCTGCTCATAATTTAGGTTTTAGTGGTGTTCATGGCTGTTTGGTTGCTGATCCAAGGTCTGTGATGTGTTTTGTATTGTATCTGATCAAAATATGTTTGTACTTTTGTAAAATTAAACTCGTTTCTGAGCTAATCCTCTCTTATGAAAGCATCCAAATGCAGCTAAATACGTTTTTTACTAAATCTCAATCCAGACAATTCTACTCATGAGTTTTAACGGGTTGATATAGAAGCAGTTTGCTTATGGAAAAGAATACTTTCTATAAGTATCTTTATTTCCTGTGTCTATTTGTAAAAACAAGGTGAATTATTGGCTAGACAGACGTATTGTTGAACCAAATTAAACCCTGGGTTGGTGATGAAAGATGAGTTTATTGGCGGGTCGGTCATTCTTTAGTGATAACGAATATCTTTACTTTTAGTTTAGATTGTCATCTTGTGGAAATTGAAATTTTTGGTCCTGGCGAGGAAACAAACAAATTTCACGTGAAGACAGTCCGAACTAACCCGGCTAAAACTGGTGTTGTCACTGGGAATGCAACTTATAGTTCTTTCTTAAGCAGTTTGTTGGGTAAGCCAACGGAAGTGCTGAATGTTTGCTTAGAGATGTAGTAGCTTAAAGGTCTGTTTAAACAATCCAGTTTTTGTCAGATCCAATTCACTTCTGATGTATGGAATATAGTCTGTTGTTGATAAAGCATTACAGCCTTGGCTCGAGTTGATTTGCTGCCCATGTACTTTGCAAGTCAACAGACTATAAAACATCCGTCAGAAGTAAATTAGATTTGATAAAAATGGATGGTTGTAAACAGGGCTTAATATAGTAACAGCGGCTTTGTTCTCGACTTCTCGTTCATTTAGTTTCTCGAAACAAAGGCGTTGGCATTCATCTGTCGTAACGACAAGTGTCCCAGTGAGATGTAAGATCAAGAAACGATTGAGGAACGATTTGTTTTGTAAGAAAATCCAACCAAAGAACAAGAAAAACCAACCAAAGATCGGCCTACTTGGAGAAGTTAATTGGTAAGCTACCGTTCTCAAAATAAGGAGGAACTAAACGTCAGGACAAGAAGATAATCCTATTTTGCTCTTGTTTTATTCCACGTTTCCGGTGAGCTATTTAACTGTCCCGGTAAACTAGTCATGATACATGGTAACGTGTTTAACTGATAAAATTGTACCATAAAATTAGATAGCGTTTTGTAGTAACCAAGTTTTGAATTTGAAACCAAGAATTAACGCCAGCATTGGGTTATAAACGTGAGAATTTTCAAAATATGAAATACGCAGAGTTACGAAAAAACATGTCTTGCTGTTGTACCGCGTGTACGAAATAAAGTGAATTGAGTTTTTGAAGACTTTTATTTGATTCAATATTTCTCGGAATGACCTTTGGCTTTGTATTGTGGTATTACGTAAATATCTAGTTTAGAAAGGCATTATGACATGACGTTGTGTCCAAAGCATTTGTGTGCGTTTCTTTTTCCTTTATTTCCCGCTGTTTAACAATAGACGTGACTCATTTAAAACGTGTTATGTACAGAAAAGGAAATCTTTCTCCTATGTGGATTGCGGAAGGATGTAGGCAATATGGAAATGATCCATTATACTTGACATGTAAAACCACATGCAAACACGGTAATCTCTGGTGAATAGACGAGAAAATTTCATAACCTTAGCTTATATTCCTAACACGGAAACTCGTTCCAAAACAAGAAATTTTGTCTCCTTTTAAAGCTAAAGTCTGGACTTCTATTTTAAAGGCCACTTAACTGTCTTCATAGGAATATTGGTGATGTTACGTGTAAAAATATTCGATATTGTGGGGTCTTTGAGGATGGTATTGTGACGTATCACCCCTCCCGTGAACTCGCGCAATTTGACACGAGAGATCGTATTTGCTTTTGTTTTGTTGACCTGTAAGGACATATCTTTCATCTTTCAAGGCGTAATCTGTTTCCTACCGTGTGTACGAAGGAAGCTTTGAAAAGGTCAGTTTTAAGACGTTACGTAGCACTTTCAAAGAAATCAACGTTCGCTGAAGTGGTGCACCTTCGAGAGACGACATATAACATGGGTGAAGAAGTACCAACAGAGAATGGCCTAAAAACTCACATAACCCTCGATACAGAAGTTGCTAACGGGATAAAACATGCTGTGGCAACAATGGATGAATCAGGCTCTGGAAGGGTAGAGAAGTCCCAACTACAAGCTGTTGTAGCAAATGTTTGTCAAGCGATTAAAACACCTTTCGTGAGCGACGACTTGGATGAATATTTACCCAAAAACGTAGACTTGTCTGTTTCGGAATTTCTTGAATTTTTAGAAAGTAAACTACTCCTGAAAGGTACGTAGAATTCTGTAGAATAAACACCTATTTTATGAAGTATTTTCTCAACAAATATCAAACAGTTAACCTTGCCCTCTGAAGGGGTGTAATATTGGTTATAATATTACTTCCTAGTAAACAGTTTAGAATTTCATAATCCCAGGTTAGAATTTAATAAGATTTTGGTTAACAAGAAACTGATCTACTTTGAAATTCCAACAACTTTCTCAGCATACGACTTTAATTAAACCCCATGCGATCTTATTTTGTTTTAAATGTAAATACAGAATACAAAAATATCTTGCACAATAATTCATGCGTAAATTGAGTGTGTACTCGCTCTGTAATTATTGGTTGTAGTTTTTTTCCGTTATTGAACTCACGTCTGCGTTCATTAGCTTTTGTACTGTGTATTTTTAATAAATATTGACTAAAATTGTACATGAACACCGGTTGAAACCGTGTCTAATCTTTCGAGCAAGTTTGTTTACATTCCAAGGAAGAATCGAGTCACTAATTAGAATATCTTGTCGCAATTATATTACTTTTTCACAAAAGTTCTCACAAAAATTTGAAGATTTGGAAGGGCGTATATTCGGTATGAACAAATTTGGTTAAAAATCCCATTTCCGACTTATTATTAATGGCATATGAAGATCACATCGTCCTGGATCGCATGCTGTTTAAAGACACGGCGATTGAAAGCGGAAATAAAATTCAATCATGCAGCTCTGACACACCTTTGTTCAGTTACTGTAGTTGCATGTAAAATTGTGCTGTACAAGACACTAATTTCAGCCTGTCAGTAAAGTATTTAGATCAAGTATTTAGTTCTTGGAAATTAGACTCTTTTAACTTGGATGATAACTAAAATGGAAAGGTGTAGTTTCGTCATGTTTCCTGCAGAGCTTTTATGATCTTAGAACTTGACTGTAGAGCCAAATTATCAAATGAGAGAGTCAGAGAGACCCTTAAAATTGTATAAAAATAGCTTATATTGATCAAATGCTCTGAGGATATTGCCAATTTACTGTGCCAGCACTTGTAAATATATTTTTCCAATTGCTTTTAAACAGCAAACTGCAAAAGAAGCATGTCAGCCTAGTTACTTGGTTACCTTGACCTGATTAAATTCCTTAATCTCTGATCATTTTGCTTATCCATACGTATTAAAAGGTAAGAAGTTGAATCCAAAAGAATTGGACGAGCTATCATGGGTGGTTGTGGGTCAGAAATATGATGACAGCCCACATACTTTAACCAAGAAAGATGCATTTAAATTATGGCTAATTTTCAAGAAGCTTGATATCAGCGGGGAGCTTCGTGTAGATGTTGAGGAATTGTGCATCATAATGGAGAAATTTGTGCGTGGAATTGGCATCCAGTGGAATGAACAATTCCTGACAGAGTATTCGGAAGATGGTGCGTTGACATTCTGGAAGTTTATCGAATGCTTAGAGCAGAAATTCTTGACCGGAGTTGATAAAAGGTATGGATGAAAAACATTAACCAATTTTAACATTATAGTTGATATGCCTTTGGCTTGGTAGCTCAATTTACATTTAGGTGAGTTTGAAATGTGTGTGTTTTTAACTAAATATTTTAATGTTATAGTGTCCTTCGTGAAGGCTTGCAAGAGCTTTATGATTTCATTCTTGATGAAGTAACAAAAACTGGGTTTCTAACAAAGAAAGGCCATGGTATGTTCCAGAGTCAAAAATCTCGTTGGTTTGCCTTAAAACCTGACAAGTTGACCTACTATGTATCAAGTGGATTTCGGGAGAAGAAAGGTGACCTTGTCCTGAATAATGAAGCCAAAGTAACAAGCATTCCAGATAAAGGTGGGAACAAGTATAGATTTATGGTGACCTGTGGTTCTACAAAGAAAGAATATGAACAGATGGCTCCAGATCAACGAACAAAACAAGCTTGGATAACGGAAATTCAGACTGCTATTGGTAGGTTTAAAATTCAATTATTGTTTCTTAATTCTTTCCAACAAGATGAAAGGCATTCTCATCAGACAAGGAGATAGAAGACATGGTCGTGATATGGTGTATTATTTAATAGTTTCTTTTTATGCACATGTAGATTGTTTTGGTGGTGAAACACCATTGAAGAGAGACTTAATTGCTCGCAAGGCAAAGCGAGATGAAGACAGAGCAAGGAAGGCTGAAGAAGAAAGAAAACGAAGAGAACAAGATGACCTTTTGGATCAACAAAGAAGGGTAATAAAATGAGACTTAACGGTTGTTGTTCCTTGCAAGCAAATCAATAATATATAGCTAAAGCTAAACAACTTAAAATTATTCTCTCCAGGAAATTGACTTATTAAAGAAAAGAAAGGATGAAATTGAGAAGATGGCAGATGAAGAGAAAGCAATGCTGGATGCTGAAATAAAACGACGTGAAGAACTCGAAGAATTACAGCGAAACCTTCAACAGTTGCTTGAGGACCAGAAGAGAGCAAGAGAAGAAGACGAAAAGATCAGAGCAGCAAAGGAAAGATTGTTGGAAGAAGAAAGAATGAAGAGAGAACAACTTGAAGCTTTGAGACTTCAACAACAAGAGGAACTCCAGAACGAGAAGATGCAAAAGGAAGAATTGATGGAGAAACAAAAAGAACAGGAAAGGATAATGGAAGAGGTAACGTGAAGCAATAATGAGTTTCCATAGAATTTGAGTGAAGTCTTTTCAATGGATGGGGATAACAATTTTTAATTTTTCAGGAACGAAAGAGACTTCAACATCTTGAGGAAGAACGAATGAAAGCTGAAGAAGCAGCCAAAGCAGCGAAGGATAAGCTTGATGCGGCGGAAACTGCTGCAAAGAATGCCGCAGAGCAAGCAAAAGATAGAGTACGACAACTTAAGACATCCATTGGTCTCAAAGGAACAGTCGGACCAAAGGTTGATCCGCTTGTGTCTCATCGTGGCAAAGGTGCCTTTACGTTGGAAGAGTTTCTGAACCGGGCTACAGAATGGAGTGGTTTACCGCTTGATGAGGAAAAACCCAAAACTTTAACAGCGCCAGAGGTGGATGAACTTGTGAAAGCAAACGCCACGCCAGCATCAAACCAGAATATCCCCGAGTTCTTGAGAAAAGCCGCAGCTTGGAGTGGACTGAATCCTGAGACGTATTTAGAATCAGAAGGGAAGAAAGCAGCTCCTCCACCAAAGGTTGCTGCTAAACCACCCAAACCTCTACCTGCTTCTGCTGAGTCTCAGGAGGGCAAGCAGGTGTCACAGGAAGGTGAACAGGTATCTCAGGAGGGTGAACAAGTGTCTCAGGAGGGTGAACAGGTGTCTCAGAAGGATGAGCAGGTGTCTCAGGAGGGTGAGCAAGTGTCTCAGGAGGGCGAGCAGGTGTCTCAGGAGGGTGAACAGGTGTCTCAGGAGGGTGAACAGGTATCTCAGGAGGGTGAACAGGTGTCTCAGGACGGTGAGCAGGTGTCTCAGGAGGGTGAGCAGGTGTCTCAGGAGGGTGAGCAGGTGTCTCAGGAGGGTGAGCATGTATCTCAGGAGGGTGAGCAGGTATCTCAGGAGGGTGAGCAGGTATCTCAGGAGGATAAGCAGGTGTCACAGGAAGCTGAGCAGGGATCGCCTGAGGCTGATGAGCAGGTGTCTCAGGAGAGTGGGCAGGGATCACAGAATGATGCGCAGGTGTCACAGGAGGGTGAAGTGAAAGTGGAAGGGGGGGTAGATGATATTGATGGGTCTGAGGTGGCATCGATTGATACTGGAGGATCACAGATAGACAATATAGATAATGAGCGATCTACAGAAGAAAATGTTAGTAAGGAACCAGAGGTGGCAGATGTTGATAATCCTGGTCCTGAGATTGTTAATGATGGATCTGATGTGAAGAGTGAGGGTTCTGTTGAGCCAGATGAGAAGGAAAGTGAGGGGAAGGAAGAGGTAAACAGGGAATGCGAGGAAAGGGAAGGGAGTAAGAATGATACAGTAGATGGGGATAATCAGGGATCCCCTGTTAAGGATTTCCCAGAAGGTGATGTTGTCGATGATTCTGTCGCAAACGAGGAGCCGCAAGCAGAGTCTGTTGTAAAGAACAGTGAAACAATCGACGATCAGACAGAAGCAGGAATTGAAGAAGATGGTTTGAAGAATGACGACACCGAAGCACAAAATAATAATCCAGAATTTAACAATAATGAACCTAGCAATGAGAACGCTGATGCAAAAGAAAACACGACAGTCGTTAACGGACAGTCTACTGAAGAAATTGAGACTGAGAACGAACTTGCAAATAGCGGAAATGATAAATTGGAAAATTCTGAAAAATGTGCAAAACCAGATGAGATATCAACTATGGAGAATGTTGAAGAAATAAACAGTTAAACATTCAAGTGATGTTTTCATAATGTATCACAATTAATATATGGTCAAAAACTTGATGGTTTAAACCTGCTTCTACCAGAACAGCAATATAAAGGCGTGTTTTAAATTCTCTAGTGTTGAATGTAATAAGACCTTAGAAATAAGACCTTAGAAACGAACGTATTACTGAAAACCATCATTATAAAATGATGTTTATGTTCAGACTGGAGTTTTGTGCAGTTTTGCATTGCTTGATGATTTTTAAAAGCGTATGAAAACAGTTGCTTCGCAGCTGTGATAAGTTATCCGCGGTCTCCAAAGATTCCAGTCTTGTTTCACCGTAGTTTATTGTAGTTCAGTTGATATTAAGTGAGATAATTTAGTGATAAGAATATCGTATATTTATTTTACAAGATTGTACGTAAATTATTCTGCATGTAGTATTAAACAGTAAATATAATTGTTGTAAAGAACGTTTCTGATAATAAGATTTTTGTAGATCTCCAAACCAATTCTGTTACAACTTGCCACACATGTTCCTTATATGCCTAAGATTGATTTAATATTTTGATAAAACGCCGGAGAACTAGACGGAACTAAAAGTCTGATCGGGATGTTAGTTAGGTGCATAAATACTAGAGAAAAACGTGGTATATTGTGTTGACTTGCGGAAAGGGTTTTGGCTTATATGGTTGGGTTAGGGGCCGCCTTTACTCTTTCTCTCTCAGTTTGTTTCAACACTCACATAGGCGGGAAAAACATTGCACGACATGACCATGTTGGGTTATTTTTGACTTTCAAAAATTGATTTAATATTTTGATGAATGGGCGGAAAACTAGACGGAGCTTTAAAAGTCTGGTCGTCACAGAATTTAAAAGTTCGAAGGCCGTCTATATCGAGCTACCATGCCGAAGTAAACGAAACACAAGCTCATTATTGTCTCAAACACGCTTGAAAGTTAGTAAATCAGGCAATAAAAGGAAATTTTTAGTAGCCTTTTTATATTATATTTTGATATAAGTATGAAAGCAAGTGTGAAAACGCGTCACCGTACAAATGTACTACATTCTGTATACTCCTGGGAATATACGGCAGCACTTTAACTGCGATAGTAACCTTTGGTTAATAATAATAAATAATTATTACTAGAAAAGTGACGTCACTTTAAACGTGCGGTGCCCTGAAATGGAGCGAGGTCCACCCCGAAGCCCGGTGTTCTCACGTGGCACCTCCCATCAATTCGAGGCTTCGTTTACCCTACAATCTTCCTTTACGATTGAATATCTCGCTTGAATCTGTATATTTCATCGTCTATACATCAAAACACCATAAATCTGAGTCAATATTGAAGAGCTGTCTTTAATTCTTGGCCAGATTTCTTTTGATCGCAATGGCGCAAGTACTTCCTATAAAATTTCAGGAGCACCTACAGGTATATATGTGATTATGTTGTAATAGTAAGTCATAATTTGCACGCTACCGCTTTCATTTTTCAATGATTTTGTGGGAATTTTCAATCGATTTCTCGTTATAATTTAGGCCGGTAAAGATGAATGACTGACCTTACGATACATATGCCATAAATGTATTATTTCTAAAAATTTAGTTTCAAAAGAGCATTTAAAATTGTGCAACAAACATACTATACAATCTAGTTGTAAAAATAAGTTCTAGCAAGATTCAAGCAAGGTTTTGTATGGTCAAGTTTTACCTCTATAACATCGGTTTTTGGAAACATTTAACTTCTGAGCAGAGCCAGAGTTATTGAGTAATACCTCTTTTATAATACGCGCTGTTTCCGGCAGGCAAAACGAGTAAAATAAATGTACATTTCACCGAAGTTTTACAATATGATCTTTTGCATATTTTCCCAGACCGTGGGCAAATACACGATATTTGCCCTTTCACGTACCCGTCAAGTTTGCCTACGGATTCGTGGCATAATTTGCTCAATAAATCTGTCATTTTCGCTTGATCTGAAGGATAGGAAGCGGATTTCGTTCCTGACATATTTTTACTGTTATCGTTGTTTAAATATATGAAATATAGTTGACAGTATATTAGATATGTTTGTCCTGATATGTGTTTCATCTCAGGCATTTCAAGTTGAGGCAGAAAGTGTTCCTGTCTTGACCAATCAACAGGTGCATTTTAGGGTTACCATGTACACTTAGGGTTCACTTAGTTTAGGGGTACAACCTGAGTTAAGAAATCAACCTGTCAGGTCTTTAGGTCCAAGTATGTCACATGGTACTTTCATTCCTTGCCTTTGGGTCAATTATTGATCATTTGAAATTTGACAAATGCTTCCTAAAAGTTACATATGGGCTGCTTCTTTAAGTCAATAGGTACTTTGTGATGACTGTATTCTCTATTTTTTTAGCTTCAAAACATTGGCATCAATGCTGCCAATATTGGATTCTCAACTCTTACTATGGAGTCCGACAAGTTCATCTGTGTTCGAGAGAAAATTGGCGAAACTGCTCAAGTGGTGATCATAGACATGGACAACGCGAATAACCCCATCAGACGTCCAATCTCTGCCGACTCTGCAATCATGAACCCGAAATCCAAAGTCATTGCTTTGAAAGGTAGAACTTTAACTCTATTATTCTTTCCAAAAACCTTTCATTCTATGATTTGGATTATTCTTGTGTTGGATATATCTCTGACCTGTGAATGCAGTTTGATTGCTGGTTTCATGATGTGCCTGGATTGAAAATATCTTATTTGTTTTGCAGCTGGTCATACATTACAGATTTTTAACATTGAGATGAAAAGCAAGATGAAGGCGCACAACATGACAGAAGATGTCACGTTCTGGAAATGGATTAGTGTCAACACTGTTGCTTTGGTAACCGATGGCGCTGTTTACCATTGGTCTATGGAAGGTGTGTGAGCCATAATTATATATAATACGAATAAAATCAGACAAAAATAAATCATATATCTTCTCTGGCTGCTATTTCCTTCAAGCTTTTATAAAGGGGTTTTTTTATTTTGGCTTCTATCAGGTGATTCGCAACCACAGAAAGTTTTTGATCGTCACTCAAGCTTGGCTGGATGTCAGATCATCAACTATCGTACAGATCGAGACCAGAAATGGCTTCTGCTTGTTGGCATTCAGGCACAAGTTAGTACAAAATAAAATGAAGACATATCTTTAGTATTTCTATGTTTTTAGTTGGTAAAATGACAAATAAATTATGTTTAGAATGGATAATATTATATTGATACTGCAATTTTTGTTCATGATCTTTCAATTTTTGTTCATCTCATTTTGACAGCAAAATCGAGTGGTTGGTGCAATGCAATTATATTCTGTTGAGCGTAAAGTGAGTCAGCCAATTGAAGGACACGCTGCAGCATTTACACAGTTCAAAATTGAAGGAAACCCACTGGAGTCCACCTTATTCACATTCGCTGTCCGTGGTCCTCAAGGAGGAAAGGTGAGAGAGCTCTGATATACAACACAAAAGACTGATTCACTTCTCAAAGCATGGTAGAAATATGTAGCTGAAGAAATAACACCAGACAAAAATTCATTTGTTCCTGTCTTTATATTTTGTAGTTGCATGTAATTGAAGTTGGAACACCACCATCAGGAAATCAACCTTTCCAAAAGAAAGCAATTGAGGTCTTCTTTCCACCAGAAGCACAGAATGATTTTCCTGTTGCTATGCAGGTAGCCTGGTTTCTCTCTCTCTCTCTCTGTGAGCCACAAAAACACCACAACCTACTTTATTCTCCTAATGAATATCTGCATCCTATTTAGGTCAGCCAAAAACACGGCATAGTATTCCTGATTACGAAATATGGTTATGTTCATTTATACGATGTTGAGAGTGGTACTTGTATCTACATGAACCGAATCAGTGGCGATACTATCTTTGTGACAGCATCACATGATCCTAGTAATGGTATTATTGGTGTTAATAGAAAAGGCCAGGTTTGTTGCTAGTAAATACACTGTGGTTTATGCCACTTTATGCCTTATAAATACCAAGCTAATAAATTGCAACTGTTGAATCTGGGATTTGTATTTTTCCCTTCATGAGGTCTTTCTGTCAATTCTAGGTCTTATCAGTGAGTGTGGATGAAGAAAACATTGTAACGTACATCACAAATGTACTTCAAAATCCAGATCTTGCCCTCAGAATAGCCATACGTAACAATTTGGGAGGTGCTGAGGAATTATTCGTACGAAAATTCAACAACATGTTCAACAATATGCAGTACGCTGAGGCAGCAAAGGTCGCTGCTAACGCACCAAAGGTTTGAACATTTTTGAGGTTGTATTCCCTGTTAAATCATCCATCCTTATTAGAACCTTGTTGACTTGAGTCATTTTACTCATTTATATTTCTCAACAGGGGATTCTGCGAACACCTCAAACTATTCAACGTTTCCAACAAGTGCCATCACAACCTGGCCAGACCTCTCCATTGCTGCAGTATTTTGGTATTCTTCTGGATCAAGGTCAGCTGAACAAATACGAGTCCCTGGAACTGTGTAAACCTGTCTTGCAACAAGGACGAAAACAACTGCTGGAGAAATGGCTGAAAGAGGAAAAGGTGAAATGATATAGTACATGTGTATTAACAAAACCAGTAGATGAATCATAACGTTAAATTGTCAATGATGAAACAAACCTAACACCATCTTTCGTTTGATGTCTGAAACATGACATGAAAACCAACCTTTGAATCTGAGACAAGCATTGTAATCCAGTTATTTTGAGCAGTTAAATCCTGTTGAACTGAATCATGTTAATTTCATTTCTTTTTCTTATTTTCCTAGCTTGAGTGCAGTGAAGAACTTGGTGATTTGGTAAAGCAAGTTGACCCAACGCTTGCTCTCTCTGTCTATTTGAGAGCCAATGTCCCTAATAAGGTAGAAATTGTTGATTCAAAAGTGTGTTTCCTATCTGAGGAGAATCTGAGAATATGATTGTTTGTTTTGTTTCAGGTTATCCAATGTTTTGCTGAAACTGGTCAATTCCAGAAAATCATTTTGTACGCAAAGAAAGTAGGGTTCACACCTGATTACATCTTCCTTCTTCGAAGCGTGATGCGGGTGAACCCTGAGCAAGGAGGACAGTTTGCAACAATGTTGGTTCAAGATGAGGGCGAACCTTTGGCTGATCTCAGTCAAGTTGTTGATGTTTTCATGGAGACAAATCAAGTGCAAGCATGTACGTCGTTCCTTCTTGATGCTCTCAAGAACAACAGGCCAAACGAAGGCCATTTGCAAACACGTTTGTTAGAAATGAATCTCCTGACGGCACCCCAGGTTGGTTTCAATTGCATTGTTCTTTCAATAGACGTAAAAACTTTTGTCAGTGATGAAATAAATCGAACACCATCTTTCGTTTGATGCTATAAATTGGCATGAAAACACCAAAACATTATCTGAGACAATATGTTTTACATAAAGTAATCTTTTTATACCCTTTCTTTATACAATC